TATGCGGGTGTGTCGATTCGTTTTTGTAATGCTACACCCACGTTTATTTTTTATTAAACTTATATATGTAATCATTCACTACCATGATAACGGTTGACATTTGTTTGAGGTGATGAAGTGGATATTTTGGGTGTTGCGGCTTGATGATATGTTAAGTGACGTCATCTTTGTAAATGTATGCAACGGTATAGTATACTGTAAACTAGAAAATACATTATAGAGTATAATGAAAGATATTCTAGAAAAGTCCATACGAACTCAATAAGATAGAAATAAGTAATTTTCAATTTCAAATGTATAGAGAATATAATAAGATTTTATCTTCAAGACAAACAACTAGTTATTGTCTTCAGCAATCTGATCTATATGATTCTAAACTGATGATAGATAAAAATTAATGATATAAACTAAAATTTTCTAAGAAAAAAGAGTCTAAATATTGCGATCAAGAAAAAATGACTTGAAATACGATATACTCATAATGTTAAATGCAATATAATATAATATCAGAGTTCATGTATAATTCCACACCCAATAAATGATTATAAATATCTATTTTGTGGTGAGAAAATTTTTTATTTGCAATATTCTTTTCGTGAATAAGAAATAAATGGATATATATGATGTGTTTGTTCATGTAAAATGGACTGACTCATGTGGATTCGAAAAGAAAGGTATAGTTGATCTGCTCGCTAGAGCTAGCAGAGAAAATAATGAATGCACTCATGATGTTTTAATTGTTGTAGAATTTATCTTGATTTTTCTATAAGATTGCAATTGAATTTCTATAATTTAAAAAATCAAGCATTTTCTAAATATTTAAAATTCGACGAAAATGAATAATAAAAATTCGACGAATGCTTTAGTTTATTTAAAGTCGATTTTCTAAAAAGTAGAATTTCAAAACAATTTACAGTGTATACTGACTATACTAGTTCTTATTGAATAGTTCTGTCTAATTTACCGTAACGGACGGAATTAATATAGTCTACCAATAATAGAATATAACTGAATATCACTCGGCTAAAAGTGACTTCCAATGGCATCGTTATGAAAAATAGATGGATATCATAAATTCCATCAGATTTATACTCTTAAACTATGGAATCTTTCGACATTTTTATATTTTCGACCAAAGTTGGGAGAATCATACTAGCTATACTCTAGAAAGAGATCTCATCTGATTCTTATCCGCTTTCTCTTCTAGTTAATATTCCTGCTAATGCTACATGGAAGCAGAATGGTGTAACTATTGCTGGAGGTAACCGGAGTGGGGATGCCACTAATCAACTCACGTGGCCTGAAGGTCTCCTCGTTGATGATGATCAAACAGTGGTTATTGCTGACTGGGGGAATAATCGTATCATGCAATGGAAGAACGGTGATACAACGAATGGACAAGTTGTTGCTGGTGGCCAAGGCAAAGGAAATGGATTACATCAATTGGATCGTCCAACTGATGTATTAATTGACAAAGAGACGGATAGTCTCATTATTTGTGATTATGGGAATCGACGAGTTGTACGATGGCCTCGTCGTAGTGGTGCAACACAAGGTGAAATACTCATCGACAACATCGATTGTTATCGATTGGCAATGGATGATCAGAGATATCTTTACGTTTCTGACGGCGAAAAACATGAAGTAAGACGATATCAATTGGGTGAGAAGAATGGCACTCTCGTAGCTGGTGGTAATGGTAAAGGTGCTGGACTCAATCAACTCAACTGGCCGACATATCTCTTTGTCGATCGACAACAGACTGTCTACGTATCAGACAACAACAATCACCGTGTAATGAAATGGGTGGAAGGTGCAAAAGAAGGTATTGTGATTGCTGGAGGACAAGGCGCAGGGAGTTCTCTGACACAACTGTATGGTCCTAATGGAATCTTCGTTGATACGTTGGGTGCACTCTATGTAGCCGACTTCTGGAATAATCGTGTAGTGCGTTGGACTCAAGGAGACAAGAAACAAGGCACTGTAGTTGTGGGTGAAAATGACAAAGGAGCAGGAGAAAATCAGTTCCACTACCCCATTGGTTTGTCTTTCGATCGACATGGTAATCTCTATGTCGCCGATGCGAATAATGCTCGTGTTCAACGATTTTCTATCGAATAAGACTTGTGAATTGTTTTTTCTTTGCTCGTTTTTTTTTCTATACTTTGAAATAAATGAACAAAAAAAAGAAATTTTCTTTTACTCTTTCGTTTAAAGGAAAAGAAAAAAGCTCAAATATAAAAAATGCGTCATATGTTTCTTTTCTTCTTTTATTTATTTATTTATTAAATGAAAAGAAATGAACTAAATAAAAATTATTTTTCGCAAAATATATTAATTATTAAAGTGAAAAATAAATTGTGTTTTTGAAAATATTTATTATTGTAATCAAAAATAAAATTTGTATTATTTTCATAAAATATTTATTAGTGGAATGAAAAGAAAATTTTTGAGTTATTTGAAGAATGCTTTTTTTAAAAATCAAAAAAACGGAGTTAGAAAAAATAAAGAACAAGAATGAGAAATATATAATTACTTACATTTGTGTTCGTTTTGATTTAATTGAATTGTTGAATGGAAGTAAAACATAAAAATATCAGATTAATTTTATTTTTTTGGAATAAGACAATGAAGACAAAAGAATGAGAAAGTAATTATACTTACTTTGCTGTTGGTAAAATCGAGATGAACTAAAACGACATAAGAAGAAATGAATTGATTGGAAGGAGATTTTTTTTCTGCTTACGCTAGTCGACGATCTTGACTTCGATCTGTCCAGATTCTTGTTTTTCTGGAACATCAGACAAGATTCTTGTCTGAAAAAACAAATATTATCTTTCTGGAAGATTCGTGTAGACAGAATCTTGGCTGGTGAGGCAAGAAATGTCTCGCCAGTAGGGATCAGTGAAGTCGCACTTTTTAATTCCTAAACACTACCCGATTCCGAAAAAAAAATTCCGACTCCGACTCCGGAAAAACCCGAAATAAGGAATGAATAGCATCAATGTCATCGACAACAGTATCTTCTGAAGAATCAATCTGCACAATTCCTAAACAATTATGTCTCGATGTTGACGATAGTTTGAAGAATTCTAATAAAGAGAACATTCTTAATTAGTCTATTTTATTTTTTCTTTATACTAATGGTTAATTTAAATATTTTTCGTGTGCCATTATTTTTGCTTAAGATTTATTTATAAAGTTAAAATTAGCATATCTTTGTTCATTATACAATATACTCATGAATAAACTTGTATCAAAGTGAAAGTCAGATGATGTGATTTTTGTAGTTATACCCAGGTCGTTGCGGTACGGCGGAAAACGACCGGAAAACACAGGAAATCGCTGGAAAATGGAAGCAGTATTCCGGTCGTAAATTCTCGGATTTTCTTCCGGTGGATTCTGGTCAACTTCTAATGCTTTCCAGCAGGAACTGACAGAAAATCATTGGGGAACACTCCGAAAATTTTCCGACCAGAATACTGCTTCCGCGTTCCAGCGACTTCCCGCGTTTTTCTCCGGAATACGGTGATTTTTGCGGATCTTTCCGGCCGGTGCCTATCGTATCCGGTGACTGGAACGATCGACCTAGGTATAGCTCAAACGTTAACACGATGAAGGTCGTCTCGACATTCTATCATTCTTAAAAGCTCCTGGACTTATATATTTTCAGCGTCCACCAAAAAGTTGAACGTCCATTCATCTTTTTTGATTTATTTATTAATCAATTCCTTATTCTTTTTTTTATTCTCTCATATATTTGCTCGAATTCTCTTTTTTTCTAAATATGCATAGTTGATTGCGATAAATATTTTTCTGTTCATTTCTATTCCTCGAGGCAACCAACGGACAATAAATCCTGTAAACCGATCTGGAGAAGAACCCCTATTTCTCTTTTTAAACATGTTGTACGTTATTTTATATAACATTGGCCATAAGATAATGACTCCTGAAAATCACCTATTCTCAATTGATTTCCAATCTAAGCTGCTTAAATAAAGAGAAAGTTACATTCAAATAAAGAAAGTTTTGAAATATATTGGCATCGTCTCTTCCCATCCATCTGCACTGTCAATAGATAATGAATAATAGCTATAAATCAAAAAAAATACCTTTCGAAACTTTGATTAAAATTTTTCTGACTTTCGAACTAAGTGACGATGCTTTATTTAAAAATATTTTTGATGAAAATCCACATTCTCTAAAAAAATGGTGCAGTAAATTTTATTTTAAACGTTTATATAACGAATCATTTTCTATGTCAATTCTCTTAACATAACTGCAATCTTTAAGAGTTGATTATCAAATTTTCGTACCGTAGAGAAAATTAATAAAATACTTAACTTTATAATAAATCGAAAATGTTAAATAATATTATTTGACATAAAATTAATTATTTCATCGTCAAAATTACAAGTAAAGAAAAGAAAAACAAATTGAATGTTATTTCAAATCAAAAGTAACATATAGTCCTTGTATTTAAATATTCAATAACAATTAATCAATTCATATTGATACCCTTATCACGTGTAATTCGTTCAAAATATTGATGCATGCTCATTAATCGTATTGAATTCTTGTGGATCCTATCGGCCAATCGGGATCCGCTTTTCCCCATTGAAATCTCCTTAACTACTATCATAATAAGACCGACCAAGTGAATGTTTCTCATTTTCATATGCAACTACTCTGATTCTCACAAATTGTGTTTCTTATATTTGATAGCAAGAAGTTATGGGATTGAATTGTTTGTAAATCTGCTGATAATTTCAAATGGAAACTCCTAATTAAAATTTTCCTCGTGAGTTCTCAAACCTAACACAATTTTTATTCGCTAAAAATAAATCACTATTACAAAAAACGTTTTCACCTTTATTAAATTATGTTATTTTGATTGTTTCAGATTATTAGAAAATATATGTTTTGAAAATAGTGCAACTATTGATCTAGTATAAAAATCAAAATTTTTATTATAAACAGATCTATTTTACAACGATGAAAAAATATTTTCTTTTCTGAATCATTCAAATTATGATAATCTTCTTAGATTTGGATCAAATACATATATACAGCCTCTCTTTCAATATCGTTTTACTAAATTGGATTAGAACTACATAAAAGATAAAAAAATTAATTTAATCAAGTTCAATAATAGCTTTTTTTCTATAAATTATCGTCCAAAATCATTCGACTGAATCAAATCTATGGTAAGTTAGTGAAAAAAATGATGGGTTGTTTATTTTTCTTTAGTCGCAAATGGATGAAAACAAAACGTCTCTAGTAGATGCAAAAGGTGAATAATCGCAACTGTACGGTCGCCTAAAGTAACTGACTAAAGTAAAATATTCGAGCTCGTATTGCAACTGGATTATTGTTGAAGTATCATTCTAGAATAAACTTGTGGAAGTAATAAATTATTTCTAAGTATAATTTTTTTCCAAATAAATCTATACTTGTAAAGATTCAGATAGAATTCTACTTTTATGAGATTTTAGAAGCACTCTGTTTGACCTCATATAAAGAGCTTATTCAAATTATTTCCTTACTTTCAAAGCATTCAGCTATAAACGTACTTATCATTACATAAACTATACACTTCATATTAAAGAATAGTTACTCCAATGAATTTATAATGGAGAAAATTTATTACTTTGATATACATTGTTCGAAATTTGGAAAATCTTCCATATTTTTAACGACAAAGAATAACTGAACAATAGTATTGCTTTAGTTGATGTAGCTTGGCTTTATAAAACATAAGAAAAAAAAATGATAGTAACGAAATGAAAAATATGTTTATTTCACATCATAGACAAAGAAAACCAGAAAAAAAGCAACATACAAACTTTTCCCTGAATGTTGTCTAAGTTTATCAACCTATTGAAGATAATTAATCAGTTCTATCTTTCACTTTTTCTTCTTTAGACCCTTTTTTAAATATGCCATATAGAAGAAATGTGCAAAAAGCATAAAATACGAAGCGTAGAGTGCCAATGACAATGCAATATTTGTATCTGTTGTACCACATGAGTATCCTTTCTGCTTATAATTATATGCAGCTACATTGACTACACAACCAGCAATCATTTGTACAATTTGAAGAAGAGTAATAAACACTTGAACAAATGGAGGAATTCGAATACGAGCAGCTCGTAATGCAAAATAGCAATACATGAGTGTATGAACACAATAATTCATCGACACAAACCAACGACCAGTTGAAGCAAAAAATGCATAGCTTAATAATAAATAAAGAAAATTTTACAAAAAAAGGAAAACAAGACGTAAAATAAATTACCTGTAAAAACAATATACAAGAACTGTAGCATGGTGATACCAATGAAGAAATATTAATTCTTGCCGTCTTAGTACAATAAATAACGTGTCTATTGTTTCAGGTACTTTCGAAGCCATAAATAAACAAACCCTAACATGATAAATTTTCCATATTTAGGTTCTTGTTTGTTACATAAATAATAATTTACAAACACTTACCATAGCCCCGTAATACCTTGTTTATACTGGGAATCACATATCGAATACATAAATCCATGCCGAATTACAATGTTGATTAATTCAGGTACACACCGAAATGCACCCCATAAACTAAATATTGTCAGACTAGCATTCCAAAGTACTAATGCAGTTCTTAATTCATATTTTTGGTCTTTTCTTGCCATCCATGCGCGACCAATAAATATAAGAATAATATAAAAGAATGCATAAACAATACTGAGCCACCACCAATTATGAATGAAACTTTGTATTGCATGGAATTTTTGTTCATTGAGAAAAATAAGTTCGAAGTCAAGAACAAATCGATGAACGACACCTGTTGTATCTGCTACTCGTTTATGTATCTCCATTTGTCGCTATCGTTTTTATGTTATTGCGTGAATTGAAACGGTTCTTATTTCTTTTCTCCTTTTCAATCGTTCTATTGAAATGATTCATATAGCATTAGTTGATTCTCTTTGTAGTCTCGTGTGTGAAAATGTGAACTTTGGATGTACGACGATGCGAATGCAGTGGTGTCATGTGAATTTATAGAAGAACAAAAATGATTTGCCGGTGCATCTCGTTCTATTTGATATCAGCGGTTATAATTCAAGGCACTAGTACAAATGTAATTATTTCATTTGTTAAAACGGGTCATGATTTTCAAAAACAAAAAAAAATTTTTTATTTTATTAAAAAATTTTGAAACTATTGTATAAAATTCACACTTTTAATAATAGAATTAATACACATAAGTTTTTTTTTGTTATTGTTGTTCTTAAAATGAACGATATCATTATTACATCAGGTGGAAAGAACTTTAGTTGGTATATGAATCAGTAATAGGTGAAAGAGATAAAAGAAAGATGTATATTAGAAAGTGTTGTCGTCATTTGTTTTTTATCTATACTATGCAAATAGAAGTCTAAGTAGTAAAGTTCGAAAAAGTGAACTTTACGGTTTCTATTTTACGTCAGTGATAACAGTTAGGTTTTAATTCAATAAAAGCAAATATAGTTCTATGCAATATGAAGATCAAATAAGAACTTTGTATCCTTTACTAAGTGATAAGGGTATATTTGACTGAAAAGCTAATAATAAAAATTTCACATAATATAATTCACTGGCAAAACAAGTAGAAGAACAGATTTTCATTTGATAAGATGAATGTGAACTGTCAATAAAAGTCGGAGTACGTTTAGCACATGTAAAATTGCATTCATTGAAACATTCAAGTGCGTTTGGACAAATTGATCAATATAATTCAGAAATCACAGTATTGCCTTTTAACACTAAAACTTTCAATTGCTGCTTCTTTTACATATGTTAGTTTTGTAGCCAATGATACATCAATAGTAAATTCTCACATAGCTTTATGTTTACTTAAGCAAATGCTGCTCTGTGGTCAAATAAGACAGATCTTACTTAGCACATGATTTCATCCTTGCGACTACATTTGATCCGAAGATCCTAATTACCTTCGTCAAGAGTTTACAAATAAGCAAGTGCTTCACTCAAGTATTGAGTTGCGATATTTATTTTGTTTGAACACATTGTATTTTGCGCCGAAGACTAATGAAAGCTGCTCGCACGCTCATAGCCGAGTCAAGCTGTGGAACGATTTGATGAACTATAAACATTTATATAATAAGTTCTTCGTAGTAGACTATATTTAAGCTAAGTAACAATGCAATTTAATTTTTGCAGATCTCTCAATCGCAATACGTGAATAAGTCTTTCTTTTTATTTGAAGAACACTTTAGCAAAAAATTGAGAATATTCTAACCACTTGCTGCTCCTGGTGATCGTGATAGATCAAGAGGTAATTGTTGTGGATCATTGAAGATTTGCCATTTTTCTTTCGGTATACCTTCGAAAGCAGTTAGAAAACGTTGATCATCAAAACTTTCACCTTTTATAGCTCGAATAAAAATCGCTCGTATACGTTCTGGATACTGTTTTGTGACGGTTGCATAAATTTCTGGATCTTTTTCTCCGCTATCACCAACTAACACATAATCGCGAACTGTATTAGCAAGAAATACATGTAAATGACTTGTTTTATGTATAAATGTCGATTGTGAATGAAGAAAACTAAATATAGATGATGCTGCCCAACCGAAATGTCTCATGTGAAATGATCCATCAGGAAAATTATTGTCACTTATGAATTCATGCGTTAATGTGTATAATTGATCGGGCATGCCTGATAAATAATGAAAAGTACAATTATTATTGTTCAAACGCCATTTTTGATACAATTCAGCCATGCCTAGGAGAGTGGAAAAGTAAACAATATGATTATATTATTTTTTTCTCCTTTGCTACTTTACCTGGCACGGGTTTGAATGGATGTATGAAAGTATTTGCAAGTAATCGTACTTTATCCAATACTTCAGATATTTTTATTGTATCATCAATATCACTAATAACAGTAATACCTTGACGTGGTTCAATCAGTTGTATAACTCCTTTTGCTTCATCTTTATTATCACCAATAGCATCGTATGTTATAGAACTACCTTGTTGTTGTTGTTGTTTTAGTTGTTGTATTACATCGTTCGATATTTGAATTTCTTGATAAAACTGTCCTTGTTGATCGGTTTTTACTAAAAGCGTTTTATCGCCGATTTTAATTGTTATTTTTTCGTTTGATTCATCTTCAACAAAAAATGGTTTAAGTCGATCACGATTGATTGATCCATTGAGATACATTAGATCACTTTTATCCACCGCTTGTTTAGCTATTCTTTCTATCCATTGACTTGCACTGAATCCAAACCAATCTTTTCTTTTACTACCTTCAAATCGCCAACCATGTATTATTATATTCCAGACACTATCGTTGGTTAATGATTGAAATCCGATATCAGGAAATAGAAGCATTGCTTCTTTATCAAATTGACGAAAATCAAGAGAAAATTTACCTGTTGTTGCGTCTTTAATTTTGTCTTTTAATTTATCCCAGAAGGCACGAATGAAATGTCTTTTGAAATGAGACAATTTTCTACTAGCAACATTATTAATGAGCAATAACAATAGTACGAGAAGTAGAGATGAATACAAACGCATTGCCGATCAATAAAAATGTAAAAAATGCCGATACAAGATATAAATGGTAAGCAACAGAATGAAGTCAATGCAAGAATAAAATTATATGGCAGGTTTTTTGTAAAATAACTAAAGTGAAATGGAATGAGAACGAACGCGTAAACCAATGTGATCAGAAGTAGTAAAAGCAAACAAGAAGTGGGCGTGTATAAATGCTTGTATCAGAGCATTCAATCATCCGGCTGAAAGAATAAGTAAATTTCTATATATATATATATAACGATTAATCATTTTTATGAATATTCATAAACAAACACGCGGCTCATTCAAGAATGTATATTCGGATATTTCGGTGTTCCAACTGCAACGAATAAATTAAGTGAAGTTTTTTATTTATTTCAATATCACAAGAGGCAATTTGTGAATCAAAAATGTTTGTATTTTCATTGTCATGATATATATTAACGAAGATCTAAAAGAAAAAGGTGGTAGATGCTGTTTTTTTAGGATTTATTTTTCCTGAAATTTTATATATGTGCCTAACTAGTCCGCAAACAAAGCTGATGTGCTGTCATCAATATATTGATTTTTGTGTAGGAAGAGAGTATTTGAAGTATTTCGTACACTCGAAATCCGATGAATAAACCTGAAAAAACAGACACGATTTGCATTATTATACATTTACGTATAATGAATGCGTTTAAGTACAAAATATTGAGACGATAAGCGCAACCTTTCCATCGTCATCGATCAAATTGTATCATGTTTAATACGTCAAATGGAGTGTAAAATTTGATTTACTAACCCCTATACAACATATCCAATTTTTTAAAAATAAACTCGATTGAATTGACTGTGATTGAGAAACGAAGATAATCTAATTATTAAATTACAAGATTTACAAATTCAAGGATCTTTTTTTCATCAATTTTATTTCAATAATATGAAAGAAAATAAATACTAGTTAACTCGAGAGAAGCAAACGTCTTGAAAAAGCGGCAAACTACAGTTCATTATATTGTTGCAGAAATAATTAGAATTATGACAGTTTAGCGAAGATGCATCATAATAAATTCTTCTTTTGTTTGATATCCATCCCAGATACCTGTTGATTCAGTTCTTTTTGGCAATGGTTGAAATTTAATTGACCAGTCATTCGAAGGTGACGACGAGCGTGGTGATTCTGATTCTGATGACAAAGCATCACTTTTATCAGAATTTCCTGATGAAATATTACCAGAGTCGATACGTCTAAAACAGTAACAACAACGTAATTAAAATGATTATAATTTTAAAAACAAGTCTCGAATACCTGCATGCAGTTATTTCCCTCATAACTGTGAATATGATTATCAATTGAAAGGAGCAGTAATAATAAACTCAATGAAGATTAGAGTTGGAAGTTTGAAGATGAAAAAGTAAACGTAATGAAAATAAGTTTAGCAATTAACTTTGAATCAGTCTTTGAGAACAGCTTTACCAAGTGATGAAGCAGGTTGCTATAATAAAATAGAGACGTAATTAAAAACCTGATTGAATAAAAACTATGAAATCACACTCACATTTTTCCAAGTTTTACGAACGGACTTAGCTAAATGTTTCGAGGTGAACATCCAAGCATAAAAAGCTAAAAGAAAATAGATAATCAATAGAATAGTATCAATCATTTTTCTCCATAGATCTTACCAACAACAGAAAAAAAGAAGAATTGATACAGCTAGATTTATTGGCGACGTAAATGATGAATGAAATGAAACTAATAGAAATATGTCCTGATATATATATATATATATATAGATGACGAATCACCTACAGCTCATCTGACAATCCAAGAAGAGACGTGGATAGATAAGAGCACAGCTGAAGTAAATATGACTTTTTTTCTCTTATCATATTCAAAATTGCCATGCAGTCAACTTATGACATTGAATATCGAAGTACGTGATCACATTTTTATCTAACTCCTCGTTGGTTGCCGTTGTTTTTAAAGTTAATTTAATTTTCATACGAATCATAAAAATAGTAAAAATTAAAATATCCATGAACGAGTTCCTTAATCTTAATTGAACTATCAGATAAATTAATGCTATCCTTAGCAAATAATCATTTGGCTCGTATGATCTACATTCGTATCAAACGTCATTGAATATTTCGCTGAAACAAAAGCATGTTTATGTTTTTCTTCAGTTACGTGGGCATTATCAAAAGGTCCAAAGTTTAGTTCTATTTTTGCTTTCTTATAAAATATCGTTACTTTTTTTCTAATGATAATAAAAAATCACCTTATCGTCCGAGATCAGAGAAAACCCTTCGAAACTTTGCTTGATGTGATTAGTGATTCGATTGAAAAGTTTATTGTTGGAATTAAAAACTTTAATTGGTGTCATAAATATTTGACAGTTTTTGTAGAATAGCGTCATGGAAACTATGATTTATAAAACTGTTAGATATTACAGAAGTATCTTTTCTCAAGGATTCGAATTCGGTAGCGTATGAATTTTATTCCATAGTGTAATTCAGATATTTGTTTAGAGTCCACATTAACAACATGATGAGAACTGACTAACAGAACATCACAAAATACTCGTTTTTTTTTTGTTTGAACTTCGAACAGTTCGTTACATTGATAAATTGAGGTAATTTTCAATTAAAAAAAGTTATTTATTAAATAGAAAAGGAACTGAATGAAAAGATGAACGCAATAAGAAGAACAAAATAAAGCAACGAAGGAAAAAGTGTCGTTTTTTTTATTAATTGCATGTAGCAGGAATAAAATGTTTGATTAGTAATTTAACGAAGATGCATAGTGGCGAATTCTGCTCGTGTTTGATATCCGTCTCAGACACCTTCAGATTCAGATTTTCGGACCGTTTTGTATCCGATTCACCAGCACGGCGATGATCGAGGCAATGTAGAAACTGATAATGTTTCGTGCATAGTAATATTTGCCGAGGAAACACTATTTGTACGTAGATGTCTATTCAAATATAAACACGGTATATTTATTTCAGGAATACATTTGTATCTATTTACTGATAAATGGAGTCGATTTCTGCCATAATTTCGTATTAGAACAGTTAGTCAATTAACAATATCACGTAGAATAATAATATAATTTAGTGACAAGTAAATAATAGTTTAAAATAGGATATTTATATCAATCTTTAAGAACAGCTTTGCCAAGTGATGATGCAGGTTGCTAGAATTCAATAGGAATTTTAGTTATTTAGCATTAATAAGAATTTATCTAAACTAACGTTTTTCCAATTTTTACGAATAGGCTTTGCGATACTTTTCGATACCAACATTCAGGAGAACAACAAGATAATTGAAAAGAAACTAGCGTAAACACTACGTTTTATATAGCTATCATGAGTAGTATGCTTTACACAAAAGAAGAAAAATGCTGACGAAAATATTTGTTTTCTCATACACAATGTGCTATTTGTCAATAAATGATAAAAATAATACTGGTAAAAAATACGACAAGGGTTGTTTCGGTACTACATACAAATGCGTAAATATTTTGATAGTAACTGTGTTTATGATCAGATTTGCTGACGAGACAAATGTATATAATGCACAACTCAGCGAAACCAATTTCATCGTCCATTCATTCGATAAATCACTAAAACAAATACTACCAGAAAGCTCGCTAACAGAATTATTTATATCGAGTATGTTATACTATATCAACATAACTTATCGATTCAATTAGACTACTCCTCCTTATGTTCTTAATTTTGATTGTTTATCTGTACCTATACAAGAAGTCAGTTACCTTTCCATCGGTATTTTATTACTATACATTTTTATTGTACAATATAACGACGAGATATATAAATACGAAGTTCAGTAGTTAAAAAGCAAACGAATTAAAAGTTCGCTACGGAAATTGAGAAAATTATTTGTAAGTTAGTATCATTAGTTGCTGAATATGGCATGAATTTCTCGAATAACTCGTATTTTCTACTAGTTCATTGGAGAAAAAAATGAAATAGAAAAAAGGACCTTAAATTACAGCACGTAGGGATATGCTTGTTCTACCGAAGAAGTTGTTCAAGCAGAAATATAAACTCATCTTGGAAAATTTTTCTCGCGATACTCCTCACAGGCAGCATTATAACGATTGAAAAATGATTGGTTGAGCATCATATTATCAATAAATGAACTGAAACAAATAGATTTTTTAAAACTAAGAGTTATTACTGTTTTTGTTTATTTCTAAATATCGATCTGGTTTTTATGCACTGCCATATATTTTTTACAAAATTTTAAAAAACACATAAAATAAAGCACAGAAGACATCAATTTGTTATTGAATCATCATTTGATTGAAAATGCATTCGAGATTGCTGTTGATCGGCGATGAACTGAAAATAAATACATGTCACTAGTTTTTCATTGTTCTAAACATGATAATAATAACAATAATAATAATAAGACAATTTACTTGAAGTGTATTATCTTTAGTTACATAAACGTGCTCAGGTTGGATACTTCGTACCGTTGATTCATAATAAGTACGTTGTAAGTGAATAAATGATCGTAATAGAGAACTTTGTTCTCGAATTAAATCATCGACAGCTAACAGAACAGGATTTGTTGTGAGTAGAGATTGAAGAACATTTGGGTCAACAACAGACCGAATAAGTGAAGATGGACGATTTTCATTGAAATCACTCTGATTAATTAAATAGATTGAATGAACTATGCAAATAAAATTTCAATTAAAATTTAATATAAAAGAAAAACAAGAGAAAAACCTTGATTTAACGATGATTGAAACGGAGCTGACATTAAATCAACTTGTACTTGTTGATCATCCGTTGAAACTTTTCGAATAGTTCTATGTAGAAAAAAATGAATTCCTAAATTCAACTCAAGTATTAAGGAAATCCATACGATGGTGGTTTTTCTATACGAATAGTTGCTGGTTGTACAGTTCTTGGCGTTGAACTTTCTGTTGTTGCTACTGAAAAATCTTCGGAGTAATGAACTACACTTAATTCTTCCGGAATTTCTTCAACTCTTGTATTATCATCTTCAGTTATCTCGGATATTGTTCGATTTTTATGATCAGATTTAGTTCTTGGCGATGGAGATTTTCTATTTGGTACACGTGGAGATTTTCTATTTGGTACGCGTGGAGATTTCTTTTTAACAACTGGTTTAACTAATTGTTCATCGTTCATGATTATATTTGCAAACATATTATCAACAGGCGATTCACTAATATGTTCACTGAACGGAATATCACCGTAGTCATCATCATCAACAACATCGATTGCTGTTGATATTGATTCAGTTTCAGAATGTATTGTATCGTCCTCGATTTTCGAAGGTTTTGCTGCAATTTGAACACGTCGTGGAGTTGTCAAACGTGAACTTTTTATTGGAGTCGGTGTACGTTCTTCATCGTCAGCTACAGAAGAAAAATATATACTTAGATATGCTACTCAATGTCTTTCGTCATCGATTATAGGTTTATACTTTGAACTACAACCAAATCTTTAGAAAATTGTACTGAGTGTTCGATTTCTTTTGGATTGAAATCCTACATTAGTAAAAGATGAATAGAATGATGAAAGTGTTTTTTTCATTTACCTTGGGGGATTTTAAAATGCCTTTTCTTGGTGTTAAAGTTGGTGTTTTTCGACCTTCACTTGAAGAACCATCGCCAATAAAATCCAATGAAGAATCATCTTCTGTATCAAGCACTAAATTTATAATAAAAAAAAGAAGAAACGAGATGCTTTGTACATAAGTTAACTAATAAACTATTTCTAATGGATATTACTAATTTAAAATCAAGCTGACGCTTTTCATACCTGAAGATGGTCTGTGTTTATTGTTTTTACCATCTCGTTCACTATCATTTGTTTCACTATCGAGATGTTGTAAATCTGGTACTTGATTAGCAACAGGTGTATTAGTTGCAGATTTCTTGAGAAAATTCTTCTTTCCAGAGCGATGTAAAATCTTTGCACCACTTGTCGATGTGGCTTCTGAACTTGATTCATCATCATCGTTGGGTTTATCAAATGTGCCAGGCTCTAATTCAATCCCTTTTGCGTGCAATTGTTGTCGATGTGCAGCACGAGCTAAAAGTGATGATTGAGTTAGAAGACCTGTCGATAATGATGGTTGAGGGTTTTTCTCGGAAGTTCTTGTTCTTGACATTCGAGGAGATGAAACATCTCGTGGTGAATGTGTTACGCTAATTTTTTCTGTTGTAACAGGTATTGTTGATGATTTTTTAACAAATTTATTTGGTTGACGGGGCGTACTTGATGAAGTTGTTGTTGTTGAAGCTGATTTTTTATCGTGATAACCAAATTGCACTGAACTATCGTCATCAAATGGACTCTTATTTGATGAACGACGATGACGTTGTTTGGGTTTTGGTGCTTGTCGGCTCGATTCTAATTCCGAAGTTTCACTGATTCCCTCAGGATTTTTAGCATATAAATTACGTTTCTTAAGAAGAAGAAAAACAGAGTAGAATATTTGAAATTTGTATTACACAAAAAGTTTTTCTTCTTTTTGTTAATTTTCTAATTTACTCGTTCCATCTCTTGTTGCTCTTCTTCTAGTCGTTGTTTACGTAGATTCATTCGAGCATTTAGATCACTCATCGAAGTTGCCATTTTCAGTTATTTTCTCTTTTGATGATGATTTACGAACAAAAATATTTAATACAACTTAATAATCTATCGAAATCGAAATCACCATATCCGATACCGTTGCTAAAGGTTTCTACCTTCGATAGAATATTATTCTAAAGTGGCGTCGTTACATGATTGGTTCTTTTTTCTTTGATTATAACTCTTTTTAAACATCCACCAGACCAGAACATGGTTTCTGTACTTTTTCGAGATTTTTGGAATTTTTGAAATTTGACAAAAAATAACTTAAACCATTCTATTGTTCAATTTTTATTCACTGTAGTTTTTCGATTAGTTCAAGAAATTAGCGTTTCCATCCTTTAGCTGTTATCAGCATGGGGCCTTTTTCCCTTTTTTTTCCTCTTCGTTCATTTCTTTTCGTCGTATCTCTCCTATACAGCATTATTCCCTCAAGAGAAAGAAAAGAATGAATATGATGGCTGAAAATGCAGAAACATCGAGAGACAGGTGTCATCTCCTACTTTTTTGCTATAATATAACAAAAAGTCTCTGATGTATTTTGTTTCGCTCTATAATTATAAATAAAAAAAGAACATTGTACTACTGACAAACAAAACAACAAGAAAAAAAAAGATTCATTCGTTCCAATTTGTTTTGTTTTTATTTATCAATTTATATGTATTAGAGATGTTTGTAATCTTTTCTATTTTCTTCTTCTTCTTCTTTTCTTTTATTTAAAAGAATTCTGTCGAAGAAAATCTCGAGAGAATTTTACAACAGAAAAAGAAGAGTGCTTTGCCAGTAGTTGTTTCTCTTTTTCTCTCTATGGCTGTCTGTTTGACGTCGTCGGTTGGTCACCGGGGAGCTCACGTCGTATTGCCTGCCGCGGCTGCATCCCAGGGGCGCTAGTCGACTCTTTTTACGTGTGTGTATGTGTGTGTGTGAAACAGCATGTGGGCAGAGAGAGAGAGAGAGAATGCATAGATCGACGACAACTGCTGTGTTCTGCACCCCTCCGGGAATGACGGACGAGTGCGTGCGCATATACATATAGAAGGCAAAACGAGAGAGGAAAGAAGGAGAAAGATGCACCGAGAGCATGATTAGAACAAGGAGATGCACTCGTCTTACTTATCAAGTTGATTGCAGTATCCTATTCTAGAATAAAGACAAAACTATGTCACGTCGCAAACAGACGAATCCAAGAGCAATAAAACGTGATGGTAAATATTTTTGTGCTTCTTTTTAGTCTTTATCAATCTATCATTATTTTTCCATATACTCAGTGTCCAAAGATGAAGATGAAAATTCTATTCCAGCGGCTAAAAGTAAATAGACACACGACGGAAAAAAAAGCTATTATTATGGCTTTTGATCTTTTTGATTCTACAAATTTATTTATTTATTTATTCATTCATAGAAATTGCAACTGAATCAATTCGATCAGATAGTATTGATTCAATAACGACTACTGAAGATGAACAAAAAAATTCATCACTAAAATGTGATACCTGTCAAGAACTATTTTTAACTAGTGAACTATTTAACCGACATCGTCTATATCAATGTTCTTTTCTCACCGGTAATATTTGTTTAATCAACCATTAAATTAATATTTTATTTATATGTTAACATTTAATGAATTTTTCGTATTTCTAGAAGAAACCAATAGTGATGAGAGTCGAACTTCATCCTATGACGAATATGCTAATCAAATAGATAAAGTAATTTTACTAATTTAGACCTTATGAATCTTTTTCTACTTTTAATTCTTAATAGATACCATATGGAATGAATCAAAATGAAGATTATCCACATCAATGCTCGTATTGTAATAAATCCTTTGCAAATATGGCTCTACTACTTAAACATGAACAAGTAAAATAGAAAGATAGAGAAAAATCTTATTTTTATTTTTATTCTAATGTCTAATTCTTAGGTTCATGTTGAATTGATGCCATTTCGATGTACTTTTTGCGGTACGTTTGTTTGCATTTTAATTAAAAAGAAATTCATCGTAAATAGACAAATATTTGAAGTGAATAATAATATTATCATAGAACAAAATCTCATCTTCTATCAGATAATCATATATAAATATAGATATATTGATTTCTATGATTCTATCCATGGTAAACCCCTTCCGGAAATAGAGTCATGCCGAGTCTTTTAGTATATATAGGCGTACCAATTTTCTAAAGAGTATATATTATTGTGTCTCAGCTATTTTCAGAATTTTTAATTACGAATAGCTTTTCAAGGAAACAGAACAAAAAAAAAGATTTGCCAGGTTTTTAAACCTAGAAATAATGCTGGCCTTAATCATGTCTTTTTTTCTCAGCTCAAAACCTTATAAATACTACGCATATGATGATATATAAATATATTAATTAAATTTCTGATGTTGCAAGAAATGAATTAGTAAATAAGACAGGGAGGATGTTGAATTACTTTGGGCATATTCATCCTTTCACGAGGGATCTTCTTCTTTCAGTGAAGGCTGATTTTATATATTCCATTTGATTTATTCAATACAAATAGGGATAACCTAAGGGAATGGCTTACTGCCCTGAATGTTTAAAATTCTAATTTTATTCTAACGAATTTTCAGTATCTTTTGGATTATCAAATCTCAATTCTATTCGCCTTGAGAAATTTCTAACTACACATTAGTAAATCTATTCATCATATTTTTCTTTAAATAAAATTTTAATAATCTCATAAGCTTATAAAAAAAAAAGATTTCAATTTATTTCATTAGGCAAAGGTTTTAAACATCGACGTAGTCTGAATCGTCATTCAAAATTACATACTGGTGAACGTAAATTTAAATGTACTTCATGCGAAAGTACATTCGCACGTTCCGATCATCTCAAAGCACATATTCGTACTCACAATAATAATAATAACAGTAATAATCATAATCATAATCACAATAATTTCCCATCTATCGATAAATCTATCAATGTTGATTTTCAAATCAAATCTTCTCTAAATACAAAAGTCAATTTTGAAGAACGTCGATTATCATCCGATAATAAAAATAATAAAGATGAAAACAAAACTGAACATTGTCCATATTGTCCACGCATATGTCTTGGTAAGAAAATAAAAATTATATTGACCGGCTCTTTAATTTACATTTTATAGGTGAAAATAGTTTACGATATCATATGCAAACTGAACATAATCAAAATCTTGAAAAAGAATCAAACAGTAATCAATCATCGTCAGAATCTATATCACCAGCACTATCCGATACATATTGTCATTTATGTAATGCGAAATTTAATAATCGTGAGAATTATTATGCACATATCCGTTGTACACATCCGCCATTTCATAAACAATTCGATCAAATATCTTTATTTCAAATACCATCATTAAAGAAACAACAAGATGTAAATGATAATTCAGCATTAAATGAATATGCAATTATTGAAAAAATTATCTGGTGTGAAAAATGTAAACGTTCATTTGAGTCTATGACAGTTTATTTACAACATTATTCAATTCAACATTGTTTACAAATTATTAAATGTCTTCAATGTCAAGATATATTTGAAACAGTTGAACTGTTCTTTAATCATATTGAACGAATACATCCATCAAAAACTGGTAAATATTAAGAATCAATAATTGGCACTAACTATTCGTATTTGTTTTATTCTAGTTGAAACATTTAAATGTAAATTATGCAATGCAACGTATAAAAATCGTACAGATTTTCTTCATCATGTTGAAGCAATTCACAAATCATGCTCATATCCATGTTCTTTATGTCCATGTCAACTAAATTCAACAGATGAATTACTCGATCATTTAAAATTTGTTCATAAAATAAATAATAATATTGATTTTCATATGAATCATCATCGTCCATCGTTTAATACATTATTTTCATGTGAATTTTGTACGAAAAAATTTAATTCAAGATTTGAACTTAATCAACATATTTTAAATGATCACAATGATGAACAACACGATGTTAAATCTGATTGGCAACCAAATGAAAAAAAATCAAGTAAGACAATCGATTAAACTTTATTAGAATTTGAAAGAATAAATGATCGAAAAATCCCTCGGTGATCATCAGAAAAAATATTTTATCGTAATGTGACTGACCGGTTTTTCTTTTGTTATCGTTTCTCTAGTTCTACGAATAATTGATTTCTCAATTAGAGTAAAAGATCCGGTCTAAAAATAGGAATAATGATCTCAAACAGACGAAACACTCTAACGGTTCCTAAAAAATTAAGTTCATACTGATCGTGTTTCACATAGTTAATATGATGATAATGATTTTGACATGATCAGTCTTGCAAAACTGTATAAACAAAATAAATTCACTCAAGCATCTAGAAATAGTCCGGTCAGAATAGAAATAGTTATTTTTAGATGAACTCAACAATACTAATCGTCTTTTGAGCACACACAATCAAACTTCTTTCATAACAGGCCAATTTAATCAATATCTGATTCAGATAAACGTATAAACAATGAATTATCAATAATAATCAGATTTTGATCTAATAGTAGAACATTTGTTTGAGTACGATTTAAATTTGAAATTAAAATCCATATGAATTATTTTCTTTTAGCTACACCATCTTCAACGGACATCATATGTTCTCTATGTGATCTAACATTTTCATCTGAATCACTTTTATTAGACCATAATAAGCATACTCATCGATCATCATCCATATCATCCATAACACCATCCTTCAAATGTACTTACTGCCATGCATTATTTACATCTCGTGTTCAACTAGATCGTCATTCGCGTATTCATATAGCATCATCAGGCAATAATTTAAAATGTAATATATGCGATCGACTATTTTCAACAATTGATATTCTATCCGAACATAAATTATCGCATTGTAAAGCAACAACATCAAATATTTGCTCGTTTTGTCATCAAACATTAAATAGTCAAGATGATTATATAAATCACTTACATGAACATAATCATCAGTATAATTTGAAAACTAAAGCAAAATTATTTACCAATAATAATGATAATGTTCCATTAGCTATTACATGTATTGTATGTAAGCAATCATTAATCAATGAACGTGAAGTTAATCTACACGCAAAATTTCATTTAACAAATATTACAAATAAAAAATCAATCAAAACAATTCTAACAAAAGAAAGTTCATTAGTAACGATGACTTTTCAATGTAACCAATGCCATCAATCAACGAATTCAAATCGAGACTTTCTCTTAGAACTCCCATCATTTAATATTAATTGCTTTAATTGTATTGAAAAAGATTTGAAATCTACAGGTAAAAGTTATATCTTGATTTCTATAACTATGATCAAATAATCTTATATAGCAGCAAACTCTCGTAATTCATGAAAATCAGGAACAGAGTTTTTCGTCTAGGATAAGGTAGATGATGTGAAAAAAAGTCCAAAATGATCTTTGTAAGTGCAGTTCTTAGCGTATGTCTTTGAGCAACTGCAACTCTACAATATTATGACAAATAGAATCATATTGATGAATTTTCAATATACATAATGTAAACGAGTATTGTTAAAAATTCGTTTTTAAGATCATGAATCTGAGCTGCTATAAATCTGTTTTCTCTACTGTAACCTTGTAGTTTCTTGTAGCTGAAAAATGCATAAATTTTTTCTATCCTAAATTTCACACAATAGATTATGACAGAGTCTGATAACGAATAATACCAAGTTAGAACTAATCTCTAAATAGCTATTTTGAATATGAAATAGAATGTATCTAGGGATATCATGGGAATCACTACTGATTGTTCTTGTAATTCTCTCTCTCTCTTATAATAAACTCTCAAGAAAATAAAACTATCGTGGTTTCAAGAGAATTTATTAAAAGAAATTATTATTACATTTTTTTTATCTATGTAAAATTATTAAACATCTCTACTTTTTCAGTAACTAATCTCTCATCGAGTGAACTACCTGATTTAATATCGATTATTAAGAAAAATTTGATAGTTTGTTTTTAATTTTGTTCAAAATAATATTTGATTCATCATTTTCTTACAGATCTATCAATGGTCTCAGATGTCGATAGTACATCAACTTCACTTTGTTGTCCAAAATGCCAAAATGATGTTCAATTCGATAGTATTAAAACTTATCAACAACATTTTACGTCTCTTCATCTGTCCAAATATTCTATTGAAGAATATCATTGGTAAAATTTACAAAAAAAAAATCCTACTTATTTTATTCTTTTCGTTTTTTTTCAAGTCTCAAATGCAATAAAGTTGTTCCATCACGTGAACATATATTGCAACATCCAAAGAAAAAATCATTATTAACAAGTGGTTTTCTTATTGATAGTATTGACTCATCTTTACCCTCACATCTTTCTTCATTGCCCAGTGTACATTACTGTTATTTATGTCGAACTAATTTTAATACAGCAATCAAAATGCATATACATCTTATCGAACATCAGTATCCGAATCACGAGTATCAATGTAGCCTTTGTGATCAATCAAAGTTTGACGATGCAGCAAAACTTTATCATCATATGGTACAACATGGTTCAAAAGCACGTTTACATCCATGTCGACAATGCGATGTTTATTTTATGTTTTCAATGCACCTTATCAATCATCAATATAGTCATACAGATGAAACATCAGTATTAAAAACGAATGGTAGCACATCAATCGGAACAAAATTATCGATAAAATCGAAATTTATAAATAATGAAGATAAGAAACAATCGAATGATGATGATGATATATCATGTAAATCTATTATGACAAGATCATCAACAAAAGGAGCGTGTCGCTCAGTAGTAGTCAGTTAAAAAAATTAATACAAAGCATTTTTCTTTCTTTAATCATATTATTATTATATATTTTTACTTCAGTCAGATATTTGTTTTATTGAAAACAGCCGCTCTTAATCTTCACATCTTTCATTTTCTCTTAGCTTTTGTTTCTTTTTCATCTAGTCTACATTTTTTTGGTTTCATTTTTTTATATAACAAAAGAGAATATACATATACATATATATATATATATATATATACATACATAGAGAGAGAGAAAAAATATATTGTGTCTCCTTCACGCTGTAACGTATATTTGTAGTTATATTATTGTTCTTCGTTTTTCTTTTCTTTTTTTTTATTTCAAACAAAAGAAAAACTGCAATGGCAGTTATAATTTATATGCTCATTTTTATGCTATCGGTACAAATAATTTTAAAATAACATATGAAGAAATTGATGTGCCCAGATCAATCAGGAGTTTTCACTTTCAGACTGAGAGAAAATTTTTATGAACAAACTTGCAGGGAGTATGGGTTTGAATACTATAATCAACTTGTAAGTGTAGATACTGTGTTTGGTGCGTTCTAATAATGCAATACGAGCGAGTGGGAACAACTTTTTCTCGACCGATCGGTCTGAATATTTTTGTATCCAAAACTATTTCTATTGAGGATCATGAATTTAATTGTTTATGTTACATGAATATTCGATAAGGTACATCTCATATAAATATATCAATGAAGCTTTTTTGATCAAATTCGGCAAGTCAAAGATGTTATCAAAGTAAACTCTATTGAGAGACACAGAGCATATACATATCTAGAGTAGATTAAGAGTTTCGCCGCCTATCAATATGTGTCACAAACATTTGGTATTTACTGCTGCATGGTCTTACATAAAACGTACTAAAACTGATATATTCTCGATAGATGTTAATATTAGACGTTGCATAACTAAGGAGATACATAAAACAGCTTTGACTCGCCTCGGGAGTAAGCTGAAATGTGAAGTTCTCACTTTTCGTCCTTGGAGAATCTTAGAATTTAAAAAAGTAGATTATCATCAGGGTAAAGGCAAACACGTCAGAGAAACTCGTTTCGCATATCAAAGTTGTTGTTGACAAACACAAAAGCATTAGGTTTCCCACTGTAAATACAACGAATGAGACACATAGAATTTATGATATTATCATTATCCTTCAGTCTGCATTGATAATCACACTTTAGAAAAGCACTTTGATTGTGTAAAAGATAAAAATTTTAAAGATGTTAGAACCACAGTTTTTGTTGAACTTATTACAGAATACTCTGGTATTCTAACAGTATCGATTGCATCGAGCCAATATCATTTGACAAAAAAATATCTTGAAGATAAACTAAGGCTTATGAAGGATTTGATATTATTTATTCTGACGAGAATCATCTATTATTCAGAGGAATATTCTACAGTTGTACGCAGACAACCTTTGAGTTTGTACTAATATATATTTTCAAGTTTTTTTCAATAGACAATGATTGTAAAAATTAAGTGAAGACTGCCGGTAGATTGACGAGGCGGCAAACAGAGAATAGTGAAGAACATAAAATTAATACGCATGCAATTGTAATCATGAGATTTTTATTTTATTTAGAAAACTATAGAACGAGTAGGAACCGTGTAGAATAGTGGCAATCGTGAAAGGAAATTTCTTACCAATAATAATTTACTACAGCTTTGAGAAATTTCTATTTAAACACGAAGTACATTGCATCTTTTACCAAGTATGCTTATTGTTTACACATATATATATATATATATTATCTGACGAGTGGACGTGCTCCGATGGTCTTCTCAATAGGAATATCATTGTCGTTGTATCTGCGTATCTCATTTCACATAGCAACAAACTATAACGTAATTACATGTTTCTGATTACATATTGCAAATTATCTTTCAGACATTTTCATAGTAGTGACATTTTTTCTATTTCAAAAGTATGTTCACGGAATTGAAGTACTTTTCAATTAATAAGCTTTCAACATTCAACAAAATAAAGATGATTGAAAGAATGACTTTTCAAGAAAATCTCTAATGCTTTCAGATAAATTGAGAGAACATTCGAATAGTTCTTACTGTCGAGAGAGACAAGTGAAACGTTCTGAATCATCCGAGTGAGAGAAAATTATCTTAGCTATATGTTTGTACGACGTTATAGGAGAAGCAATTTTCTTGTCAATGATTTCGGCCTGTGTTCATAGGACCTATTTTATTTGATCAACAGAAAAAGTAGGACACAATGACTAGAAGTTATATAGTTTGTTCATCTTGTCTAGAGATATTTCTTCTTGCGTTGAATTTTTATTATTAGTTTAAAAACCGAAAGAAAATAATTGCAACATAATTTCATACTCTGCGTCTTTTCCTTCTATTTGCAGGCTTCCTTTCTCTTTGCCCGCATTTTACAGCAAATAAATCTGTGAATAGAAACAGAGTAGTGCAAATTGCTTTTTCATACTGCACCATGTAATCTTCTTTCGATAGGATGTATGTGTGGGCGATCATACAGCTTCTTGATTCAAATCTAGCACCCACAACCTCAAGATGGATTACTTGGAAACTCGAAGAAACGTTATACTAATTGAAAAATGGTGTATTTTGTCTCAAAAACTGATAGAATTTATACTAAATTAGTATATGAGAAATAGTTTTAATTAAAACTCACTCTTCTCCATGTCATTCTGTTTTTTTCCATGATTCAACGTGACAGAATGTAGACGTCAAGAAAAATGCATTCACTGCAAGAGAGAGACTACTGATCAGCCCGAGCGCAAACAACACATTTTTTAGCAATTATTGTTATATGTGGTGCTTCAAAATAATAAGTCGATGATGTATCTAATGTTAAAAGGAAATTCAAAGCTGTACTAGCAAAATCACCAACGTCTGCTATGAGACTCAATCAAAGAAAAAACTCATGCAGCATTGTAGCATAAATTTATAGCGATTGATGTGTGGTTAGATGCATGAGCATGAGAAAAGAAAAATTTTTTATTTCATTAAACGATTTTAAACAATTGGAATTTCGGGAAACTGACTGTATTACAAGCGAAAACAACTTCATATTGAGATTGCACAGTAAATGAACGAAAAACATAGGAGGCTATGATGTTTAAATGATCTTGGTAGAAAAAGCAAATTTTGGCTTATGTGTCAAAAAAGCAGTTCCATGAGAATGAAATTTGATTAAGAAACATATGGAATGCGTAACAGTGTCAGATATATCAATATAGCAAAGGTGTAGCGGATGCATCAAAAGTCAGCTACTATGTCGATTTTGTTAATAGCTATGTAACCTTTTAAAATAGTATTACTGGTAACGGGTCGTGACTCTTTTATAACCATAGACTGCATGCATAATCAACATCTTTTTTCTTTGAGTTGATAAAAAAAATAAAAACATGACAAACATATATTAAAGACTACAGAAATTATCATGTTTCTATTATTTTCTCATCGTACTATTCAAACAAGAATTCGCTAATCATATGTATGTTACTTAATCTTAAACAATAGAATATATACTTTATTAAATTAATTTCCATGTCATTCATCTGTTTTCCTAGGTCATGATTTTTACATTGTCGTGTTTTTTCTTTCTTTCTATGAATAATAGCACCATAGGCGTAGAATCTAATACAAATTTTTAAATAAAAAAAAAGAATCGTGGAGTCTCACAAATCACTTTTTACAGATGATGATGATGACGACGATGACGAAAAAGGAAAAAAGAATTTATACACATCCCATAATAGGATAAGAAATAAAAACGCAAAAGTTATCAAAAGAAAATATCGTATTTGTTTAAGTTCTCTTGATGTTTGCATCATGGAAGTTTTCTGTAATTCAATAGAATCTTTTAACTAAAATAAATAAATAAAAATTTATCAGATCGATTAGATCTGAAAAATTCAAATTTTGTTTACTATATTTTGCATTTCAACAATTGACGGATCCGACGATATAGATGAACGTAAAGAATTTGTTTCATTTGATTGATTTATTGATGTAACAGATGTTGATTTATTACCGAGTACACATTTCAATCTAAACAATTATTAGTTTTTATATGTTGGAAAACAAAGAATTAATTCAATACCTATGCTCATAGAGAACTGAACTTGGTACAGTTTTCCAAAATTCAACTAATTGTGCTTGTTTTAGCTCATGACCAATTAGTGTCCAGATAATTAAAAATTTTTCTTTGTTTATATCACTTGTGGGTGTACAATAAGCTGCAGAGGAAAATCATAGTTTAAATAGATTGTATTCATCAACAATGAATGTTCAAATAACCTTTTAAGAGATAAACCGATATAGTAGCTGATGCACCCGGATGAAGAAGACTGCAACCAGGTTTAACACGAAATTTATCTGGAGATGTTGTTTTTATTTTAAATGTTAAAATTTTATCACCGACATTTGTTAATGATAATGTTTGAATGCAATCGGCTGTTCCATTGGATGAAGAATCTAATCGGTCAAAGATCATTTCATTGCATGGTCTATAAAATATTATTTTGTTTTATTGAAATTTTTTGTAATTAATACAATCAAACCTAATTGAAAGACCATGATAAACTTTTTCTTCGCCGATATATCCATTTACTACGGTTGCTTTTTGAAGAATTGACTAGAATAATTTCAGAATATAAAAATAATTGGTTGATTTTTTGCTTTCAATTTACTTTTCTGGTCACTGTGTGAGATGAATCGGATGTCAATATGGGAGGATTAGATTCTTCAGGAGTCATTAGCTCATCACTAGGTGATAAATCAAATCTCGGCACATTATCAGTTGTCAGGGGTGATTCTGTGGGTGGTGATGATGAAGGAGTTGGATCAAGTGAATTAGTATCAGCAAAAGTAACCTAATATAATCGAGAAAAAAATGATAAAAAAAAGTTTTTTTCAGTAAAATAATTCAAATTACTTTTTTCTTAGAATTTGCATTCATTGGATCTTCAACAGTTTCGTTTATTGGATCACGAATATGAACATAATTTGTTGTATCCTAAAATAAAAATTGACATTTAGAAATGTTTATCAATTTTTAAATTTCAAAATGTTTCTCTTCGTCTTATGGCCTATAATCTACTTATCTAATGCTCTCTTTCTCTCGCTGTAAATACATGTGTATATATGTGTAATCAATCTATTGCGTTTCGTTTACTTAAATGCAGTAATCATTCAAAATATTCATGATCGACGTGCGTACGCACGAGAACGGAGAAAAGTAAAATAGATCAATAGAAGGATAGTAAATTCTTCATCGATTTGATCGAATGTCCGCTCTCTATAGTTACACATACATCATTCAGATTGAGAGCTTCGTGTGACATAGTAATATAGATACGGCACAAGAGAACGTCGTGATGATTTATTGAATAGTCTGAAAATCTTTTGGCAATGTCGTTCTCGTTGTTGTTGTTGTTGTTGTTATTATTATTATTATTACTATTATTATTATTGGCATAGTCGACATGTCCCGTTTTTTATTCACATTTTCTTCATCGTATTTGATGCCGTTGTTGATGTTATTAATGGTAGACTTGTCGCTGTGTCGTTCATACTCACCCTCAAGAGAGTAGCAAGCTTCGCCCGATATTTTCTTTTTGTCTAAGTTCTCGATTCTGATGAAAAAGCAAAAGGACGAGAAATGTAAAAAAAAACTGATGACGCATCTAGTAAGATTGGATAAAAATAGAAGAAGACGAAGAAGAAAAAAAAAAGAAATAGCGGTAACAGTGGTATAGAACAAAAGAATCAAATAACTGCAATATTTCTCTATTCTCTATCTATCTATCTATCTATAAATGTCTGGAGTACGCGTGAAAAGATGCTTTTATATGTTATGTATACATGTACTTGAAACTTTTTTTATTGCTCGTTTTTCTTTTCTTCTATTATTTCGAAAGAAGCTAAAAACGGAAATGAAGACAATAAATCTGCCTGAAATTCAGCGGGAAAACATATAGCGCTATGGGACCATGCCGAAACGTACTTCATGTAACAGATAAAAAAGAAACGAGAGGAACAAGCATCTTTTTTTTCTTTTGCTCTTCTGTGTTTTTTCTCTCCATGCATGATGGTAGTACGTAATCTTTAACTTGATCGATTCGGTTTACTTACAGTGCCTCCCATTGCTACTGACAGTTGATCGGGTCGTACAAACTGAGTGATTGACTTTGTATCGACGAATTTAATAAATTGTTCCGCTTCACTTGGCAACCAAGAACGAATTATTTTCCATGCAGCTAGAAACGAAACAAAATATCAACATTTTTTTACGCTCGTTCGCCATAGAAATATTCACCAGTCAGAATAAATGGCATGTTGTACTCAATCATGTATGCTAAAACGAGATAGGACAAGTGAATTTTATTTATTTAAATTAACACTATACCTAATAAGCCTGGATAATAAGTTTGTGCACAACCAATGATAAATTTAACTAATTCATAATCCTAAAAATTTAAGTTCGCTGAAATCAATAAAATATTTTTGATAAAATAAAAGCGAACTAGATTTCTGAGGCCAGTTTCACTTAAATCGAAAATAATAACAATTTTTTCACCGGGATGACGTCGAACATGTTTTTCAAAATTATATATCATAAAACGTTTCACAGCTTCATTATCTTCTTGACCTTTATTAAATGTTCGAACAACAAAATGCACTGTAGAGAATAGAATTTGAAAATCTAATCAGATAGAACAATCAATTCGTAGTTACGTAGTCGATGATTATGCCTGTCATGATTTTTGAAATAAATTGCATTACGATCGAAATAATCGGCAGGAAATTCATTTGTTGAAACATCTAGAAGAAAGTGAGTCAAAAAGAAAAAATATTAGATATATTTCAAAAAATCATTGTACCGTAAACATTATTCGCTTTTCTCCATGTCATTGCTGCATCGAAAATGTGAAATGCTCGATTTTTATCAAAATTTGTACCAAACTGTCCGTGTTGAATAAACATCAATGTATATTCATCGATGTGATTAAAACGTTGAATATCACGTCGATCATATTGTTGATCTTCGCTAATTTGTTCTATTAAAAAATAAAAATATTGACTTATGCAATGCAGCGAATACCATCGTACTTTGAAAATGATCATTGACAAGCACCCGAAAATGTTCAACCTTTGAAAAATGAAATTAATTAATTGAATTAAAAAGATAATATTTAACAAAATTATACTGAAATTAATGTTTTAAATATGGGGATGGATGACGCCATTTAACAAAGTAGTATAGTAAATGATAAGAATAAAATATAATACACTGAAGCGAAATAACAGATACAAAATACACCGCTATAATTGAAACACAAGATAATAGATATATTTATAATTGCTTAATAATGCATCTCAATTACTAAATATTCATTTAACAGTATCTGAAATAGTAATAAATAATAAGTTGCTAGTGTTTTAATTTGAGTGGCAACAGGCAATGAATAATATATAGTTATTTCAATATCCTTCTTGTGTTTTCTTCTTGATTTACATTGCAAATAATCAACGGATTCAGTATTTCCTGAAAATTTTTTAATACCAGATGTTGTTCTCACTAATAAACTGAAAAGTTTATTCATGTTTGTTTTCCTCTCAAAGAACGAAAAAGGCTTATCTCCTTTTTTTTAGAATAGTCATCGACCTCAACAGTGTAATTTGGTTTGTACTATAATGGGCTCTGAGAATGTAAACAGAAAATCTACCGAGACTTCTTTTCATCAAAACAATTTCTAGTCAAATAAAAATAAATTAAGTGTCAATATTTATATGGTTAATAATGAAAAATATAAGAAAAACAAATAAACAATTTTTAGTTAAGAAAAAACAGGGAACAGCATGTAGTATTTTCTTATGCATTTCTATTTGCATACACATAAGATTTGAAGCAAGAATAATACCATCTATATTCTTGTTAAAGTTTCAATAATTTGTGTTGGTTAATATTCTTCTGTGAGATTTTCTTCTGGTTCATATTTTATTATAATTAACCATTAATTAACATACATATAAGAAGAACATAAATAGTTGCATAAGAATTTAAAAGCATTCATTTTGGAAATATTTTGCTATATTCTCAAAGATATTTTCCAACGATAATTACGAAAACAAATTGTTTTGTATTATCTTTGATATTTCAAATAAAAGAATGTAATAGGTAATGCATGACTGCAATCATTAAGTATATCTAACATGAGTCACTCATGAAAAATTATGGTTCTCTCAAAAGCTACACCTTTCGAATGTAATTAAGAAGAAAATGAAAAGAAAACATGTTCAACTGAGCAAACGCAATCGTTTTTCTTTTAAGATTTCTAGATATCATATTTTTCGTGGTAATCGAAACGGTTTGCTTCACTCACTTTAGAACGTGCCATTGGCAAAGAAATAAATTGAATAATCAGTATGATAGGATTTCGTATCAGCAAATCTAATAGTTTTAATGAGCTTCAACTAATAACCATTTAAGACTGAGATAACAATCAATATATTACTCGTATGAAAAATAGAGATGCAGTCATTCATATCGATGGAAATTTTTTTTTATATAAGTCAATCGGATTCATCGGGAACAATAAGACAATATTCGAACTAAACGTAAATATTGTATAAATGTGAAGGCGTATTATTAATCATTTTCATAAAATTACTAAATAAGGAATGCGAAGGATATTTAATTGAAGTTGTAAAATCAAATTTATCGTGTAACAGAGAAATAGAACCATAGGATAGGTGATATCATTTTTCGCTTGAGAATAATCGATGACTTTGAAAAAATAATGAGTAATGAGAACAGTGGCGAGTATGAAATTAACATATGTTCATCAGTAAATATAATTAACGGTAAATAGGAAATGTGATCATTTCTATTCTATTCACATGTGCATGGGACTTGTATCCGTTGTGTACTTAATATTCATATCTTTCGACTAAAACAGACTCTTCTTGTCTAAAAAAATATTTAACAGGTATAGAACATATTTTGAAGAAAGAAAAACATTTTTCTCATAAACGTTAAACAAATATTTCGATGGACTAATTACTTCGTCCGTTTTTATTCATATCTTTTCGGTGAACAAAAATATTATCTTTTCTCTTTAAATCACGCAATATTCCATATAAAAATTTTCTTTGCTACAACTAAGACTCATCACTTGAAGTACCACCCATTGCTTTCGACAATTGATCAAGTGCAACATATTGTGTGATTGTTTTTTCATCTACAAATTTAACACCATTCTGTGTTTCTGTTGGCATCCATGTTTTAATTAGTTTCCAAGCCGCTAAAAGAGCAACAATGTAAAAGATTTCAACAGTCTAATGAAAATAAAAACGAATATTTTACCTTGTAGAATGAATGGAAGTTTATAGACCAAAAAATACGCTAAAAGGAAAAAACCTATAGATCGCAATATATCAATAAAAAATAAACATACAGAGTAGTCCTGGGAAATAATATAGTAAAGCACTAATAACAAATTTAACCAGATCATAATCCTTAATGGAGAAAAAGTTTTAGAAGAATACGAATATTTTTTTCTTCTATAAACAAAAAACTAACCAAATGCCTAAGACCCGTGTCAGTCATATCAAAAAGTATAACAATTCTTTGGCCAGGATATGTTCGGATATGTTCTTCAAAATTATATGCCATGAAGCGTTTCACCATCTCATTATCTAACTCTCCTTTATTAAACGTACGAACAACATAATGCACTGTACAATAAAAAAAATGAAGATAATTAAAAAGCAGTTTATAATCAAGTTAAACTTACATAACCGATGATTGTTAATGTCATGATTTTTATAATAGATTGCACGTCTTTCTAAATAAGTTGCTGGAAATTGATCGAGTGAAACATCTAACAATGATAATCGACTAATGTTAGATACCTGAATATGAAAATAAAATTTACCATAGATATTATTTTGCTTTCGCCATATCATCGTATCATGAAAACAGCGTAATGCTTTTGGTTCGTCAAATGTTTTAGCAGTTTGTCCATGTTGTATAATCATCAATGCATAATCATCGTTTTCATTAAAACGTTTTATATCGTTTGTATCGAATTGTTTATCATCACTAATTTCTTCTAAATAAGAAAATAAAGATTGGCTAAAACAAAACAAATAACAAATATTTACTCGAAAAATGCTCATTAGTCGTTTTGCGAAATTCTTCAACCTTCGGAATAAAACGAAACACTAAAAATGAAATAAAATAATCCGCAGGGATTTTACTGTAGTTAGTGTGTGATATTTTGGAATTGATGCAGCCATAGAGAGGTGTGCTGAAGCAGTGAATATAAGTGATAACAGAAAAATGGTTTAAATAATAGTAAAAGATAAGAAAGATACATGGTGATAAATCTTGCATGTTTTTTAAGGTGACTATGTAAGAATTCTAAATTTGCCTCGTCATTCAAGTTTCTTAAAATGAATACTTGAACTTTTGACTGCTGGTTTATTTCTCTATTAGAAATATTGAGTTATTGTTAAAGAGAAAAAGTCATTGTAGTTCTATGTTTTGATATATACGAAGAATTAAAAGAATTTTAAATAAGAAAGCATATTTTCAATATTTATCCATCAAATCAAATTTTTTATCATTATAAGATTTTTGGTCGAGGCAACACTTCTGTTTAGTGTCATAAAAAGCAAGTGATGTCTGAATTCTTTCTTAGTGTTACAATCCGTTTTCATCAATGTGTTAAAGCAATCGACAAAAAGCATTGAACGTGTTCGTACATACGTAAGTTTTCATTTTGTTTCAAAATACTGTTTACAGATGAATTCTACCATTTGAAATAGGCTAATAGATATGCTACACATAACGCAATTCTTCAAATGCAATGCTTACTTTTGATATTCTAGAAAACAAGCCAATAATCTGTAATAGAGAAAACAATGAATCCTTGATTTTTTAGATAATTCAATCAACTGAAAATTTTTTAAAACTTTAAATGCCTCGGTTTTTCATTCATTTTGGTCGAAGATGCCCGTAAGTTAGTCGAATAGTAAAAAGAATTTCTTGTTGTAAATTATCAGGTTTTTGTTTAAAACAAGAACAGTGCACGAAACTACACACACATTTATCTTACAGCTGAATACATCAAACATCAAAAAAAAGTCATCATTAAATAAAAGAGAAAATATAGACAAAGAATAAATGAATATATTTCTTTTTTCTTTATATACAGCATGTTTTGTGAAAATCAATTTGAGACCTCTGGAAATGTGTGCATCTGACTGGCAAAAAAAGGTTTTCCTTTTTGTTTTATCATTTGAATTTAAATATAACCGTAACGATCATGAAAATTACTATGAACATCACGGATTTTTCTACGTTCGTTTTCTGTTAATTTTGCTTGTCCAGGCACAACAACAGCCTTTCTTGGTTCGTGCTCATTATCAGTCTGTTTATCATCCTTATCATCTCCATCAGCAAGTGATGCTTCAATAACACGCTGAGCAGGCCACATTTTTGTTCTAAGTTTGAAGAAAAAAAACCAAAGATTTTAATTCATGGCCCAAAACAAAAATGAATATTATCTTACACTTGATCAGGTCCGATAGCTTGGCCAGGTCGTAATGAATTGATTTCTCTTGCTATATGTTCAGCATGAGTACTTTCAATGCCCATTAAACGAGCAAGATGTTTTATTTGTTCGACAGGTTCATGATGAGTAGATTCGTAACGAAAATCTCCTTTAGCATTGGAACGCCAATAATCAAATGCAGTCATATAAGCTTTAAGTCTTGAAAGAATAACTCCGATATCATGTTTCATCCAACCTAAATTATTGAAAAAATCATTTTATTTAAATTAATTTTTTCGAAAAGTCGTATATTTTACCAATCGCTAAACAATCATCAATAACATCACGTAAATCTCGATGAGATACAAATACCATATAACCATGTCCCGATTGATCAAGATCTTGTGCCCAATTGGAATCCGGTATACGCATTGTACGTATAACTAGTGGACGACCACATGCTTCGATTAAACGTGTTTCAAGATCATTTTTTGTTATATGATTTAAACGATAGCTATCCGCTGGGCCAAATGGAGAATCTTGATGTACAAGAAGCAAACGAACAGCATTAAATAACCACGACGTTCCTTTGAATAGAAGAAAAAAATTATGTTTAGAGAAAAACAAAACAATCATTAATCATGCCTGATCGTTCTGGTCCAGCTATAATATACACCTATACGTAGTATTATAATAAGATTAAAGTCATGATTAATTATTAACTTACCGGACCGAAACGATTGGATTTCTTTGGGCTTAATTTCAATTGAAATGAATCACGATATTTTTCGACTAAAAATCAAATATTATTTATTTATTTATTTGCTATTACAATATTAAATTAGAAAACTGACTGGCTCGTTTTTCTTCTTCGGTTTGATGTCGATAATTGCAAAGTGCATGACAATATTTTCCTTTAAGAAAATCAGGACAATCGAATAGTTTTGGAAATTCTTCTTCCATTTATCTTTATTTAGAATACGTCAGTCAATGTTAGCTTCTCTGAATTGTATCTTTGAAAGGAAACATGGATGGGATGGGATGGGAGACATCAATTCTATTCTATAATTCAATCAAAAATGATTGGCTAGTTTTTGACTGCTTTTTATAATCGGCATAGATGTCAGGTATACCAAAATGAAGCATACATATATATATAATATATATATTGAATGATCTTAGGATTTATTAGTTGACTAGTGTCAATTGATTTTAAAAGATTTCTGTGAGAAAAATCATCTTTTCATTTCATTTCAATGAAATAACATCATTGTGTAATCAGCCAAAAGTATCTTGAGCGATATAATTATCAGGAATGTTCTGTAATCATATCGATGATGCCAGAAGCATTCTAATATCATTTGTATTAGTATTTATTACACTTGTCAGACAATGGCAGCAAATGATGCAACATTGTTCAACAAAGACTTTAACCGACAGTGCTTAATGATTAAGTAAATATTCTTGTACGACTTTAGGACATCTAATTGGTGCATTTACGTGAACTCAGTTTCAAGTGAAAAATTCACATGTATGGTTTTCCTTTAGAGTTGAATTTTGTTACAAAAAAACTGATAATAAAAAACGCAAGTCGACTAAAACAAAAACTTAGCAACCATGATTATGTTCCTGATACGGCTGCAAATATGTGTAAATTTATATTTACTACAACACTTTTCATGAGAAGCACACGAATGAACTACGTACAATATGAAAAAAACAAACAAAGAAGAAATGCAACGAGTTAAAAGAAAACACACATTGACATACTAGCTGTAAGAAATCGGTTTAGAGCATAGGTTGCTGCTACCAAAAACAAAAAAAGATAGAGAGAAAAAATTTAATTTTAGCAAAACAGATAGAAAAAGAAGATCACTTTTATTTTTTGTTATGGGTACTGTTTCGTGCGTGGAAAAAACTCTCAAAAGAAAACAAACAAAAACGTTTCTATGTTCGAAGTGATGATTTGAAATGATTTCGATTGAGTGGTTTCGTTGTTTTCTTGTCTAAAACACTATTTGTTAGTTCAGCTTTTTTAGCCATAACATCAAAACTTTGATTTGTTTCTCTTAAATAGTCCCGAAGATCTTGTGAAGATTTTGCCAATGATCGAGACTATTGTTAAAATGAAAAAACAAATGATGAAAATAAAACTTCGATAGAAAGCAAGAAAACTTCATACTAAATTTGTCGTCTCTTCTTTATCTTTAATAAAATGTTTTGTACGTCGATCTTTGCTTTGTATTTTGTGTAGTAATTCTAAACGTTGTCTTTGTAAATCCGTGAGTTGTCTATTTTAAATAAAGAACGAATAAAGAAAAACTAAGTAGTTTCTTTTTTGGCATACTCTTCATGATTTTTCTGTTGTAATGTTCCGTAGAATTGTCGTGTATGATGCAGTTTATTAATTTTACGACGAGTTTCATTTTCTCGTCGTTCGTCAGCTTTTGTTTGAACCTGCATAGATAGAAATTAACATGTTAAGAAAATGTCACGTATTATATTAAATTTAACTGACCAGAAAATCATGTAATAATGTTTCTTGACGTTCTAGTTCTCTTTCTTTTTCACTTCGAAGTGCATTTTCTCGTGCTTTTTGAATTTTTAATTCATGATCATAGCTTAAAAAGAAGAGAAAAAAATGGCATTATACAAAAACTTTTTTGTCTTCATACATAATCAAATTCCAGGGGTACTCAGAGCGTAAAAGGTCGAATGGATGATATTTTCATCCAAACGTTACAATTTTTCGCTTCTTTTCAATAGATCTCTAAGATATTTTATTTACTAATGCACAAAATCGTTTCTAGCGACTTTAAAACACTTCACTGATAGGTACATACTGTCCAAGTAATACTTCATATTGTTTCCTTTCAAATCCTGCAGCATCTGGATCATTTGCTGCATTTGAATGAGCTACACGTCGTTCTATCATTTGTTTCACATTTTCAAGACCAGATCTAACAAAATATAAATTTCGATATCATATTTACGAAAAGCAAAATAAGAATCTGTTTCTTACACATATCGTTCATTTTTATTTTGTTTTGGTATACTATCTGATGTACTCATACGTCGAAGATTTTTGCTCTAAAATAAAGCTTTAGATTTTGAAAATTTTCTTTCAAGTATAATTAACTAACCAGCCGTTGAACGTCGTCATGTAAATGAGCTGAAGAAGATGCTCGTTGCTCATATGAATCATCGCGATTATTAGCATCATCATATAATGATGTTGGTGGCCATTGAGAACTTGCTGATTTAAGAATTGAATTTGCTACTGTTGTACGATTTGAAGATGTTGGTCTGGGTGGAAGATGAGTATTTGTGTCGTATTCAGAAAACTTGACACCTGTTGCTGATTGAGAACGAACTGGAACACTGCTGATTGTAGTTGGTTGATCAAGGCCATGTAGAAGAGAGTTGGATGGATTAAATTTTGTGTCAAAAAAAGTTCTATACATATACGTATATATATATAAAAGTTTAGGAAGGAAATGAAATTCTTTAATTATGTGTACCTTTGAGGTAGTGAACGGTCATGAACAGTAGAGGGCTCTTATGAAAGAAAACAAAGCATGGATTTTTCACCGTGGAAATAAAATAAATCTTACGAGGTTCAATCACTTTTGTTGATGATGGATTAGCAAGCGCTTCCTCTCGAATAATTTTCTCACGTTCTTCTCGGCAACGTTGTAGATTTCCTAGAACAAATATTCACGTTTAATCATTAATTAAATTTCTAATCAAATTTATTTTAAAAACCTAATCGATCTACATCCATTTTATCTCGTACATCTGCCAATGTTGAAAGTCGTACTTTTTCCGAGCCAATATCATCTTGTACATCAGCTAATCGTTTTGGAAGTAATGTTACAGGCTAAATCCGTAAAAACAATTCACATTTCGTACCGTAGATAGGATAGATTTATTTTATTTTTGTATACCTTAATATTAAGACGAGCACAAGCTTCAAGCGAACGAGGACTTGTCAGCACATATTTTGAATCAATAAAATCGATATGATCAAAATTATATAAATCAATCTTTAATTGACCTCGTATTTGTAACGAACTGCTAATTGGTCGTTTACGTTCATTTCGACGTTGATTTAATGGTAGAGTTGATGTACCGGTTGTTGGCCGTGTTAAATTTAAGCAACCAGACGTATCAAAAAATCGAGTAGCATCACCACCGCTCATCTCTTAGTTACTTTTGCTTTGATTTGTCGTTTTCTTCTCAAGCAATAGCAGCCATGACGTTGTTCGTTGACTAAGCGATGCCTCCACGAACAATGTGTTCTCTTTCTATTTACTGAGAATTGCATTTTTTGTACAATAAAGAAAATAAAAATAAATCAAGAACACAGTATGATTGAAACACACAGCTTTGGCTGCGATAGCAATACGAAGTTATAATGCGCAGAATATGTGCATTTTATCACTCCGTAACTCCCTGACACAGATAAATACGCTGAATGTGATCTATTTCTTCTGTTCTATGTGACGTTATCAAAAAACACAAGAACTTGAAATTTCAATGTCACTGTATTCTTCTTTCATATGCAAATAAATGCGATCCTCTGATTCGTATTGAACATTGATGCAGTAATAAAAGAACAAGATGCACATAACTACCTATTTCTCGTCGTTGGTGATTATTTTTAAATAATCATACTCTATGCGAATCACCGAAAAAAAAACATAATATGAACGATGGCAGAAGGCCTTGTTGAATATTATTCTAGAGAAAAATAAAACGAAATTCCATTCTAAACACTTAAGTCATATATATTCTAGACAGAAACATTATCTCTACTCATTGTCAACGACATTAAATGGCTGAAAAATTTTTACATTATGTTAAAGACAAAAAGCATGAACTAGTGTCAACGGTTCATGAACATATTTCATCGATGACAGATACAACAGGAACACTTGCTAAACAAAAACTTTTACAAAAGTTGATTACATCTGGTGTTTTAAAAAGTGAACATATTCGGCAGGCACTTCAAATTGGTGCGTAAGTTTTTTTTTATCGGAGCATGGCTGCTTGTTTCAATAATACTCTAGTTAAATTTGGCGTATTAATTTCAACCTTGCTTTGTTCTAACTAAAGTTTTCGCTACTAGGCATTGGTTATTTTCTTGATGATCAACTTGATCGGTCTAAGACATTAAATGAATATACTCAACGAGTCAAATTTCCAACATGTGGTAGCATACTGACACCATCGCATAATTTGCCAGATTTTGATATTGAAGCATATGGAATTGATTTATTTTATAAGCTAATGAACATTTATGATATTCAACCAACAACATTACGGTCACATATATGTCAAGGTGAACTTAGAGAAATAGTAAATCCATCGAGTTCAGGTTCACTTCTCTATTTAACATCAGATGCATTATTTCTTATTAAAACAGTTCGTGATTATGATGCAAAATTTATTCAACAAAAATTTTTAAATGAATATTGTCAATATGTAACCAGTACTCCAGCAACATTTATCGCAAAATTATTTGGTTGTTTTGGTTATATACCTTATCTATCGCAACAGAAAGGTATAACAGTGGATTCATTTACATTACGGTTTGCCATATTTTCAAATTTTATTCCAACGAATATTGTAATTCACGAAAAATATGATTTAAAAGGTTCATCCTATAAACGTGATGCAAGTGCTACAGAAAAACAAAAGACATCGGCAACATTTAAAGATAATGATTTTCGTGATATACATCCTGAGGGCTTGACATTACCAAAAAGTGTTTATTATCTTTTAAAAGATGTTATTACGCGCGACGTAGAATTTTTACAAAAACTGAATGTTATGGATTATTCATTACTGCTAAGTAATATATTTATAGATAAAAAATTTTCTTAGCTTTTCATTAGTTATTCTTAATTAAATAGCTGTTCATAATATGGATAATCAAGTGAAGCCAACCCGTATTGGTACGCTCGAATCTTTAATCAGTAATGCTCGTGATGCATTTCTAGTTGGCATGGCACAACAAGTGGATCAACTCGATGAAGAAAAATCGAAAACGCCATTAAAATTTAAAAATCCAATGGAAACATTAGGTGTGGGCCATAAAGAAATGTCAACATTTGATGCTGAAAATGCTAAAAAAATTGGGTAAGTTTAAATGAGTCAAATGTTTGTTTGAAAAATTCAGCTAAACTTGTGTTTCGACTCCAAATTTCTTTATTTGAGAATGAGTGAATTTAAAGTGAGCGTCAATGTAGAATCTTGAAACCAGAACGTATCAATAAATAAATGTGGAAACTTCGGATTTCACCCGAGAGTTATGTGTACTGCAAAAAGTGCATGGGACATATGAGTCATTCTAGAATATCTGAACACCAAAATGATCATGAGAAACTGGGCAATTTGATTTCTGGATGCAGTTTTTGTGTATTTTGAGACGTTTTTCAGGCGATGTTTCGTTAGAAAGCTACGATTTAGTTCAAAACTAACACCAGATTCAGAATCAGCGTTAAAAACTCAGTCGATTTATATATGTTGTGGATACTTCTGAGAAAAAAAATGTTTCTTTTAAAAAATCCCTGTACTCCCCCTCAGGGATGGCCTGATCAAAAATGACAATTTTTCGATAACTCAGCCATTTCTTGACGGATCCTTCTCATCTTTGAACTCGACCTAGATATTGATGAGATTGAACTGCGCACAAAATTTCAGCTCAATCGAATGTAATTGTGAAGAGTTACCGAATAAACGGACGGCCTGACACACTGACCAATTTTAGTAGTGTACTCACTTTTTGAGTACACAAAAAAAGATTTATCTCTTAAGTGTTGATTTTCGCAGATCTTTAGTGCATTAACTACTTTTGCAAGTATACGATGAGTTCATCTCTGTCAACAGTAGTGATAATGCTCAATAGTATCTAATACAGATATGATGGGAAAAAAAGAATCGGAAAACTACTTATATCTATGATACAACTGCCATAGTAGCCATGGTATCTTTATCAGTAGATATGGACCACTCATCTCCTCGTCAATTATTTCATTTACTAATTTACAAAAAGAAACTTGTTTTATTTTCATCAGATAATTCTATTTTCACATTGAATTTGAGAAGAATGGAGAATATACAGTTCATAGATATTAATTAAAAGTTTACGAAAACTTGAGTGACCGATATATGATCTTGATCGTCTTTGCACTGAATCAATATATTGATTTATATGCAGAACTTCTACAAGAATGCTACCGTTATTTCATATAATGAAGAATCTGTTTTGGTTGTCCAAATTTTCTATAGAACTTCCATTTGATATTTCTATGACCAAATATATCTATTTTTAACACTTTAACGTACTCCTATATTAGGTTTTGCACTGTAAGTATATGGTAATATGCTAGCTGGAGTTTCACTTGATTAAAAAACAACATTTCGGTTCGTCATATTATAGTGTTACATGTGTGATTATTAACTTATTAGCACTACTTTGCTATGTACACTTTAAACAAGCTAGTGTTTTTCTTAAAGGAAAAATTATATTTACTTTATCATCTATTCTAGAGGTATTCCTGCAATAAATGAAAAAGGTGAATGGGTTCTTCTGTTTTTCGGTATTATTGATATATTACAAACGTAAGTTAACTTACAGTTGTTTCCTTAATTTCAACTTTGAATATTTTTCAATCGATATAGATTTGATATATGTAAAGTAATGCAACGACAATATCAAACGGTTGAAAATCCGGATGTTGTTGATGATCGTTCGATTGTAGAAACTGATTTTTATGCTGATAGATTCAAAAAATTTGTATTTGAACGTGTTTTTCGTCCAGCTGAAGATGAACTTTGCACACATCCTATGTCAATGAATGCATTTTCTTAGTTCTCTTCATTAAGACATTGATAATCGAACAATAATTAAATCTAAACTTCTAAATTTTTGAATCATTGCTGTCTATGCGCTATGCCTGCATGCTTCAGTTAAATATATAATATAATATTAATGATTAAATCGATGTTCTATTATTGATATAAACGAGCAAGAAAAAGACAAATAGGAATACAAAAAGAAAGATGAAAACATTGTCTAATTGGTATCTTTTTACAAGGACCAAAATGAATATGAGTTGTACTCATAAAAATATATTTGAATCAGATTACAATTGTTTGAGAGAAAAAAGAACGGGAATAGGGAAAAGGATGACTGGGATGCTCGATGAATAATCTCACGTATAAAAACCAACACTGTTTTTTTTCTTTTCTAAAATATTGGTTGATGTTTTATTTTATTGCTCATTGCTTCTTTTGTTTTCTTAATATTAACACTACTACATGCATGGATACGACTATAAGGAAAAACAAACAGAGAATGTCACTTGTTTTCACAACAGGGACCGAAAATAAAAATAACAATATTTATCAGCTTGATAAAACTAAAATATTCTTTTTCTTTCTATAATTAAAATTCTTATTGCACACGATTAAATATTGTCTTCGTTTTCAGAATATTTCTTTTGTACAATACAATAACAGTAAAAAAAAAGAGAGAGAGAGAGAGAGAAAGAGAAAGAAAGATAGAAACAACAGATCATATGCTCGTTGTAAATCCCTATTTAGCATGAAGAGGAATGCAAATGAATATCGCACAAAACATATTGAGATAAAATTAACTGAAATGATGATTTGATATTTGATTCCCATGATATTGAAGTGGTGTTGATGGAGATCGCACCAATGCTCGTTTACCTGGCATTTTTGTTAGAGATTTACACAGCATCGCGAAGTCTGGACGATCATCTGCTACAAATGACCAGCATTGATTGATAATATCCTATAAGGAATAAGATATTTCTGTTGAAGTATCATGAGAGCTTATCTTTTTTTTTTCTAGATCTAATTAGTTACAGATTAGTGGCTATTTCTGTTTATTAATTAAAGAGGGACAAGTGTACTTCGTCATTTTCCAAAGATGTGATTTTCCCGAAAAATTTAGCTAACCAACGTGTTTTCACAAATATATATTAGTTTGATTTGATTATATATATATAAGAGTATGTAATATTAAAATGAATTGAATATAGTTCCTATCAGAGCAGAGCACAGCACAAGTTTTCTGCCCTGTCCTGATACCCTGGTCCGTCCTGGCGGGCGGCAGGACAGGACAGGACAGCAGGGCAGTTCTGTTCTGTGCTCAGCTCTGGTTTCTATTGCAAGATTTTAGATAGTTTTTTTACAAATTGGAAGATACTAAAAAATGAATAGATAGTCAGAGATAGCTAAAAATGTTCTAAAAGTTAGTTTTCACATTTCATATACTAATATAACATTCAAAGTAAACTAATACTTACTTTAGCATTTTTACTAATATGAACACTACTCAGTGGTTGTTTGAGAGAATTGCCTGCTCTCCATATAATATATTCTGGTGGTTGTTTTGAAAATGGAAATTCTCGAAATAGAAGTTCATACCAAACAGTTCTTTAAAACAAAAGCACAAATGTCATTGGTTCGTCCTATTTCACTAAAATATATCTTTGTTCTTTAATTTACCCGAATGCATAAACATCTGTTTGAGGTGTATGCCGTAGAAGTGTTTGTTCATTACGTGGATCAAGTTTACGTATTAGTTCAGGTGCTAAATAGCTCAACCAACCACGTGGAGCTATTATACATGGCTGATCATTGTATCGATAACATTTACTCAATGGTACTAAACCATAATCAGTTAAAATAATTCGATTGTTTTGTATAAAGATATTCGATGTTCTTAGTGACATATGATTAATAGATTTTTCATGTAAATAACTCATCGCTTGAGCTATTTGTGCAGCATAATTTACAGCTAAATTAAGTGGAATAACATCATTACGTATGTGAATCATTTCAAATAGAGTCGAGCCACGAATCCAGCTAAAAATTATTTATTTTTATTAGAAGAGAAATAAATTCTGAATAAGAAAAGTCGACTTACTTTGAAGCAATTGCAAAATTAGGACTTTCAACTAGTCAAGAAAAAGATTCGAAATAAAATAAATGATTATCAAATTTGGAAAAATGCATATGAATACGTACTACAAACACCAGTATATAAATTTAAATGTTCATGTCGAACTTTTCGTAATCGAAATACCTTTGAAATAAAAATCGTGAAAATTCATATGATGAAACTGGAGACTATCTATCTTACTTGATTTCTGAATAGATTTAAAAATTCAACTTCACTTAGTTTAGGATCAGGCTTTATTATTCTTACAGCAAGCTCTCCATGCCAATGAGCCCTAATGAAAACGAAAGTTTATTTAGAACAAAAGATAATTTATGTTATGGTTGATTTTGTTTTTTTTACTTCATCAATGTTCCAGAAGACCGTCGTACTTCTTCAATCATTTTTATATTATTATACACAATTACCCAATCTTGTATCGATGTTGAAAGCTAAATATGAAGAAAAACAAACGGTTGAGAATCTTTGTTTTAACTTAAAATATAACAGGTTGTTTCATGTAAAAAAATCTTATGATGAATTGAAGAAAAAAGTCAAGCCTTTTAAACATATCGATGTGGAAAGTACTTAAACTTGTAAACCGTCGATTGAACTTATAATTGAATTCGGAAGATGATCTTGGCAATGGTAGAAAATATCTAAGAGCAAAGTATGCTAGTTTATTTTGGAAATTCAATATTCTTGAATATAAGAATTCTCTCGGTTTGCTAAAGTCATCTTGCGAGTCCAATATAAGCTGGAACAGCAAATTACAGTCCTAGTAATTTCTTGGTCATTTGTTCAAACTTTTTTAAAAATATTTTCACTCTCCGAAATGCGATCTGCTCATTTTAAAGACAAGCGTGTAGAGAACAATTTACATTAAGATTTCGTTTTTCTGGATCGGCTTCATCGTCGTCGAATGAAATAGAAAGTTTTGATTTAAAATCTTCTCGATTCGGATGTGTTGGTTCGCTCTAGAAAATTAAACACGCATTTTTATATAAATTAATTATCACAGTTGATTTACTTGTGATGATTTCTGTGGAAGTGTACTGTGCGTTGTCTGTGTCGATTCGGTCATATTAGTTCCAGATTCAGTTTGAATTGTTGAACTAAATCTTCAATAAAATTAAAAAGAAAAATGCATAGGTTTACTTTACATACTTTGTATCACTATCGGATTGAGATTCAGTAATTTCTAAAAAAATAATTATTTGTTTTTAGTAGGTCGCGGTGAGTTTTTACAGAAGGAAGCAAAGAACAAAACAAATATTAGTGTTTTTTTTTCGACAGACAACATAAAGAGAATGCAGAGGTTTATTTCCGACACCACATATACTAGTATACATTCTTTTTCACCCACCTGATGCAGTTTTCGTGTTCGTCTCTATAACGACCCAACTATCAGGATCATTTTGAGCTAAAGGTAAAAAATAAGAATGAACGGTGCATTTTCTTTTTTTTTGTTATCTTCAGATAATACTATTCATTCACCATAATACGAAAATATGAAATCATAAAGTTTCCAAAAAATGTAATTAATTTTTGTTACTCACACACACTTCTTTTCAATTTTATAGAATATTCCAGTACAGGTGGATGCAAACTCGCAACTGTAAAGGAATTTGATTTGTTTATTTTTAAAATATACAATTATTGTTGGAATCATGCAATCTCGTAATATTTTTTGTAGAAAAAACGAAACTTACTGCAATAAATAGATTCACTAACAGATATCGATGGATTTCCATTTAATATCGACGAATTAAAATGATAACCAGGAATTAATGAATTTGGTGCAGGTGAACCTGGAGCTGATATCGGAGTCGACGGTGTTGGACTTGCACTATCAGACGCTAGAATAATAATCATCGTACATAAAAGTGAAATTATATTTCACAATATAACGTACGAGTAAAATGATATTTTCTTGATGATGGACTGGAATTAACTAAAATGATATAGTGAAAATGATACATTGAATACTACTTTTTCGTATGTATAGTTAGATATTTACTAAAAGCATTTTGAAAATCAGTATTATCAATAGCTTGTCGAAGTTTTCCTTCACTAAAACCACAATTAGCCGGAGCATTTGGAACGCATTCTTTGTGACATTTGTATCTTGGTTTAAAAATAAATAAATATTTATATGAAACAACAAAATTTTCAATAAAAATCAAAATAGCAATCATTCTTAGTCAAGGAGACTATCATGCTTTTCTACTATGTCATGCTGCATCGGTTTAGCATTTTTTTTTAAACACGATTTTATCGGCAAGGTGCATTTCGAGCGTCTTACTTGCAATGAAGACATGCTTTTCCTCGAAACACCTGTCTCTTACAGACGTCACAAAAGGAAAATTTGAATACACGGGTTCTGTGAAACCTAGAAGAATAATGTAAAAAAAAAAGAAATTTTCGTTTTAGTTGTTTCATTCGTTTTGCTGGCGCGCGGAAAGCAGAAAATAGGAAAAGATGATGATGATAGTGGTTAATAAAAAGTCTAGGACGAAAAAAAAACGAATCAAATCCTATAGAATACGCGATTTCTTACTAAAACAATTTGAATCATTTTTGTTGTCATGTATCTTACTTGCAAATATTGCATTTGGAGCCCAGAAAGAAGATTCGCCGTGAACACACATTACATATTGATAATTTGATTAGATTACTCCACCTGAGAATAACATAGAGAGAAAAGAAAAAGAAAACAATAGGGTCGCTGTTGTCATTTAGAAAGAATTACATTTACAATTACTACCAAAACTGAATAACAATACAATAACAATGAAGATATTTAGAATTAAATAAACAGTTAGACCAAATATATAAAGAATTACAACATTAAATCATATGATAGAGTGATTATATGAATATATATATATATATATGGTTATACATGTGTGTACGTGTGTATTACTTAAAAGAAGTAAGCTAAAGCGTGAGTACAAGCACAACATAGAAATTATTTTTAATACGAACTTGTGTTGAATTTTATGTGCCATTCGATGTGTAAGAATAGGAGAATGCGTATTGTAAAGTGGAATACCTATGAAAAACAAATCATTAATTGATTAGAATAAGAGAGAAAGATATTTTCATGATTTACTTGATGTTTTGGGTTCATTTTCTGTATCACTATTATATGCTGAACCCATTGGTGAACCTGACATAGTAGGCGAACGAACTGTTGGTGATTTAGGTGTTGCTGTACCTATTCATAATAATCAAGATTATCATTTAAAATCAAAATAAAACAAATATATCAAGGATAACGTTAATCATGAGCATATAGAATTAGAAGCAGATTTAAGTCAACCTTATCCGAGCAAGTAGCATAAATTATAGTTGTTATTATAGTGCTAACCGTCTTTTGAGATAGATCTATCCCAAAAATGGTTTTTTACAGGTTTCGATGCAGTTTTATTTTCATCATATATTTTACTATCTGAATTCAACGGTTGACTACTATTCGTATTTTGTCCCATGGATTCTGATGTCGCTTGTTGTTTGATTAATGCTGCTGGCATTGATTTTGAATGATAGTATTTTTTATATGCAGCAAAAGCCGTCTTACGCATATCCATCTGACGTGAAACATTGGATGTTTCATTCTTATGAGTGCGCTCAAGTTCTAATACAAAATAGAAACATTTTTTAAGAGCCAAATTCATTAAGTAATAACAAAAACACAAATGCCGTCAATCACATTTTAATCTTGAGACAAGAAAATTGTCATACAATCCCGGTGTGAACAAAATGTAGCGCATGACATAACTGCACTCATTAATCACAGGCAGATGGTTTTATTCTCTTCATTCTTGGACACACTTGTTTACCGTTATGTCATATGATCCTTTTGGGATGTCATAAAAACCTGGCTTATACATTATAATGGTACATTAATTAGCATACGATCTATGACAGTCACTGGAAACTTGCTCGCCGATGTACGGATATCGTCCCTGTGGGTAGTATACTGCTTAATGTTTTCATCCATCCGTATATTACCAAAAGAAAACAATTTCCGAAAGCATGTTTAACCGTCTGAATCGTAGTTCTTATTACGAGCTTGATTTACTTCCACTTAGAAAATACAACCACTAGCTACTGTTATTGTAAAATCTACTTAAAGAAGATACTTTTAAAGGCAAATTGAACATGAGAAAAACATTCAGCATGTTTTTTTTACCGCATGCGCTTCGTAGGAAAGGTTTAAAGTGTTACGAAAACACGATTTTCGAATGTTTTTCAAATAGTAAGCTTGCCTTTTGACGATTTCTTCATGCATATTTTTCGATTAAAATAAAACATCACAGTTTTCTCTTAATGGACGTGAAAAGGCTTTTAGTAAGAGCTAAGATTAGAACGACTGAACATACTCTTGAAAATTCATTTCTGCTACAATAAGCTAAGCGTGTGATTTCGATTACCAATAGTAGTGCTGTATCGTTGAACTACCCCGAGAGACTAAAACATTTATCTCTATACTTCAAATTCTCCTTTCAAATTATGTTTCGTAAGCAGAAGACCCAACTTCCGTAAATATGTATGCAACTAGAGTTTTATATTTTAAAATCTAACCAAATGCGTGTAATGAAAAGATAATTAATGAAATATTCTGCGTTTTTATGCAACCGATAAGAGTTCTATCTTACCAGACTGTAATTGACTTTCCGTATCAGAACCATAAGAACCTCGGCGAGATGCTAAACCGCCGTCCGGGATTTGCAGATCTGCAGTACGTGATGGATTAAAACTAATTGGAAAATAGAATGAATGCTTTTTCAAACAACTACGATTGATTTCTTGTTTTTCTTACTTGGCAAATATTGCTGGGTCAACCGAACTTTTTTTACTTGGATGTTCACATTTTCCTTTACCATTTACACATAAATGATTGGAACGAGACGGTGGAGGTGTATGAGTGGCTAAATTTAAAAAAAGAGAAATAATCACTTAAAAAGAGTGAAATTCTCACTATTATTCCGCCGTGTCGGTGGTAATGTTGTTAGTGGTGTCTGATTGTGATTATTTGCTACAGTGCCAAATTCAGTTGAAAGTGATAAAGATACAGATGTTGACCGTACTGAGTCTGTGTTGGGTGGTGCTGGAAGTACTAAGCGATTATGAAAATATTTATATTTAATCGAAATCGGAGAAACAGAAAAATTTTACCAGTATCTGACAAACGATGTTGACGAACAGAATAAGGTGTAATCGTTGTTGGAGGTGGTGTTTCAGTATGCCAATAAAAACGTCCATTATCATTTGTACCGCCATGAGAAAAATAGTCTATGAGAAAGAAAAATTCTTAGTCTAAAATAAACTAGTTTTCAAAACTATCCTACCAATACAATCTTTTAATGCATTCAATGCACTACGAAAATCTTTCCGTTCAGCTTCAGTTGTTTCAGCATCGTATAAGAGTTTTTCACGTGCAGTAGCTTTTCCATTTAACAAATCATCAAATGTCATACGTTTTGTAATAAACTAAAATAAAAACAGAAATTTATTGATATGAAGAAGTACAGCACATGGATAACAACAGATATAAACTTACTTCAATGCCTTTTTTATTAAGATTAATAACAGACAAAAAACGATCAAGTTTAAAATATTCACTGTGAAATTCACCATTTTGACTATTGGCTTTTTCTGACTGTAGTAACATTAATTGACGAGCAAAAAATCCAATCACGCGACTCTATAATTAAAATTGTTTGGTCATAGATAGAAAAAAAACACGTATTTTATGCTTACTTCATTGTTACGCATTAACTCATATTTGAGCGATAAATCAGACATAGTTTCACTGTTAAATACTGTCAATTGGTCGATGGCATATGTAAGAGCATCATCAAGATTACGCAAATCTTGTGATAATGTTCGATTGTAGTCAACTGTTGTAGTTGGAGTAGAAGGCATCGATGATTTATCATCGGCATTCTCATTACCAGGAACCTCACTAGAACTCATTGTGTTAATTTAAATCTAGAGAAGAAAACAGCTCTATATTGAAGTATGTGTTATTTTTTTCTTTTTAGCTTGATTTTGCCATTGAAGAAAAGCTAAATTAGTGATAGTGAAGACAATGGCAATGGGTGAGAGTGGTGATTGTAAACAGAACATCCTTACTCGAGTAGTAATCAACAATATAAAACTGATTGGCTGATAAAAATAGCTAATCAAATCTCGCCTGTGAGAATCCTTGAGTGGCGTACTCTATACTGAAGTCTATCGCATGTTTTTTGCTGGTTCTGAACCTTTTTTCCGACTGAAATTTATTCAAAAATTTTGTGCCTAGTAAATCATATTATTTCACGAGTTCATTCTCTATACGAGTTGATAAACAAAATCTTGTATAGGAATTATTAATCAATGGCAATATAAAATCAGGTAAAATGCAATTAAGTGTTCAAAAATCGTCATTCTCTCACCTCACTCGAAAATTAATGTATGCATACACGTAACGGTGTTGTTCTTTCCGAGATATATTTTTTTCTACTTTCCTATTGCGAGCTGCGATTCAATGAAAATGAATCACGATCATCCGAACGAGCCAAAGGCGCTCGAGTACTAAATACAATTTTAACTCACCAATTGAAAACCTATTCTTTTGGCCAAAAAATAAACTAATGGCGCTCTTCATAATTAGTCTATAGACGATGTCACAAAAATATGTGCATACCCTATGGGCAAACACTCAACTTCAATTATCACGTTTACTTACATCTGAAATACAAGGTTCAAAAAGTTTCGATAGTAAACGAAACGCTAACGACTATGTACGACAAATTTTTATTCAATACAATGATTCTATGAAAAAACTTGATGAAATCTATCAAACATTAATTCATCCACAAAAACGTTTGATAATACGTACTTTACTAGATGGTATTGTTGGACGATTAGTTGAGTTAAAACAAGAAATGATTAAATTTGATTGCTGTGAATATACATATTTTGAAGATTTAGCACTCGATCAAAATAAAACATTAGTAAAACAAAAAAAAAACGATAACTTACCGAATGTATAGGAGAGATATTTTTTTGCTATAGGATAATTTGCGTATTGAAATTCCTTCGTGTTTTGCTGAAGATCGTTTTAAATCAATAGAACAACGTAATCATAAAATACGAACGATCCTTAGTCGTTTAGATGAATCAAAGCATGTTCTCTCCATGAAATCTTCGTTTGATTCTTTCCTAACATCAAAAAATGATCAAATTCGCATAATTCCATTAGCTGCTGTCATTCACATTCTTCAAGCACATGAGCGTGCTCGACAAGGTCGCGTACATGCATATTTCATGCGTCAAATGAAAAATGAATTAAAAACAAAAGAAATGAAGTCAATTAGTGATAATAATCTTGAAGATAGTTGTGTTATTATTCAGACAATTTGGAGACAACAATACGCAGAAAAATTATTCAATAGAAAAAAGATTGAAAAAGCAGAATTGTTAAACATGGTATGAAAGAGTGAATTTACGTAATGATGCGTTCGTCGTATTATTTTCCACTGTTAGCTCGTCTATTGCTACGAAAATAGACCTGTAGTATCTATTCGTGTACTCCAAAGTACTTATGAGGGAAGAAGCATTAAAAGAATTATTATCTACAAGAAAAGTAGCAAATTACCCAAAAAAAATTTCTTTCACGGCAATCAAAATATGCAGTTCATATGCTTATCGCATGACTGATTTCATAACAGAGAATAATCAAAATATTTTCTATTTTATTACATTCATTAGTCATAGATCTTTTCTTTTGATGTACATCTATGTCGTGTATTAAACTTTACTGTGTCCTCGAAATCAGGATATTATTGGAGCATTATATTTTGATGACGTCATTGTTGAAGGCCAACCTTTGTTTTGTTTTTGTTGATACATATGACGAACTATTTAGCCGCCAGATATGACGTAGGCAAAATAAACGGTGATAAATTAGAAAATTTATTACTCGTCGTGAACATGTACCACTTCATCTGATTCTTAGTAGTTCCATTAAAATAGAGTACATCTAGTGTTATGGCATATGTGAAAAATATCAACGAGGAAAAAACTTTTCAGTCTAGTTTTTGCTGTAGTGGCGAATTTATATCACTGTAATTGATCTGTTTAGATTCTACCTCGAAGAAAACTATTCGCTGAGAGTTATATCGATGATAGAGATAAGAAGATGCGTGATTTACAATTGCAGCATCATCAAGAATTTGATGGAGCATCAAATTATATCAAACAAAAACTTCATCAATATGAAGAAACGGAAGTCAAATCGCGCATGAAAAATGTCATGTTTCAATGGTTATTGGAATCACGTCAACTTTATGGTCAGTTTCCTATTTATCCATCGAATGAAGTCAATGGTTCAACGATACTTTTCAAAGAAATGACAATAGCTGAAGTTCAAGAATTTGTTGACAAGGTTTAGAAACACCTAAAAAAAGAAGAAAAGAAAAATCTCTTGTCTAATTTGTATTTTTTCTAGCAAGCTCAAGCATTGAAAAATAAGAAAATAAAACGGAAAGAAGTAAAACAAATAGCAAAGAAAGCAAGAAAGAAGAAGCCAATAAAACAAGTAATTCAAAGACTATAAAGAAAACACCACGCGCTTTCGACCCTTTTATTATTTTTAGAAGGCAATCATGAATGAATTAGAACCCTCGAAATTTATTCCTTCTATAAATAACCAAATGAATATTTATAAAGAATTGTTTTATCAACGAGATGAATCACATAATAAAGATCAACAGTATGATACATTATTAGCTATGGACCATTTTCGATCGGAAGTCGAATATGAAATACGACGTGATGTGGATAATATTCTTCGTAATGAATTAATCTATCTGAAATTATCTATTGATAATGTTAAAGATAAGCAAATCAAAAAATCAAAAAAGAAAAAAAAGAAGAGAAGAAGAAGAAATAAAAAAACTAAAGATATTGTTGCTAATAGGTACAGCAGAGTCGTTGAATAATTTCTCTAAGAGTAAAACTTCCCTTTAGAACAAACGATTCAATATTTGAAGAACTTGTTGAAGCAGGTATTATTCTACCTACGAAACCTGTTCATCAACGAGATTTTATTGGTGATTATCAATATCTAAGTGAAAGTATGCGTTGTAATGAAAAAGAACCAATGCCATCTTTACTCGATTGCCAACAGCTTGTCATTCTACAGATTATTTTCCCTCTTTGTAAACAAATATTAGATTTTTGTTTTGTGTATTTTTGTTTTCTAAAACGATAGGTTCAGAAAATATTCACCTCAATCTACCAATACGTAAAGCTGTGTTACTGGCTGGACCACGTGGTAGTGGCAAAGAATTACTTGTACATATTGCATGCAATCAATTAGGTGGTCTTCTCGTAGACCTATCGCCAGCAAATGTTGCTAAATCCTTTAATAGTGGTAAATTAAAATCTACTCTTATGAGTATTTTCATTTTACACAGAACAATAAAAGCATATTTTCATATGATAACCTCGTTTCTTTTTGAAATAGTACAGAAACATAGCATGCAGTAAAAAAACATGAATATTCTTTGTTGCTTTAGCGAGTGGCCTGAAAGTGCTTTTTGCGATGGTTAAACAGGTACGATGAATTTTTTTTCTATTCACTCAAATCCTTACTTATATTACAATGATCCACTTTGATCTTAGCTTGCTTTAATGATGCCTCCCGTTCTTTGTATGATACGTGATATGGAAGTCATTTTTTCAAAAAAGCTAACTACACAGGAAAAAGCAATTGAACCCAGTCGATACAAACGTGCAGTACGTAAATTTATTAAAAGTATAAAACCAGGCCAACGAATTATGCTTGTTGGTTTATCATCTCAACCATACCGAGCTCGAATAAAACAATTTCTACAAATCTATCAACATATTATTCTATTTCCACGACCAAATTATGGATCAAGACGCAGTAAAAAAAGTCATTATGCTACTTATAAAATATGTCTGAATTTTATTTATAGAAATTTTTTATGAGACTTTAATTGAAAAATGTAATATGAATATTAATGATGTTGAATTGAGTAGGCTCGCATCGTTATCCGATGGCTATACAGCCGGGCAAATTCTTGAAGCAATTGATAAAGTGATTAAAATCAAACAAGAAACCAAATATTCAAATATGACCTGTACCGCTGATGATTTTATTACTGTACTCGGTACAAAAGTTCCTGTTTTTGTTGATGAAGAAAATAAAATTAAAGTAAAAAAAACCCATATATATACATTCTATCTCACTATGGTAATTTTAATAGAATTGGTATGCTAAAACTGCAAATGGTATCAAACGTTTACATGAATTAGTTCAAACATCGTCATCAACATCAAAGAAAACGTCATTAAAACAAACACGTTAAAGTTCGTTTCTAATTAAAATACTCCATATAATGAATGTTCCATGTGAATTTTAAACTCATCTTTATCATATGCAACAAAAAGACAAGAACTCGTTGAGACCCAAGCAACTTTTGTTATCGCTCGACGAGAGAAGTTCACTAATGAACATATCAATGACGAGTCAAGACTATGCGTATCAATTGGAGTCAAATGAACGACGAATATACTGCATCACTTTGCGGTACTTTTCAAATGAATGACGTAGTTTTTTCGGAAATAAATATTTGAATGAAGTAAAATACGCTCTTTAACTGTAATTGTATCTCATAATCAGAATAATGAAACGAACCAAAGAGCCCATCAAATTTAATTAGAGACACTCTTTATTATAAATTTCAAAGCGAAGTTACAACGTCGACTATCGAGAAGTTATTAGAAGTTCATTAAAAAAAAGCATAAAAGTGCTATAATCTATACAGTTATAAGCGAAGGATATTTCAGAAGATTCAGCGCTCATTTGACACTACATGGTGCACATACTTGCAAGTTAAAGGCGATTCCTCAGCACGAAGACTTGTTTGTTTAATCTAGCGAAACTTGAAAGAAGTTTCATGAGTAGAAAAACGTTTTATTATCGTGTCGGGACATCCCTTTTCTATGTATATATGTATATATTTTCTTATTCACTTGCTTTGCATATGCATACACAAAAAAATAAAATAAAATAAAAATAAAAATACATGTTTTTCTATTTGTCAAAAATCAGCAAATAATTCGAGTTCTTTATCCGAAGCAAATGGAGCTGATCGCCAATCTTCTTTGTATTGATCAAAACACGATGTATCACCTGGATGTTGAACAGCAGGTATAATGGGTGGTTTTAATTTTCTTGCATAAACATCTTCCCATTTAATTGATGAAAAAAATGGTTGTTCTTTAACTTCGCGTGAACCATTTCTGCCAGCGCCCAGGCGTTTGTCAGGATTTTGATTCAATAGTTTTTTAATAAATGCTTTTGACTGTTCATCTATTGTACGTGGCCAAGTTATTCGGCCAGCTAATACACGACTGGGAATTTCACTTTCATTTTGATTTGGATTGAATGGTGTGACTATGAAATGAAGAAAATAACCAATATGTTTTTTTCAGGAATAAAGAGACGGTGCAAATTTTTCATACCTCCACTGAGCATTTCAAATAATAAAACACCTAAACTCCACCAATCGGTACTTTTATTGTGTCCTGTCCCTTTGAACAATTCTGGACTTAGATAATCTGGTGTGCCACATGTTGTAAATGTTTTATTTAAAATTTTCTTAGCAAAACCTATTTAATTGAAGAAAGACAAGACATATGTGCAAATAGATTTTACGATTAAAGTTATTATTTTTTTGTTTCTATACCGAAATCAACCAATTTAATGTGACCTTCACCATCCAGTAGAAGATTTTCAGGCTTTAAATCGCCTAGTTATTTTAAAGACAAACAAATGAAACATATTTTTAAAGACGAAATCAATTAAATAAACGTACGATAAACAATTTGTAGCGAGTGAAGATATTCAAATGCAAGTGTTATTTCACTTATGTAAACTATTGATGTTTTTAGATCGAATGTACCGCTTTTTTTCATGTAGGTAAATAGTTCACCGCCAGGTACATAATCAAGAAGCATGTAGAGAAATTGTTCCGAATGATGTGTCCAATATAACCGAATAATAAATGGATGTTTTATAGCAGATAAAATTTCCTTTTCACTTTTAACATGTTCAGTCTAAAGTAACAATGAATGATGAATAGATATTTTTTCTTACGCATATTAATTAATATTTTACTTGACGCGATTGCACAACATGATTAATAGGAAATATTTTCAATGCATAGTAATTGCCAGTGTCACGATCTCGACTGACAATGACTCGACCATATGAACCAGTGCCAACCTACAATTAGTCGAATTTGTTTTTTCTTTCTTTTATATTAATAGTATACATATATATATATCCAAGGGAAAAGATTCAGTTTGACAAATTATTTCTGCTCTACAAAGATGAATAGAGAGAAATATCAATTAAAACACTTGTCAAAAAGTGAAAATCCAATTTTTTTTCTTCTTGTTTATTGTAATGAAGAGGAAGCGTCATCGGAAATGGGCTGACACAGGAAGAACAAATGATTTTCTACAAGATAGGGCATTTGCATGATCTGCACAAAGTGATGCTGACCTTCAGACCTTAGCTTTGATGTAAAAGAAATGCTTGATTTTGAATTGCCGCTTTTCATAAAACTAATATGATAATGGAGCAATGAGTTGTAAAAATAGGACTTACATCATATCTTGTAGAAAATCGATTTTTTCGTTGGTGTCAAGTTTTGACAACACTAAATCACGTCCTTCATTTTAAATACATCTGAGATACAAGAAAAATATGGAAATTTTCCCATGCACGCCTAATGAGCAGAGGTTAAAATTAATATTACTAATCAAATAAACTAGTTTTTTTCTCCTCTAGATTACTTAGACATATAAATATGATAGTCTAAAGTTACGGAGTAAGATTTTCCATCAATTGTTAAAACAAGCTACAACTGTTTTTCCTTAAATAACAACAATCTATTGTTAATCATCGTTAATAACCAAAAATGTAATAATTTACTAAATGAAATGCAAACGAGTTTTATTTATTCCTTAGGTTAACTTATTTTTTTAGCGGCATATTAAAAAAAAAATATGATCTCTAATATTTTGCCCATGAAAACAGACGAGTAAGAGAGATTTTTGAGAAAAAGAAAGCAGCATATTAATCTCATCATTTATTATGTAGAAAAAAGCTTCTTATATTTATATGCAGTAGAACACCCTTCATAGCTTTGACTATTTTGTAGTATATAAAACTATGGCTGTTGATTTCTAGAAGAAAATTCTAAATTCATCGGTGGTCAACATCAACGATGAAATATTAAAATAGAATAAAAGGAAATTAATCAACTCATACATATGCACGTTTGACAGTTGAAAATTTTTCTTTTGAATGTGATTAATTTAAGGGAAATCGACCTAGTTCAATTCATACATCACTAATTTAATCTATTTCGCATTGAATAATTCAAAGAAATTCAATGAGTAATATATTTGATATTCAAAACAAGAAAATAATTAAGCCAAATTTTGTTTAAAAACAAGATTATTCCACTAAAAGAATCCTTTCATAATGCACATAAATTAAGTTTTTCTAGAAAAATATTTAAAAAATTTGAAGAGGAAATCCTCTGGTTCACTTTGCTTTTGTTCTTTGTTTATGCATAGAATTTAAAATTCTAGAGAAGATATAATATTTTCTTACTGTTTTGAGCATTTCTAAACGATCAAGTGATTGCTGCCGTTCTTCACGTTCGACTAAGCTGACCCTACTCATTTTTTTTGCCATCAAAATAGTGTCATTGTCATTGGACGCACGATTGCTTAATGGTGATTCTGTTGTGTGACTGGATGTGCTCAATGAATGAGCTTGAATTGATGCTCTTGATGTCATTATTCGACGGATTTTAAACTAAATGCACAGAAAAAAAGAGATCACTTATGAAAATAAACAAACAACATATAAAGATGGGCTATTTTCATTGATTTCTATGGCATGCAATATGCTGATTTCTTTTTTTTTTATCTCAGGAAATATAAAGAATTTCTCTCACTCATAAATATATCTACAGAGGTAATATTAATGAAGAAAGAACCGAAAACTTCCTTTTCCTTTTTCTATCATAGGATGTTTTTTTCATTATCGCTGTTTGATAAAAACAAATGTGGTAGGTGTGAGAGAATATGGTGCTAACCACTCAATGAGCCTGAATGTTAAGAGAAGAAGAAGGAAAAGTTGAATGTTGTGCTCAGAAAACATTAGATGAGATACGATAGAGATCCCATAAACGGCAGATGATGTTGTAAAAAAATAAAAATAAAAAGGAACGGCAGAAAAAAACAAATCTTAATATTCAACTACTATTGTTGACGTCAAGAAAAGTCTTCCTTTTATGTTTGGCATTGACAAGGTTTCAACGAACGTTTTTTTGTACTTTTATTTCAATAAAGGTTTTTTCTCCTGACGAAAACACTGATCGCATATTTCTATTGCGTCGAACTTATTGAATTTATAAGTTTTCATACTATTGTTTTTGAATTATGCAATAAAATATATTATAACAAACAAAGTTGCCATTCTTAGGTTACAAGAAAAGCAGATTATAAGAAAAAGTAATTTTATCTGTCTTACACGCTTGCCACTAGGAAGAAAATATATTCTATGAAACAACACGAAACTCAACTAAGATGATAATATGAAAATATGCTCTTTTGTTTTTTGAATGAAAAAATATTTTCAACGGGAATCTTTTATCAAACGCACAATCACTAGTAATATATATATACATACTTATGTATTACCTATCACGTATGTCTCTTGGTGTATGTATATATATATATATATATATATTATTGATGGCAGGACACTCCAATTTCCGTCAATCACGCATTGATTGAATGAAGAGCAGCATTATGAGCGTGTAGCCCTCCAGATTTCTCTTTTTTCCCCTGTGTTGTTTTTTTATGCTTCTTGCTCCACCCTCGCCTCTAACTAGTCGCTCTCAAATAAAACCATTGTCCGCCGAGAGAATGAAATAAAAATAAAAAAAGGGAGGGAAAGAGAAAAATTGATTTAAAGTTTTTTTTCTGTATGTTTATTTTGTGCTATGCACTTCGCGAATGTTTTATTCAAGAAAACAAAGATTTCAAAAAATGCTTCAATTTATGCTATTCGAAATTACAAGTATCAATCAATCAACTAAAAAATAACATACACCTACACATACATAACATTAGGCGTATATAAGAAGCTCTAAGCTTATGATTATTTTTCTTCTTCTTATATACTATATCTATTTATAAATAAATATAGAACAAACACTATCGATGAACGAAATATAATAACTGAAAATACATACCACCCTGAAAAACATTAGTTTAACCTATGTCAAAGATGAAAATAATTGAGATTTATGATTACCTTATGGTAGATGCTCATTTTTAGACGATATAGTTTATTTTGATGAATGATTATTTCTATTGCGGAGCGATCTATTGTATTTTTCTATGCGAACACATGTGCTTTACAGAAATGGGGACGGAAAAGAATTCTATAAAGACCTTTGACAGGAAGAGAAAGTATAATAATAAAAAAAGAAATATGAACATATCGGAATCTGCTTTCTATTAAATATCTAATGGTTTCGTTTCTCTTTCTTTGAATCTCAAGATAATAATATAACTAACTAGATACACGACTAATATAATTATCTAGTTAATCTTTTTTAATTTTCTTTCTGAAAATATATATCAGGTTTTGTTAAACTTCATGCTGTACTAAATATTCAGAGAACAAAGTCAAACCCATTTTAGATGAAAATATGTTTCTCGGTAAATAAAAAAGCTTAATTCCATTCTGACGGTGCTGTTCTGTAATATGTATGAGTAAGAGTTATGAAATAATTCATTCATAAAAGAAAACAAAAAAATGCTTTTTCGATAGAAAAGTAATGAGATTCACTATAGTTCTTTTATTTTTATTATTGTGTAAACCAAGAACTCAATTGAACGCGTACTTTGTTTTTGGTCAGTATAGAAAAATTGATAGAATAAAAAGATCATGATAATGCTATTTATATCTCATTCTAAAGAAAAAACAAAAATATAGGAATTTTTCAGTTGATGGTACTAATAGATAAGATCGTAGATATACGATAAGCTCACGTTTCTTCTAGCATAAATTACAAGGACATAGTATGAATTCTTAATAGGTCGATGTATTGGTTAGATGTGTGTTTCAATGCAGAAAAACAATTCCAGAGATGAAATAGTCTAATGAATTTTTCTGCTTTTGATCGTTTTCGGTAACTAATATAGTAATCAAGGTTTGCTTTATTCTCTGATAGAATCGATCTGAGAATTTAAAGAACACCACCTCGATGTGATATGTCATGTTTCACCGAATGACATATCGATCATGTTCACCGATCAGTCACACAACATCAAACAGATACAATAACGTTTTTGTACGATGTTCGACATACGAATCAATGCACATGATCGATACTTTATTCTTTGAAGCATAATAAACAAAATATTATCTTTCATTTGGAGTTTACAAACGAGCAAAGCTATGGTTACCACAGTTGTTATTGAAAAATGCTAAAAATTCATTCACTCCCTCAGGCCGTTTAGCCGGAATATAGCTATTTCTTTCTTGTGTATTTCACAAAGCAAAAAACAAACCCGCAGAAGTATGCAACATTGTTTGCTATGTCTTTCTGACATTGTGGAAGTGAAAAATTCCGAGACTATAAGATCTACTGCCTAATTCAATTTATGATCGTCTTAACAAATATAAGTCTTTTGAGCGGAAATTTATTATTGTTGACTTTAATTGATAGTATCTTAATATTATAATAAAATATACTTTTTTTTTATATATTTACAAAAAATAATTATTCTCAAAGTGATATGATTGATGTAGATGTGGATGGAATTTCCGTTTCATCGTTTAAAAATCAATATTATCAATAATATTTTCATAAATTACTATTAACTTATTCTGGTATGATGTCAAATAGTCAAAATCGATTTTTATGGATAAAGAAACACATCAGTAAAAATACGTTCAAAATATTCGTGGAATTGATTTCATACTCGACTGAATTACGTAGGGGGAGTATCACTTGCAAAACAGTGTATGCGTCTTGCTCTAGACTCTAATGCTAATATTTTAGATATCTTCTACTAATTAATTTTTTGAATTCTTAATTTCATTCGGTCAAATAGTTGAAACATAGGAATATTATAGTCATTTGTTCTATACTACGGTTAATGCTGGTATAGAAAAATCGTACCTTATGTCGCGCAGGAATTCTGGTTCTTCAGGCATCTGTCTAATTAATGTATAATATCATGGAAAAGCAGCCATAAAGTTTTTTTTCCATATGAAAGGATTGTTAAGTTCTTTTTATCAAATAAATAACCAATAAAATAAGTATAAGCGTACGAGTGACGCTGCTTACATAAATTATGCATATCTATATAAACATAATTCATATTTTTTATTTTGTTTCTACTGCAACGATGGCACACCGCTCGGATACGAAATAATGATAAATTTAATTATATCTCATCAAATATTACTTCTAGAAATCGATTGTATTATATAAAGTTAATAGAGGGTTTCATATTCATTTAAATAAGAATGATCGGATAAAAATAGAAAATGTCGAATCAGTGTAGATGTTTTTTTTTTCGTTAATTTTCTCGTCTAGGTTTACAGATAAATCTGTTAACACCTGTCTATGTATATATTCAACATACCTTCTTTAATACTGACATCATGAATTGTGTTTATTCACTATTGATTTTTTGTTTAATAGCATAAGTTGAACAGATTGTAATATTTGCCAAAGATTTTTGTATTTTTACACGTTTAATTACAAGAATCAATATATAATTATGAACATTAATTATTTTGTATAGAATTCAATAAATGTATTCAAGTTTTCTCTTATCGTTTTATTGCATGTCATATAATGAGAGGTGGTAATTTCCTTATGGATCATACGAATGTGCGGTTAAGTGCATGCTAAACTATCAAAAACGTTCTCATAATATTTTCCAATGAAAACTCACCGCGATCAGCATGGCTTGCACTATCACATCAAAAAAAGTTTCAATGAAACAATTTTACGACGACTATTGATAGATGAAAACGAAATGAATGTAGACTCATATACAATTATACATATTGACTATGATGGAAATAATTGATAGAGTTATATGTCTATATTCCATAGCTGCATCGACTGAAGATAACCTATTGTTTGTACCAATGCTGGTATTTTGTAGAGGAAACTAGAGAAAAAATTGTTAGCATAGTCCGTTTCGATTACTTCAATGTAAATAAATTGATTACGATATGAAAGATACAATGCGCCAGTAAGAATGTAGATGAAAGAAAACTTTTTAAAGAAAATTTGATTATTGCCGTGGTGGATTTTAGATATGGAAATTTATTTGTTTTATTGTGTTAGAGCTAATGATAAAACGTCTAGTATTTTCGGAAAAGGAATTTCATTATTTGCATAACTTTCAGTCAGTTAGTATATTGCCAAATTCGAGCCTGTTTCTCTTTCAATACAGAGATTCAATCAACTGTCAACGCCTATTGAGAAACTTGAGTAGAGATGAGAATATTTACTTAAAATCCGTTGACTTTCTAAATGCAAAAATAATTAAGTCAATTCTCTTTTGATAGAGAGCGACAGTCGTCTATTTACCCATCGTTCTACATTTTATTTTTTGATATTTTTCTTTCGCATGACGAACTTTGTTTTTTATTTATTTTGAAGCTGTTTTCATATCGTTTCTTTACGTTCGTCATGGCCACTTGTACATAATCCGCGATGAATTTATCGCATGTAAACAACTACATCTGTCAAATGTGACTTAGTTTCCAATAGATATATGACATATTCTATTCCATAAATTATTCAAAAAATAAAACTCTTATTATTTTATCACCAATGTCAAGAAATAAATATCATGCATTAATAATTTTATGAATTGAAATCAATCGTTTGTGATCGCATTCAAACACATAAAGTTTCAATACTTCATAAATATGAACGATTTCTTTTTCAATTGATCAGATAAAAGAATTAAACAAATGCTCTATCTTATTTAAATTTTCGAATGTGACATTAAAAAGCAACATGAATGAAGTTTGGATAAGCTTCAACGAATCCAGAACTACTTGCATCTTGGAAGCGAGAATGACTTTTTTGATACAGTAAATGCTTGTCAAAAAAAAATGTTACACTATTAATAATCATTACTGAGGTGTCATTCATTGGTTAAAAGAATATTTTAAAAAAAAATTCTCATATAACTTTAGGGGGTAGTCCCTTTTCGTCCCCTCTTTTTTTTACGGATATCGTTTTTTTTGAAAATACCGGATGTTCGGAAGAGTGGGAACGAAAAGGGACAAACCCAAATTTAGACAGTTGTCTCTATTTCTGTATTAAGACTTCGAATACCCCTAAGCAATTGATTTGATACAATAGCAATCAATAATGTAGTTTATCCATTTAAAGAAGAATAGAATAGCAAAACAAAAGCATGAATTTTCTCCATGTAAATTAACGTTCGTGTCTCCAAAGCTTAGCACATTCGAGACTGATATTCTTGAAATACACCAAGTTTTGACACTAATCTAATGCTTTTATATTATTACAAGCTTTGTCAAGTAGGGATGAAAAATGAATGAAAATTTTTTTCTCTAATTATTTTTCTTAGAAGAAGAGCCTCTCTATAATTTCTAGTAAATATTGTTTCATCGGAACCTTACAACAAATACAATTAGCACTGCAAACAAGATCGAAAATAATGACGTAATTTTTCTTCGATTTTGGCGTGGGTTACTTCGTAATTTATGTGAATCATCTCAGAAAAGACTTAACCAAAGCTCATGTCTTTTTTCTGATAAGAAAAAGCTTGCGGATGCAAAGTTAGCGACATTAACTTATATATAAAAACACTTTTTGTTTTTAATGACATGCCATATTTAGACTTTTGTATGCATGCTATAATTAATGAGAAAAGCATCCATCTGAAAAGCAAAGCTATCATCCAAGTTCTACGATTAGATAATTAGTCATTTTTAAAAATAAACATTTCAATAGGGTCATTTATTCATGTGCCTCGAAACTTATCTTTTTTTACTTGCATCAATGAATTGTTGTGTATACAGGGTGATGATAAAAACAATCAGGCAAAAAAAAGATACTCGCAGACGACATGGTATCTATTCAAAAACTAAAGTCTTTTTCAGTTCTTATCTATTGATGACGTTTCTTTCTGATGTTTAAAAGATTTATTACTAACCAAGGTGAAATGAAATGCAATGCGTAAATAACTGTCGGTTTTTATTGAGATACGTGTTTTTTTCACGTCGTAGTTGCTATTAGGATTCAACACCTATTAATAAATAGTACAAGAATTTATTGAAATAACTTCTCATAAACATCATCATTTACAGACTCAACAGTTCATATGGAATCGGATAAACTCATAAGTACTATTCGGCCTTCCTTAGTGCCAAGATCATCTAAATTGCAAAAAGACATCAGATGCAGTCAACGCCGATCAACTACATGTGTGACATCTATGCCCAATAATACTAATAAAAAAACAAATTATGTACAATTATATAAACCGATCTATATTGCTGATTGTTGCAGATCTATTAATGCAAAATGTTCGTATGAAAAAGGTGATGAATTTGAATTAGTCGCTGAAATCAATGAAGAATACAAACATTTAATTCATTTACGTACAAATAGTGAATGTATAATAAATAGACGAAGTTTACAACTTGATTCGGAAACACCATTACGTTTAGGTAGTGATGATAGAGGTGTTATACAACGATGTTTATTACAATATAATGTACCCGGTGCTTATCTGATACGTCGAAGTAATACAGAGTCGAATTCATTTGTTTTAAGTATAGCTCAAGTATCTAATCAGAGACACGCAGAAGATTGGCATTATTTAATACACACTGATCCAATAAGTTATCGATTTTATTTTGCACAAGAATCAAGATTACAGAACCTATCATTTACGTCATTTCAACAGCTTATTCAAGATGAAAATGTCCGTAAATTTATACCATTATCTGAAATAATACCGTGCCGAATTGAATTTGAGGAAGATCTATGGCATATACCAACACGTAATCTAACATTTCAATTTCCCATAGGTAAAGGTGAATTTGGAGAAGTTTGGCGTGCTCTATGGAAGCATGGTCATCGATCAATACCAGTTGCTGTTAAAAAACTAAATCCATTACGACATGATAAAGCAACAATAGATAGTTTTATTCGTGAAATTGAAACAATGAAAACATTACGAAATAATTTTATTGTTGCTTGTTATGGTGTTGCACAAGATATTAACAAAAATGAAACTTTACTTATAACAGAATTAATGGAAAATGGAGATTTAAAAAATTGGTTAAAATTTCATCAAGATGTACCTAGTGAAAATATTATCATCTCTTATGCATATGATGTATGCCGAGGAATGTTATTTCTCGAACAAAAATCTTGTCTACATCGAGATCTTGCTTGTAGAAACCTTTTGTTAAGTGACGGAGGAAAGACAATAAAAATAGCTGATTTCGGTTTATCAACTATTGTTAATAAAGATGATTTTCTGCAACGTAACGAAGTCTATTCGAATAAAGTACCTATTCGTTGGACAGCACCAGAAGTACTTCAAGATCGAGCAACTTATTCAATCAAATCCGATGTATGGTCATTTGGTATTGTTCTAATTGAAATTTGGTTAAAAGGTGATGATCCGTATCCAGAAGAGAAAAGTTTTGATTCAATTCGAGCGCTTGTATTTTCTGGATATGTTCATCTAAAGCCTTTGAAATGTTCGAAACAATTTTATAATCGATTGATTCTCCCATGCTTATATTATGAATCCTATCAACGACCAAGTTTTAAAACTTTAGGAGAACGTTTAAATCGATGGAATGAAGAAAAAGATGAATATGACCGTTTAAATCGCCCGTGTGTAAAAGATGCCTCGTAGTCATTGCCGGTTCTTTTTTATTTTTCAATAGAAAATTTTCTATTTTTCTTTTCAGTTTCCCGTGTGTCTAACGATGTAATTGATAAAAACGTGCTTAGAAATTTCAGATTGCTAGTTGTTCATGTAAAAATTACAGTAGAAAAAAAAATCATCAAATCTTGAAGAAAATTGTTCGATCCTATCATTCAGACTAGGATCAATGAAATAAAAAAAAATTGTTTTCGATTATTTCTTTCTAATTACTATTGTCGATTTACTATGAATACATCTTGAGTTATAACTAACTTATTCTAAAATTTCACATTAGGTTACTTTCCGAATTTTTCTTTTATCAAGTTTTTTTTGTGCACTTATTTTCGAGATTGACTGCTCGATGTGATTAGATCTTCGCACGGGTCAGCAATTTAATCAGTTCGTTAAAAATTATCGTACGTCAATTAAAGATCTATCCAGTTGTGAATATATGAATGAATCAGCTGATTTTTGTAAATAAAAAAAACATCATTAGAACTAGTTTGAGACTCATAATTGATCGAAATATTGCATGATTAAAAAAGAAAGAATGATAAAATCACTGACGAAAGGGAAATGTATTCTTAATCAGTTGATGTCATTGAGATTAAACACATGATATATATATATTATTGTGTTCAAGTAAAGGATGGAGATTTGCAGGAAATCAAACGAGAAATTTATCAAACACAAATTGCTCCAAACTGTGAAGACACTGCTGAGAAATATGCAAAACAGTGACATTCTCATACTTTATATGTCATCCGACAGTAGAAGACCTCAAATAGGATGTTATTTTGCATGATTTCATGGCCATATTAATATAATCCCACTGTTAATGAATTAAAAAATACGTTTTGTTTATTAATTTTGCAATGGAATCTATGTGGAAGATTTGCAACAGTGTAAAAACAATCAGGAATCTGGATAAGGCACATGAAAAGTTTCAGTTATTGAAGATAGAAATTTAAACAAGCCTTAATAGAACAAAATTTTCTTTTATTCCATTTCTAAATGAGAATATGAATGTGTAACTCTTTTTTTTCAAATGCAATCTTATCCCATTGGGGAAAAAAAGCTTTCAGCGTTAAATAATTTAACATTTATCTGTTGTAAAAATATATGGAATCATAATCGTAATGGTAGAGAGAAATAGTTGAACAAAAATATATCGTGTTACTCGTTTTAACCCGAAGGATAAATATCAAATGAGTCATCTTGTTTACCGTGCAGCTGGCATGGTGAGAAATGTTTAATACTAGTTAAGAATGCATCCTTCACTTAGTTTTTTTTGTTTTTGTTTTTTATTCTCTAAGTCTTTTTTTATTTGTCGTCAGTGAAATTCATAGGATAGCAAAAGAGATGGTATCCTGGCCATATAGAAGTTTTTTCTTTTATGTGTATGACCTAATGTTTTTTCTTGCTTTCAATTCTTTTTTTCTAGAGATAAGTCTTTTTTAAACAGCTCATCATGATCCATTGATTGAAAACTTCTTCAACGAATTGCTCAATTATTGTACTGGGTCATTATATCATTATTAATCTCGACGAGAGACTTTGTGTAAAAAAAAGACGCGAGTACTTTCAACAACAAGTGTAAAAGTCAAAAAGTCAAGAGACTTTCGGCAGATATATGGTCTGTTACTTGGTTAATGATGATTATGTATCACCGACACTATGCAAAAAATAGAGCGAGAAAAAAAAATCAGACATTCTATTAATTTCTACTCGTTATTTTTTTCTTCATCTTTTTCCTAATTTCCGGTTGTTCTATCAAAATAAAAGACAAACTAGTCACTGATGAGCTACTTGCCCTAGTTCGGTGCAAAACTCAATAAGGGAATAGACTGACAGAAGAAGAAGAAAAACTAATATAATGAATATGAAACTAAATAGAGATAGACAATTTTATCACTCTCAGGAATAGTAAGAATTTCCATATGCAAGAAATGCTCTCTTGCGCGTTCTTCAGAAATTTTCTTCAACAATGAACCATAGAAAATTATTAAAAGAAGTCCATACTGTGAATAGGAACGTGATTTGCTGCTCGTGTCTACGAGAAAAGGCTCTGTTATCAACATGGGCGATATCTAAACGTGCTAGTTATAAAGAGACTAAAAGAAGAAAAGGAGAAAAGAAAAACATTTTCTACAGTAAAATAAAAGCAGAAGAAAATTTGGTGTTAGAAACAGATAATGATGTTTCATTATACGCTGAATGCAGAACTCAGCATTTCTAATTAATTTGTTTTCTTTTACATTTAGCTTATATAATTTATATTTGCTTGATCGTGATTTATAGATAGCTATATTATACTGAGCCCTCGTGCGTTCAATAGCATTTTTCTTCTTCTTAGCAATCAAGACAGGAAGCTTTCATGGCACTTATACGTACGCACATCTTCAACTAACAAAACAATTATTCGACGATGTTTTCAAATAGTAGATCATCATTATTATTACCGAACAATAATGATCACAGCAATCAATATCGAGGTCCTGCGTATAGTGATGATCGTTTACTCGTTCCTCCTTGTTCTTACGTACATTATAAATCCGAACCTAATGTTGCATTATATTTTGACAATCAAGTATGCATTATCATTGAAATATTGTTCGTTCATAACTGATAGATTGAGTACTAAATAACCTTTGATAAGAAAAAAGTTCGAGATTAAAATTGAAAAAACATCGATAAAGTCAAAAACAAAAATTAAACATTAAAGAAAATAAGCCCGATTGAAATTGAACAAAAACTAAATAATCAATGTATTGTCTGCGTCTACGCGATGAAAGAAATACTTTTATTAACGTTTTTTTTATTTGATTTGATTTATTAAGATAATAATCTTCTTTCGAGATTCTACTCAATTCTTACACATCATTTTTGATATAATACAAAAATAAATTAAGAAAATTGCCCAGAGAGTCTTACGGTAAGTTTATTAGATATTAAAATACGAATGCCTAATAAAGAAATGTGTCAAGCAAAGAATAGGAAGATTAACAAAAGAAATACGGAATAGATCTTATGAAAGGCATCGTGCAATATGAATTTATTATTAGTTTTTATGAGTTGCAGGGGTTTTGTTTAAAAAACAATATATGATTAAGAAGCGTTTCATTTAATAAAGTGTTTCAATGCTTTTTCTTTATATATCTGAATACAAAGATATTAAATAAAAAATTGTATTAACCTAAGATTGTCATATTGTTAATTTAATTTTACAAATATATGAACAGTAAAAAAATATTCAATCACTTCATACGTGCATTTTATATATATATTTACATTAGTTTGAATAACGCTCTGTTTTTTTGTTTTTATTGAATAATATATATGCACTCAAAGTTTTGTGCTTTCGCGAAATCATACAAGTTGTTTCTTTTCCTGCTACGAATCTAAGTGATATCAAAACAAATAATCTGGCAAGTATATTCAAATGATGTGAGAATGTATTTCATGGATCGTATGACATAGTTAATTTCATAGTAATTTTCAGTTGTCATTAGGCCTCGATACTTCCCATAAGCAAGACTTCAATTCCATAGAGAAAAGTGATCGATCGACAGCAATATATATATATATATAGTATGTACTACACTATAAAATTTGTCTGTTTTGGGAGCAAGAATATATTGTATGCTAGAGTAAATTTGCATGACTATTGAATAGATATATTGTAGCAATATGATTTCAGTATTTTTTCTACAAAATATGAATAGACTTGAAAAGTCTATTCAACACATTATTTAGAAACTAGGGGTACCAGATCGCTCATCTGCATAGATAACGATGGAACAGTGTATATAAATAAATAATTATGCATGCTTCTAAAAAGGAAAAGAAAAATTGGTCCCCGCACTGATTTCTTTTCTCGTTACAAATCGATTTAATTTAGATCAGAAGAAAGAAAACAAAAAATCGAAGCAGTGTGATTTATCCGGTTCAAAACTTGTAAGTTAGTGGTTCACATATATCAATATATGTGCGTATGCGTGACAGTTCTCATATGCTACAAGAAACGCGTCATTTCTCTTTTTTTTTATTAACTATTGACAACCTACTTGCAAAACCCAAAACAGAATTTATGAGTGACACACGCTTATGCACGAATGGGAAAATGACACTTCGTCTCATTTCTTTTTCACGAACTCTGGTAAAATAATATGTTTACGATCTCCTGACATGAAAAAAGAGAGTGCTGTCCGGAATGAACTCTGTGCAGGAGTTAGGAATCAATTCTGACAATAACTTTTTCATAGGATATAACCATTGAAAAAGCTATTTTCAGAATTGATTCCGAACTCCACGCAAATGTTTCTCTTTATAAACATCAAAACTTGACTGGAGATCGTAATCAGAATGTCCGGATGTTCGTAACGACAACGGCATGGAAACCGTAATAAAAAAAAGACGACACGATTTTCGCAAGTATGTTCAGGTTTTGTTTCTCTGTAAGAAAATATGAAGTAATACGCTATAGTCGCAACCTAGAATCACGTATAGTCAACGTTTCGGCGGATTCAAGCTACTACGATTGCACTTCTGTTTACTATAATAACTTTATAGTATTAGTTATTATTATTATTATTCCTTCAATACTTTCTGCTACAAGATGCTCGCTTTATTGAAAGAAAATAAATACATATATATTCATGCCTCTAGTGTTAATGTACATCATCGTTCTATTTCTTCTTCGATGAATGTAAACGTTTTTTGAACCTGGCTATTTGTTTATTTTTCGATGTTGAAGCAATGAGATCAGATTGAGATGAAGACGAAGCAGCAGTAGTATGATCGCTGGGTCTAACTCTAAGACGGTTCAATATTGGAGTTGAACGTAAAGTAAGATTTAGGAGCAGCATGATCAGTTGTTGCTTTCGACAACTGTTGGTTTTTAATCAACTTATACCCTTAGAAACAACTTCTGAGACGACAGCACAAGGATTATAGGCAAAGAAAAAATAATCGTCTACTTATATAATCATGGGTGTAATCAAAAATGCGATCTATTGTTGTTCATCAGAGCAGAAAGTCTTTATATCAATTACAATATCCTTATAAATTCTTTTTCAAACTCCACGTTTAAGTACCCTTGGAATTTACTTCTGAACCACCGACGGGGTTTATTACGATCTCCAGGTGTTACATTAAATATAGCAAAAATACTCTACTCCGAATATCTGATAAACACATTAAGATCTTCCTGCTGTCTATTACGATCTCCGACGCATAGGTGTTTACGAACTCCCACCATAAATTTTTACGAATAGAATTCATTTCCGAGCACCCGGTAACATTTACCGGCGTTCGGCAGAGGTGAGACGAGACGTAAGTCACCCGTAGGGATGACAACATATTTTTACTAAAGTTAATTATTTGATTATTATAATTCACGCCACCGCATACGTTAATTAAATTTGTTGTCTTATCTTTTCAAAGAGAAAATAATTTGTAGACATCGCTAATTTAATCTAATATCGAAAAGCAAAAACATATGATGCTGTGATAACTCATAGGATTTTTCTATCTGTTGAAGTTAACACAAGTATAAAAGTTATATCAACATGGAAAAACATATTTGTTATCATAGAGTAGTTACTTATGAACACACTCATAGTTGAATGTTTTCATGCTGACTACGAGCACTTAAAACACAACTATATGAAATATGACAGTAGAGAAAGAATTAACTATCGGAGAAGAAGAGAAGAAAAGAGAAATGGAAAAAATTATTAGATCTATTCTTTTTCTTTTACACGAACTTTTTTCTTTTTCTAACACTTAACGCGATGCAAGTCAGTCATACTAGTATCTCATTTACTGAAAAGAAAAGTCATAAATGCAAAAGACAGGATACAATGAATGATCCTTTCCTCTTTGATTTTAAATATATATATTCTGGTTTTTTTTTCTCATCATCATTCATTCTCTAAAACAATGGTATATATATATTATTACAATAAAATCGACCTCTCGTTATATAACATCAATTGAATATAACACGTAACGATGAATCGCCGACGATTATCTGAGTTTGCCAATTTTTTAGGCTATTCAGATAGGACCGAAGATAACAATCCTTTTAATGTAAGTACACTTTCAATAGGACAACATACTTGTATGTTAAGAAAGAATTGTGGTAGCATATGTAAATGGTTTATTCTGCGAAATTATTAAGAAGAAACTTCGCCATAGGGAGAATGTCTTTGAAAAAAAAAACTGGGACACGTTATATACAAAGAAACAAAATAATTGTTACAGTGTGAAACCGGAATTACACTTTAGCTGATTATTTTTGAATGAATTCCTTAAATGTTCGCGACTAGACATGCACCAGGCCCAGTCCGACCGGAAACTCAGTCTGACTGGGCGTCCACTTCGTCTGGGTTTACATTATCACTGAACATTCGATAAATTCATCCAATTTTGATCCTATAATCATAAATTTTGCTTGGCTATACCAAAACTGCTTAAATAAAATAATTCTAATGAAAGATACAGAGAGATCGAAAAGGCGAGTGGCGTTAAGCTGACTTATTGTACAACAGTATTTTTACGAAAAATCTGTGTGGTGTTGACTTTTTCGACATGTGGGTTACCTATCTGATAACTTTATTTTGCTAGAAACTGCTTTCAAATTTTTAACCCCTGTACTTTCCGACAGGAATTTGAAAAAAATCAAAAAGTTGAAAATATAATCTAGAATAACATTTCTGAGACTTACGATGGTGATATTTGTGATCAGCGTGATTGACCTGATATTCCTAGTTACTTTAAAAGACAAAATTTTCAAATTCCTGTGGGGAGGTACAGGGGTAAAAAATTTGAAAGTGGTTTCTAGCAAAATAAAGCTACCGGATAGATAGACTATGTTTAAAAAGTCAGCATCACATAGTTTTTCCCAAAAAATACTTTTGCGCAATAAGTCAGCTTAACGCCACTCGCTTTTTCGACTTCTCTGTATCGTCCATTAGAATTATTTTATTCAAGCAATTTTGGTATAGTCAAGCAAAATTAATGATTATAGGATCAAAGTTGGATCAATTTACTGGATGCTCAGTGATATTGTAAACCCAGCCTAACTGGGTACCCAGTCGAACCGATAACCCAGTCCAACTGTACCGGTGCATGTCTATTCGTGACTAATAGTCATTAGATGGCAAACAGTGCCGGTGAATCAGTAATAGTAATTCAGATTTTAAAAGTGTTGCTATAGAAATTATGAAGAAAGGAACACATTTTACTCATTAGAATAAATGAATACTCAATTCTTATGAGAAACATGTTTTCTTAGAAAATATAAATAGTTTTTATTCTCTATGCTAAGTATATCTATTTGCATGCAGCCTTATGACGTGTTCAGGGTCAATTATATACATATAGATTTAAAACTTTCTCATACTACCTAAAAAACTATCATTAGTATAATCATTTTGTAATTATGAGAAAATTTGAGAAGTGCGAAATAAAAAAAAACGAGCGATGTAGAAAATAGGAAGGATATGGATTCAGTAGTTTTTGTTATAATATACATCTAGGCCTCAGAACACCATTACAACAGATCTGTTAGTTGTGATTTAAACTCTTTTTTCTTTTTGACGTCTCAAGATCGTCAATAGATCGAAAAAGAAAAGGAAATAGAGATAGATACTTAAACGTCATCTGATGAATGTATCATTTACGCGTCAATGAAGAAAAGTTTTTAGAAAATAGACTTTTTGTATGTTTTCATTGATTATATGATAATTAAATCTTGATAGAACGGAGAATATTTTCATAGTATAAGTAAAATATAAATTTCAATTAAAGTTTATAACAACGGCTATCCTAGTGTTTCCTGAACGAACATTCGATGTATAGGGAAAACGAGATTAATTTGATAGAAGAATTTTTCTCAATAGTGGAAATTCCGTATTATTTTGTTGTTGCAATTTAAGTAAAAATATTCTATATAATTCATAACTTACAAATAACTATATGCAAAAATTTAAACATCCGAAGAAAAAAAAACAAGACTGAATAAAACACGTAAAATATGCAATGATATTATTTAGGCAGAACAACGGCGTCTTTCTGATGGTCCGTATCCTGCATCAGCCCGCCGTCCATATACCTATCGTTATTATCATCATCCAGGTGAGCCTATTGGCAATGAACCGTGCATGTTAAAACGAAAAAATTCTTCGTTCAACATAATTTTGGATTCAACAAGCTCAATGATGCGTACAGCATCGTCGACTGTTCAATGTTTTATTGGATCAGCTCGTCGTGCATCGCATTGTGGTCAACCCGATCCAAGTGTACAACTTGCACCAAATGGTGTCAGTGGTTCACTTTATTTACGTTCGGCCACAGCTAATTCAAATGAATCATCGTTATCAAGTTCATCTTATGATGAACAAAAACGTCAAGTCACCATTTACGATGGTCGCATTCCAACAACACCATTTCCACCTAAGATTCCTTTTGAACTCATGACACCATTTGATGTAATAACTAAATCGATCGATGATCCACTCGAATCATTTGTTCAAATCGTACTAGAGAAGCCAGACGATAGGCCACCAATAATTCCACCTATGCTACCATCACCGACACATATGAATTCATCAGGTCGACTTCGACGTCGCAGTAGTTCTCCTCGCTTGGAAGTAACTCAACCACGGCCACCAAAGTCAATTGAAAATACTTCGTTACCAAAATTAACACAACATCAATTCATGCCCGTGAAAGATTTAATTAATTCAAACGAATCACACTGTCAAACATCTGATGTTATTGAACCAATGGATTTTTCATTTTTGGAGCCGGTGCTACGAGGCGAAAGTGCTGCTCCACCACCACCTATGCGAAAGCAGTCACTTTTGTTATTAAATAAAAAGCCCATTAATTCACGAATTTCTCTTCAAAATAGTTCGGCAACAGAAGATTCAGCTATCGATCTAAATTTATACCACCGTTCTTCATATCCACCAAATCATGCAACAACTATTCAAGATGATTTAACATCACCTGAATCTTCATCTGGTGATAATCATAATTATTATCTTCCACATTGTCGTCGCTCACATATAACACCATTTACGGGATAGAACTATTTGACTTTCATTATTTTTTTGTTTTCGTCCTAGCGAATTTTGCTTCTTCATCAACAATAAATTCATTCAAATCTGTTGAATTCAATAAATGATGCACATATTTTCTACGCCGTTTCTCCGTTTAAATTTGTACGTTTCCAGATATATTATTTTCTATCAAATAATTGTTCTATTAAGCATATCTAACTAAATTACTAGAAATCTATATGATTAACAAATAAAATACAAGGAAGCATAACCAACCGCCAAAAAAGATTTGCTCTTATATCATGCCTATAAACATGCATTAATAAGAGAGTTCAAGTCTATGCTCATCTATAAAAAGCTTGAGGCAATTAAAACATTCAAGAATAATGAAATTTCAACATAAATGAATTTTAAAACTTGCAAATAGTATGTTTATCAAATGAAAATTTCCAAAAGTTTTTATTCACAAAAAAACAAATCGTTCAAAAGAAACAATGTGCACAAACAGCAATCTAGAAAATTTTTAAATCACGTCTTTTGGTGTTTTTACCACTAGTAACAACAAAAACAAAACAACTACAAGAAATAAATTATTAATAAACATGAAAATTTGAAACGAAAAAAAAAGGTAGTCATAGTATTATGAGTAAAATATTGAAAAAGTTTACAAAAAAAAACAACAACCATGACAAGTAATATACGGCAACGAAAAGAAAAACAAATTACATTTACATATTGTCAATAAGATCTTCAAGATCATCCCAACTTTGTTGACTTGGTGTATTTCCAATTGAGCCCGCACCGTCATCAAGCATACGTAAATTTTCCATACCGTCTATTACGCTCCCATTGTTTGTTTGACTATCATTTAAATTTATTTCTTCAATTGTTGTCATTTCTTCCTCTCGAATGCTTTCATTAGGTTTCGATTGTTTACCATCGGACATAATTGCCATTGATTCATTTCGTTCACTTGTTGTCGTCGCTGCCACTGCCATTTGTTTATCTTTTCGAATCATAGCCGACGCTGTTGCTGCTATTGATTTAAGTTTTGTATCAACAACAGGGTCATCTTCAAAATCTGATCTTAACCATTCAACCATATTAGTAAATAAACAAACATCACTTTGTCTTGATATGATTCGCATATCATATGGATCATATAAATCATCATCATCAATAATATTCTCTTCTTTATTACTTCTATAATCACTATAATTGACTGTGCATTGTTCATGCATTTTATAATGATTACGTAAACGTATTGCTGTTGGAATATATTGTTGACATAGAGAACATAAGCGTGATGATAATTTTGATTGTAACGATGGACAACATGCATCGAATGGCAGAAGATCATTTTGTGTACGATTGATAACAATGCCATGAAATTGTATACGTTGAAAAAGATTTCCATAGAATGGTGATATTGGTTGTAATGTTGCTGATGATGCTTCAATATCAGCCATTTTAACACCACGCGACGAACGATGAAATGGTACAGGTGGTGGAAGAAAACGATGAGGAAAAACTTGAATATAATTGGAACGCCATGGTGTACAACATGATGAATTATTACAACGAATTATTTGTATTGTATATTGAGTTTGAAGAACATGAGCTGCACACCAATATCTAAAACAAAGAACAAGAATTAATTCATTCATTTCCGATAGCCCGTAAAATTCTCTTACTCATCAATATCGCATTCGGCTTTGATTTGCGTCGTTGGATTCAAATGTGTTTGATTAAAACGTTGATGAAGCGGTACTTCTTCATCTTCGTCAGTGCAAACTCTAAAAAGAAATGTATTAAATTATATATTCTAATTCTGTCTCATTGAAATAGACATACTGATCAATGATACTATTCAAAGCTAATGAACTGTCAGTCATTTTCAATTGGTCATCAATCATCGGTGATGGATTAATATATTCAGACACAACTGAACATTCATCAAGTACATTCATACTCCATATTTCAGCTAAAACGTTTCCGGTTAATTTTAAATTTTCTTTTTCTAATTCTGCATGTTGAGTTAAACCAACATCATTTAAATGCGTGCCAAAGTGATCGTGCGGCAGAATTAAACCAGCTAAATCTTGTGACATTGGTGATAAACGTCGTTCAACAACATTGAATATAGCTTGTCCGGGTGCTTGAGCAACAAGAACCAGTGCATCTAAATTGTATTTTTTAAATTTATCAATAGCTGACGCAAGTGTCTTCAGATAACGTGTATTATTTTCTAATCCACTGGCATCAACATTGATGATAACAATAGGTTTAACACGGCCAAGATGGTCACGTGCAACTTTTTCGAATTCTTTCAATTGAATTAAACGTTCGAAATCAATCGAATGACTTTCATGTGTTAAATGATCATGTTTCGCTGATCGAATTGATATATATGTTGGACCCGTATTTGTAATTAGACCTGTTTCATCGATAATCGATGCAGCATAAACGCTAAAGAGAAAAATTTTGATTAGAAATTAAAAAAATCAATTAATTATTCTAATAACCATGGTGTCAATTGATGATTTGAAACTGTTGAATTCGATTGTTGATCAGTTGAACTTATATTATAGTCAAGATGCATTATCAAAGGTGATTGTCCTTTGCCGGATGGTCGACCAATGCTAACTTTCGCTTTTGTATCTTGTGTTAAATAGAAAACACAATCGTTGCCAAATATACCAGCTAGATCTTTGATATGTTTCAAAGCAGCGGCCGTGAAGTGACAATCTAAATTTAAAAAAAAACCACTTTGAATCGTATGCTGATAAGCGTACAAATATTACCTTCATGTTTAGGTGGCAATTCAATGTCTTGCATTTTACGAAGACGGACAGGTACAGTAACAATATGTTTCTTACCATCATGTGATAAAGCACGTTGAGGCATAAGACTTGACAATATGTAAATGTAATTTGTTTTTCTTTGAGAATATTTATATCTAATCAATTACCGATAGTAAAGTGATGATTTACGAATTTCATAACCACGCTCTTTAATTGCATCTTGAAGACCATCTAATGTTAAACCTGTTTGCTCTTTGTTACTATCCGCTGCACCACCAATACGTGCAATTTCACCAATTATCTGTACGAGATCAGGACAATCAGTTTCAATTTGTAAGCGCGTTGTTGTTGGCCGAATAACTTTCGAAAGTTCAGCAGCTACTTCAGGATTTGATGCACATAATTGTTCGACACGTCGTTTTTTTCTTTCACGGTAACGTATTGATGCGCGTTGTTTGGATTGAAGACGTTTTAGATCAGTTGTTCGTCTTTTTTTTTGTTCAATTAATTTTTTTAATGTTTTCTGATTTTCAGCTGTTAGTAAACCCATACTTTTAACTTGTATTAAATTTTCTATACGTTCAGATATTTGTTGAAGATCTTTTAGAACAGTTTCTTGTACTGGCGCTTTAATTTTATCAGCTTCAGTTTGAGCTGTTGCTCGAGCTTTTTTCTTCGCTGCTTTTTCAGCTGATAGAAGAATCCAAGATTTTTCTTTTTCAACGATTTCATCAGTTTCTATCGACGTTTTACGTTTAGAAAATGTCGGTGTTACTGCTTCGACTATATTTGAATCAAAATTTGGATCTCGATTTTGTTCATCATCATCGGAAGAAAAATTTCGCTTGCGAAAACTTCTTTTTGGTGTTGTTTTATTACTTTTATTTGAAGATTTTTTCGGTGAAGATTCATACTCTGGCTGACCAGCTTTATTCCATATATCGAGATATTCAGTTATTTTTTGTTTAACAAAATTTTCGTCCTTTTTTATTTGATTCCATTCAGCTTGCGCACTATGATGAGATGTCTTGAAACGCAAAACAAAATTACAAAAATAAAATTTTAGTTTTCAAGACTTACACATCGTGTCATTTCAGGATGACCTTTCATAAAAGCATCGACAAACTCACGGTATAGAAAATACCGTGGACTTCTCGTAAGTGCCATTAGCTTATAGTTTTCTCAGTACGATTATTCATTCACTTCAGACTCAAATTTTCATCAACTAGTATTTTGTTTAGTTACATTCATTAAAAGTATAAATAGAATTAGCAAAAGAAATGAAGTTCGTGTTTATTTTATGTTTGTAGAGAAGATCATGAATATAGAAACACAAGAAAAAGCCGCGTAACAAATATAAAACGAATGATCATGAATTGAAATCAACCTATTTATTCAAAATATTTTTCTTTCATTCAGTTAAAACCAATATTTAACTGATTTGTGCTAAATAATCTTTGACTTCAGCTGGTGTTAAACGACGAAAACCTTCCTTATCACAAATGCCAATTTCAATATTGTCTTCTGTCATTTGACCCTCGAATGATTCTTTGAGTGTTAATATAGCAGTATGTACTGCATCTTCAAGTGCCAATTGATCGGAATATCTAAATATATTATTATCATAGCCAATCATTGGGAATGAAAGAAAGTTTTTGATGGTACCGTTTTTCTAGAAATGTCTTTCCGTTGATATAATTACGTCCGATTGCTGTTGCTTTCCATGGAAAATAGGAACCCTAGAAAATTTCAATTGGTACAGAGCTCATCCGGCTAACTCTGCTACCGGTCAGTGAGTGCGTTACTATTTTTATGCATCCTGCTTTTCTCATTACTTTTGAACAGTTTACCAGAAAAACGCTGGTAACATCTTATTTTGTTCACTAAAATGTGCTCTACAAAGTGTACTTTTCATTTTACTTGTCTAAAATATTCTTTCACCTGTCTTATGAAAAATACAAAATGTGCTTAATATGTTTAAACTATTTTTTGTTCTGTTGTATTTTTCGTAAGACAAGTGAAAGAATATTTTAAACAGGGACGATGAACAGTACACTATGTAGAGCACATTTTAGTGAACAGAACAAGATATTGCCGTAGTTTCTCTGGTAAACAGTTCAAAAGTAATGAGATAAGCAAAATGCATAAAAATAGTAACGCACTCACTGTCCGGTAGCGGAGTTAGCCGGACAAGCTCTACAGATTTGATTCAAAATGCTCACTGATGGATCACATTGATAGAGAAATGGTCGATCTTCATCATAATCATAACCACAAATAAGTAGAGAAACACCAAATGGACGTACACCACTAGAAAAAATTAATCATTCAATGTGATAAATATTTGTATTTCGGAAAAAAGAAACATACCCAGATTGAGTATATTCTTGCATAACATCAGCTACTCTTTTAACTAATTGTGTTGGTGGTACATTTTGTTCATAAATAAGCATATATTCTTGAGCTAATTTGCGTGCTTTCTGTACGAGTAATCTACGTAGAACAGATGGAATATAATAACAAGAGTTTAGCGATGATATAGATACCTATAATCAGGACCCATGCCACTATAAACAAGACCAATATTTTTACAAATTGGTTCAACCTTGTGAATTGTACGATCATCATGTAACAATGATTTATTTTTTTTCTCCGTGGCCAATACAACTCCATTCAATGCTTTAATGCCTACTGCTGGTGAACCTGCATTAACAGCATTAAGGGCATATTCAATTTGAACAAGTTTGCCGGATGGACTGAATGTGGTTAACGAAAAACCATATCGTTCTGACATTATTCTCTATTACACTGTAAAGATCTAAAAAAAAGATTTCTTAAAGCGTAAACACATTTCAGCTAACAATACGCTTGCTTATATTCTGTCAAACATATGAAGTAAACGATAGTTTTATTTGTTATTAAGTTGTCGAAGATGTTTAGTAAATTCGTTAATCAATGAGTATTGGCATCTTGTCGATGATTCGTTAAGATGATCAGCAATAGACAGTTAATTTACTAATCAAATCTTATTATTTTTTCTAATTTAACTTGACTAAGAAACTAATTTTGCAATAAAAACATTAATTGTTCGTTGTCGGATAACTTGTTTGAATATATTAATATTCAATCAATAGAAAAATAGATGGCGTCTATTGCCATGCGTCGTTTCCTGTAATCGAAAAATATAGATAAACTGTTGCTAATTAAATGGAACGTGAAATTTTTAAACGAATACTGTATTATATACGTAATGATTTCCTGCTAATATATAAAAATGTGTACTTGTTTATGCAAATACAGATCCTGCTAAATTAGAATGTGGAATAAACTTTACTGAATTATTGCGATTAAATTTACGAGATTTATAGTCACCATTGTTTCTACAATAGTATTATATTGAACCAAAGTTATGTTTGTGAATAGATTCATGACAGTCGAGCTATCAGAGAATGACAAGAGCTGTTCAATCGATACTTTGAACATACTAATATATAATGTCGATACCTATCTTTTGTTTTTTGAGATAGTATTCACCAAAGCATTCTCTTCGGTCATCTATGAATATTTGCATTTTGATAAGAAACATTTTCAATTGATTCATATCTTGGTTTTATAGAAAAACAATAATTATTTCAAGATGATTATTCAAAGAACTAAGGATATTTCAATCTAGTGCAAGCTTTCACACTTGTTGATATCGGTTATACAATTTCTTGCTAGTTTTGATCTTTTAACATTCTTCAACGATCTGAAGAAGTATTTTTAATTTTTTCCTATAAACATTTCTGGGCTGAATTACGGAAGTCATAAATCACTGAGTTACTTCCCGAATCCATGGAACATATTGTCATTCTCTTAAGAGATTGCTTGCGTTATATGTATTATTGTCATTAGAATAATCAGTTCTAATCCTTAACTAGCGAATCATTTTGTCTACTCTGCTGGGGCAGATCACTTGTTCATGATCATCTATTCGAAGGAATATGTCATAAGTTTAGAGCTAACCATAGCAGTTCATTCAATGCATTACATGAAAATTCGAATTCTACGAGTAGTTTTCGTGTTTAGTCGTTTCTTCTTCCTAGGAAGAATTGCCGACGGAACATTTTCTTTCATCACTCGTTTTTGTGTCAATATCACTAGTGATTGTGTGTGGGAGCTTTGCGAGTTTTGTGCAGAAAAAAGAACGAAAACAACAACAGTCGGCAGTAACTTTTAGCGAGCACGCTAAATTTCATATCTTTTCATCATTCAAAGATAAAAGAGTCCGAAACACAAAAGCACGTCTTTTTTTTCAAAAAATCTTCATCGCCTCTAAATGGCGACTAGCAAAACAAAATCGCCCAAAGAGTTAACTTCATCGAACTCTATCGATCAATCGACAAGTTCTAATTTTGAGTCGTTCACGTGTTTATGGCTCGATCAAAGTGTCAACACAACACAAGATAATCTTGAAACTCAAAAAGAACTTCGTCAAGTCATCAATCATCTTCGAACATTCGATGATATGGATAAATGTGAACAATACATTCGACAAATTACTAAAGAAAAAGTCGTTCTTATTGTATCGGGAGCATTGGGCCGAGAGCTAGTACCTCGACTTCACGAGCTGCCACAGTTTTCTGCATGTTATGTCTTTTGTCAAGATCAGAAACGAAACGAAGAATGGGCTAATAAATATCACAAGGTAAACCACTGCTAAAAGGAATAATACTCTTACTTTACAAATTGACATATTATAGGTAAATGGCGTTTTCGTGAGTCGATCGAAACTAGTTTCTCAAATATCCAAAGATCAGCAAAGTCGTGCTAAACTAGAGGAGGGTGCTTCAATATCAATCATAACGGCCGGTTCTCAATCCTTGGAAGCTCGGAATGCTATTTTCATGTGGTTTCAACTGTTCATCGAAGTACTTCTTCGTATGCATCATAAATCCAATGATCGAAAAGAACTTTTGGACATATGCAAAAAGAGTTACAGAGGTAATCAGCAGGAGATGGAAATTATTGATGAATTTGAAAAGAATTACAAAGCTGAAAATGCGGTTTGGTGGTATACACGAGAATCATGTTTCTATCGGATGATGAATAAAGCATTACGTGTTCAAGACTTTGATATGCTATTTTCATTTCGATTCTTTATTACTGATATAGCGAAACGAATTAGAAATGAACATGAAAAGTTTATTCGTACAAGTGACAATCGAAATATAATTCGTGTTTATCGTGGTCAAATGATTGGATGTGATGAACTTGAATTAATGAAGAAGAGTATTGGTGAATTTCTTTCGATGAATTCGTTTTTATCAACGAGTCGTAATCGGTCGACTGCTCTCAAATTTATTCAATGTACACCTAAGACTGATGGTTTTCAACGAATTCTTTTCGAAATATCAATTGACCCTCGCTTACAAACGAAAGCTTTTGCTGACATCGGCAAAATAAGCTATTTTCAATATGAAGATGAAGTGTTGATTATGCTTGGTGCTTTATTCCGTATAGAAAAGGTGGAACAAAATAAGAAGGAAGGAATGTGGATTGTTCATGTGACGCTAGCAAGTGAAGATGACTTTCATTTGAAGGAAACATTTTCATACATGAAAAGTACAATTGGCGAGGATACAGATTTGGATTCTCTTGGCAAAATTTTATTTGAGATGGGTGAATACAAGCAAGCGGGAAAATGCTATAAAAGAATGCGCAACGAAGCTCAGCTGGCTAATGGAAATGCAGCATTCGGTTTAGGTAAGGTGTATAATTTACGTATGGATGCCGATGGAGGCCTCAAATATCTCGAAGAAGCATTGTGTACACGGCAACAACTCTTGGGGCAAGATCATGCAGACGTTGGAGAGTGTTATACCTGGATCGGACGACTACATTGGAGCGTTCGAGAAGATTATGATGAAGCCTTGATAAATCTGAAAAAAGCAGTGAAAATTCAAGAAGCAGTACTTCCACCTGATTCTCTTGCGCTCGCTAACACGTATCACAACCTAGGGACTACATATGATTTATTGGAAGAATATGATTTAGGTGTAGCTTATTATACGAAGGCACTCAAAATTCGAGAGAAACTGTTACCCAATGATCACCCAAGCATTGCTATGAGCTACAATAACTTAGGGAAAATGTATCAAGATAAAGGCAATTATACGAGAGCCTTACAATACCTTGAAAAATCAATCGAAATTAGGAGAAAAATTTTACCACCTACTCATGCAGAACTTAAAAGGACCGAAAATAATATTCGTAAATTAAAGGATAAAATGAAGCATTAGTTGGATAATAAATTGATAAAGTACTGTTTAACATGCTTATGCGCTCAAATCTTATTGAGTATGCGCTATGAAATATTATTCGTGTTTTTTCTTGAATAAAAATGCACTACGCTACAGTAGAATTGAAATTAGGATAATACTTAATTGATTGTTTTTAAGATTTTCTTCTGAAACTAGCTTTCTCGGATCGAACCCAGATATTTGTATGAAAACTTGATAAATAAACTCGAATTCTTTGTATCTCGAATCTACAACAAGCTTATAAAAGTCTTCAAAACAAGGATTTTTCATACATGATAGAGCTGTCCTTCCCGTGATCAACACTATTTGGTCGATTGCTAACTTTCAACTTATTATGAATCGAATTATATCATGCTTGTTCAAATTACATAGAAAAACCTTCAATATCACCAAGTTCGTGCAGGAGTAATGCCTTTTTAAAAATGAATGTAAACACGCACTATACTTCAGAAGAATAAAATGCTTAAATATGTGGAGTACTTTAGGTTGTTTCACATTACGAAAACGTTGCAAATCACCTAATGCTTATACGTTAAAAGCAACAGTGGTATATTCTTATTATCCATTGGAAATCCATAGATGACTTTAGTTTAATTCTTTGCTTATTTTAATTCGAGTTAATAGAAAAAACATGTTGATGTACAGAAAAGTTCTATCCGTTGTCAATGAAAGAGTGAATCTCGGAAATCTACATTTACATTTAGCTCTATTTGTAAAGCATGATTGGGAATATTACTTAAACTTTTTCTCAGAAATATCTCCAAATGATGAAAATTTCTACATTTCATGGTATTCAGTATGAGTCATAGTCTGTATACAAGAAATAATTCCTATAGGCATATTTCAGAAAAATTTTCATATTTTTCTTCAATTTCCATGGAACAGAAGAGGCGTATCAAAGAGATTACAATACACGGAAACAATATTAAATCATAGAAAAAATCGCTGCGTTAACGAGTGAAGTATGAAACAGTATCTGTTGATGTATCAAAGAAGAGCTATTGCACTATTAATTTTTATTAATTATCGTATAATGTAATTAGTAGGGCATACTCGAAGATCAAGCACAGTTGAAAGTTGTTTCAGCGGTTTGGCTTGTAATTTTATCCAGTAATTAAAAAATAGACACACAATGGCTGCTTTGACATATCAACAGTTAATCGAGAATTCATATTTGTTCGGATTTATCGATTTATGACTTTTTGATGAAATGAAAGAATAATAGTTTTATGATTGATTGAACCAATCTAAATTGAACTTTGACTGTTTTTTTTTAACTTGAAAATAAAGCTATTCATTTATCTAGGTTTACATATTTTCTAAATCAATGTAAAACAAAGAGAGTAAATCTGTTTTAAAAGAATCAGATAAAGTAGTTGAATTAACATAATTGGCCAGTTTAAAAAAACTCTCCGATTATCCTATTAGATGACAGTGTAGAATTGAATTGACCTTGGAGGGCTGTTGCTTTAAGTATTGGATTGGGAACTTAAATAATTCGGAAAATAATGTCTCCCATTTGAAAGCATTTTATAATGCGTCATGAAGAAATTCGATGAAACATTATTTAGACAAGTCATTAAATTGTAAACAAGGAATTAATAAAAGGAGGATGCAATCGATTATCATTTGATCTCAAATAATCATAAAATTTTTATCTTTAAATTGAATCTTCCAATAAATACTAGTGTTTTTTAAAAATTTTGGTGCAAAATATGGTTTGACTGATAGCTAGAAGAAATTTTCATAGAATAACTCAACAAAGAATAATTGTGGCAGGATATTTATTCAGAGTACAACGAACCATCTTTCCAATATAATGTGTATTATTCTTTCGTTGATTGACTTATATTGATGCATTGTAATAGATTACGTGTTCATGATCACATATCCGATGGAATATGCCATAACTCTAGAGCTAACCATAACAGCTCATTCAATGCATTACATGAAAATTCGAATTCTACGAGTAGTTTTCGTGTTTACTCGTTTCTTCTTCCTAGGAAGAATTGCCGACGGAACATTTTCTTTCATCACTCGTTTTTGTGTCAATATCACTAGTGATTGTGTGTGGGAGCTTTGCGAGTGTTGTGCAGAAAAAAGAACGAAAACAACAACAGTCGGCAGTAACTTTTAGCGAGCACGCTAAATTTCATATCTTTTCATCATTCAAAGATAAAAGAGTCCGAAACACAAAAGCACGTCTTTTTTTTCAAAAAATCTTCATCGCCTCTAAATGGCGACTAGCAAAACAAAATCGCCCAAAGAGTTAACTTCATCGAACTCTATCGATCAATCGACAAGTTCTAATTTTGAGTCGTTCACGTGTTTATGGCTCGATCAAAGTGTCAACACAACACAAGATAATCTTGAAACTCAAAAAGAACTTCGTCAAGTCATCAATCATCTTCGAACATTCGATGATATGGATAAATGTGAACAATACATTCGACAAATTACTAAAGAAAAAGTCGTTCTTATTGTATCGGGAGCATTGGGCCGAGAGCTAGTACCTCGACTTCACGAGCTGCCACAGTTTTCTGCATGTTATGTCTTTTGTCAAGATCAGAAACGAAACGAAGAATGGGCTAATAAATATCACAAGGTAAACCACTGCTAAAAGGAATAATACTCTTACTTTACAAATTGACATATTATAGGTAAATGGCGTTTTCGTGAGTCGATCGAAACTAGTTTCTCAAATATCCAAAGATCAGCAAAGTCGTGCTAAACTAGAGGAGGGTGCTTCAATATCAATCATAACGGCCGGTTCTCAATCCTTGGAAGCTCGGAATGCTATTTTCATGTGGTTTCAACTGTTCATCGAAGTACTTCTTCGTATGCATCATAAATCCAATGATCGAAAAGAACTTTTGGACATATGCAAAAAGAGTTACAGAGGTAATCAGCAGGAGATGGAAATTATTGATGAATTTGAAAAGAATTACAAAGCTGAAAATGCGGTTTGGTGGTATACACGAGAATCATGTTTCTATCGGATGATGAATAAAGCATTACGTGTTCAAGACTTTGATATGCTATTTTCATTTCGATTCTTTATTACTGATATAGCGAAACGAATTAGAAATGAACATGAAAAGTTTATTCGTACAAGTGACAATCGAAATATAATTCGTGTTTATCGTGGTCAAATGATTGGATGTGATGAACTTGAATTAATGAAGAAGAGTATTGGTGAATTTCTTTCGATGAATTCGTTTTTATCAACGAGTCGTAATCGGTCGACTGCTCTCAAATTTATTCAATGTACACCTAAGACTGATGGTTTTCAACGAATTCTTTTCGAAATATCAATTGACCCTCGCTTACAAACGAAAGCTTTTGCTGACATCGGCAAAATAAGCTATTTTCAATATGAAGATGAAGTGTTGATTATGCTTGGTGCTTTATTCCGTATAGAAAAGGTGGAACAAAATAAGAAGGAAGGAATGTGGATTGTTCATGTGACGCTAGCAAGTGAAGATGACTTTCATTTGAAGGAAACATTTTCATACATGAAAAGTACAATTGGCGAGGATACAGATTTGGATTCTCTTGGCAAAATTTTATTTGAGATGGGTGAATACAAGCAAGCGGGAAAATGCTATAAAAGAATGCGCAACGAAGCTCAGCTGGCTAATGGAAATGCAGCATTCGGTTTAGGTAAGGTGTATAATTTACGTATGGATGCCGATGGAGGCCTCAAATATCTCGAAGAAGCATTGTGTACACGGCAACAACTCTTGGGGCAAGATCATGCAGACGTTGGAGAGTGTTATACCTGGATCGGACGACTACATTGGAGCGTTCGAGAAGATTATGATGAAGCCTTGATAAATCTGAAAAAAGCAGTGNCTGGCTAATGGAAATGCAGCATTCGGTTTAGGTAAGGTGTATAATTTACGTATGGATGCCGATGGAGGCCTCAAATATCTCGAAGAAGCATTGTGTACACGGCAACAACTCTTGGGGCAAGATCATGCAGACGTTGGAGAGTGTTATACCTGGATCGGACGACTACATTGGAGCGTTCGAGAAGATTATGATGAAGCCTTGATAAATCTGAAAAAAGCAGTGGAAATCCAAGAAGCTACTCTTCCATCTGATTCTCTTGCTCTGGCTAAGACTTATAATAACTTAGGGGCCACATATGACTTGCAAGAAGAGTACGACTTGAGTCTGAATTATTATAGGAAAGCACTGAAGATTCGAGAAAGAATTTTACCCAGTAATCACCCATACATTGGGGGGATCTACAATAATATAGGAAAGTTATACGAAAGTAAGAAGAATTATGAAAAAGCATTAGAGTACTATGAAAAATCAATGGGTATCAATCGCAAAATTTTACCACCTACTCATGATGTTTTTAAAAGGACCGAAAATAATATTCGTAAATTAAAGGATAAAATGAAGCATTAGTTGAATAATAAATTGATAAAGTACTGTTTAACATGCCTATACGCTCACATTTTATCAAATATGCGCTATGAAATATTATTCGTGTTCTGTTTCTTGAATAAAAGTGCACTACTCTACAGTAGAATTGGAATCAGGATAATACTTAATTGATTGTTTTTAGGATTTTCTTCTGAAACTAGCTTTCTCGGATCGAACACAGATATTTGTATGAAAACTTGATAAATAAACTCGAATTCTTTGTATCTCGAATCTACAACGAGCTTATAAAAGTCTTCCAAACAAGGATTTTTCATACATGATAGAGCTGTCCTTCCCGTGATCAACACTATTTGGTCGATTGCTAACTTTCAACTTATTATGAATTGAAATATATCATGATGGCCCATATTACACAGAAAAAAACATTGTATCTAGTTTTGGCAGGCGTAATATATTTTTAAAATCGATGCCGACACTCAGAGTTACCTACATACAATAGACTAGTGAATGTAAAACTAAATTGAGTAAACATTAGAATAAGAAAAAAAATTAAAATACAATCGATAACAGTGATAATTCATCGGAATGCTATTTTCAGCTGATTATTTTACAAGCAGGCCTCTTTGTTGTGATATTTAAAATGAACTAACACCAATGTATGAACTGGTACTATTTTCACCTTCTCCCCTCAACTGTCAGAATCTGCACATAACACAAAGTTGCAGTAGTATTACACACTTATTACTATCATGTCCTTATCATTTGAAATCAAAAACTTCAGTGGTTAGAAATTTCTTCCCTTGTGCATACGAAACGATAATTGCTAATTTAAGAAATTACTTTATTAAACATTGATCAAGTATGAAAATCAAGGGTTAAGAGAAAAATCTAAAATTAATTCGTTGTCGAAAATTCATTGAGCCATTCAAATGATGCATTACTTGAATCTGTGGATAAAAAGTAAAAAAGGAATTGAAATAGTCATCTGTAATCCGCTCTTACCATTATATTCAAGTCCGATAAAATCTTGATAAAATGGTTCTACAAGCTTTGAAATAAAATATCGATGATTAACTTCTCCATCGTCACTCATTGGACAGTTTCGTTTAGGTGTTTGTGAAATTTGAACATGACCAACAAAGGGTATCATTTCCTAAAGACAAAAGCGGGTTCAGAATCATTGCAACTCAATCTGAAGCAATTACTTGAACACGTTCAGTTAAATTTCCATGTAACCGTTGTAAATGAAATGAATCGAGCATCACTTTTAAATTATCAGCTTTTGATGATTTAACAATATCGATTGCTGTAGAATATGATCGTAAATAATAATTTAATCGTGTTGAAATTGGTTCGATGAGACACATTATATGATGTGGTTGAAAGAATGTAGCAGCTTGATACACAAGATCAATAATCTTGGATCTTAATAAGTAGAGGAAGTTAAAATGAAGTACGAAAACATAGTAAAGCGCTGGGATTGAAGATACTAGACCTAACAGTGCAAACATATGTGCATGTTTTTTCCTGCTATCTTACCGTTCCGACTCATTTTCAATATCAGTCATAACTAAATGAACTTTATTGACATTGAATGCCTTTGCATAGGCAAGTGTTCGAGCAAGAACAATTTGTTGATAATCATTAAACGAAGGTATCCCGTTAGTTTGATCGTAAAGTGGTAAACTATTAATCAATATCCATTTTAATGTTTTATTCTTCGACATTATCTCTTTCCAATCATCGACAGACACATCATATGGATTTTGACATTCAATAGCATCAAATTGATAATCTTTTCTACATATATACACAAAAGAGTAAGAAAAAAATTGATTCTATTTCTCCATTGATTACCGTTGAACAATATGAATATATCGTTCCGTAAGTTTTGGTATGTCATTGCATAATGTTGATAGATTAGCACAAAATCGCATTCTCTCTTCTCTACAATAGTTTCATGAATAAAAATCAAAAATAAATTATTATTTCATTTAGTTTTTGTTGCTTTTATTTCCTAATAGGAAAAACACGAGAATTCTATACACTCAAGTCATTCAAACAAAAAAAGAAAAAATGACATTGAGAACATATTTAAATACATAAAGTTCAAATCCTTTCATTTCATGTGTTGGATGACACAATCGTCGATGCATGATCTATAACACAAAAAATACATAAATCCTTTTTCTTCAGAAGATGAAATATTCATACCAATAAATTCTTTAACACATTTTCGTTCTTCGTCAGTACGAAAAGGCATGGTGCCAGCAATAGCTTCTTTCTGAAGTAAAGGTAAAAATAATTGTACAAACGATGGCTCATAAGGAGGACCAATCATTTCAAGAACCTGAATAAAAAAATTAACAAATTCATCTATTTCAATCATGCATTATCTAAATTACTTCAAAAACGAAGTGTCGAATCAATGATACATCAGTATCTTGTTGTTCCCAACGTTTTTTCATATACTCTAATATTGGATGTACATATGAACAACTGAGCATATGAACCATACGATCAAGAATTGTCTTTTTAAATTCCAACTAAATGAAAATTTTTTTACAACAATAGTTTGATTGGAAAATATATGTTACATGAACGAGTGTATCAAGTTCAGCAAATGTTGCTTCAAAAAATCGAACTAATAATTCAAAAGCTTTTTGGTGTAATAAAAAATGAAGGCTGACAATCTAATTTAAATAAAAAAGTAAAAATAAGATTGGATCATCAAAAACCAAAATAATTTTACTTCATCAATAATAATTAAATGCACAGGTGTTGTACCTTGATCAAGTTTAAAATAACTTGGATCAAATATACGAAATTCAATCCAACGAAGAACACATGCAGCTACGATCGGAAACCTATAATGAAGCCATTGGACGAATTTGTTTCTTTGCTATTGACTTATTACCTTAGACATTTGTAGAGTTCATTTAGATCACTAATAAGATCAACAGTGGATTTGGAACTAATACATATTTCAAGAGCTTTTTCAAGTGCTATAGTTGTTTGAGATAATTCTTCTTTGCTATTCACTGCACTTTTTCGTGAACTCTGTATAATTAAATAAATGTTAATAGTTTTCGCTGTTGAGTTGAAAAATATAGAAAAACTACTTTTTTATTTGTTTCAGCAACACTACAAGCATAAGCGAGTAGTCCGATATATTTTGGTCGATGTTCCGGATTTAACGTTGACTCGGGATCAAACAATTGTGTTATCAATAATTCTAGAGAAGAGAAAAATCATCGAATATGAAATAAATTTTTATTGAAAAATAAATTTTTACCAATAAAAGCTGGTTTTCGAATTAGATCAACAGGTGGTGGATCAGTAGATTGATAAATTTTATAAAGCTATTAAAAGAAGAATTTTCTTGGAAAAATTCAATCGTAAAAAAATTACTTACCGTAGTAACATCAGCTGGATTTAAAGCTTTTTTTGATAACATAGCACAAAGTGGTTGATATACTTTAGGGTAAGCAGTTGTACCATCAAGTGTGAGAGTTATTTCAGTAACATTATGCTCTCTAAATAAATATTATTCAAAAATGTAAGCTGTTCTAATGGGAAAAGTCTTCGTTTTTCTTTACTTTGCTTTTGCATGTAATTCAATTTCTTCGGAAATTCGTCGAATAATCATCGATTTAGCATCATTCACTAGTGATGAAAGTACACTTTGAGCATATAAATATGTTTGCTCACTATGGCAAGCCAATTGCTAATAGAAGAAACACGATTAGAATGTTCATACGAAAAATTCTGAATGCGTTATTCTAACGGTAAAAATCTCTTTTAAGAACTCGTTCTTTGACATTCTCCTATCGTAACTTGAATGGCTAACGAGATGATCTAATGCTCTTGACAAGATTCACTACAGAAATAATATCGTTTGTGACAACTTGACTGGTCCTATTCAATAATAGCAAAAAAAGTGGTTTGCTCAAATTTTTAAATCGTCAGAACATTAAATAGTTGCCTTCGAATCTTTTATAAACGAAAGAAACAAAAACAAAAAGTCGAATATCTACGTATAAATAAACATACGACAAGCTCTTGAATATTTCTTTTCCATTCATCTGTTTCACTATCGATAGTGCGTTGAATGGTTGTCATCAGTACTTTTGTAAACACTTCAACTTGTTGTGCAGCGACAGGTACACTTGTGATTTCATGTTCATGACCTGAATCGACTAGAAGCTATTTACAAAAAGATGCCTTACTCATCAATTCAATATGTATTCATTTCTAATTGCTACTTTTATAGTAAAATTTAACATGAGACAATGTGGATATTCTTCAGCTAATTTGTAAATCATTTGACGCCAATTCATATGTTCAGTCATTTCAGTTAACCATGATGGTACCTATCCAAGTAAAATAACGGTGAAAATTACAAGAAAAACAAAACAAGAAAAACCTACTCCTCCTGCTTCGAAAATACTATCGGCTTTTTTTGGTTCAAAATGTTTTTCAATTAATGTTTGCAAATGTTGAACAATCATATTCACAACATCAACTGGCTCAACACCCGTTAGTATCAACCAATCAGCCATTAATGTAGCTGTTTGAGCAATAGCCATGTAGTTTTCTGATAATAATTCAATAACTTGATCGGGAGCACCACCATGTCGAAAATAACTACGTAGAAAAAACACCATAGGATCTCACGGAATTTACAAAAAAAAGCAGATCTTAGTCTATCAACTCATTAGATTTTCTTCTAACTGTCGATTTTACTTCTAACCAAACCTCTCTATAGGATGATTTATTTGAAAAAGATCTCGACGAATCATTTCTCTTACTCTTTGATGGTATCGAAAACTTTCGGTTCCATAATAAAATCGGTCGATGAAAACAATTGTACACATTGTTTTTGAATTTGTTCATCTTCATTTTCTGTTTCCATCTTCTTTCTATACAATTAATTTTAATCTGAAAAAAATATCTTTTTTTAATAGAATAAAAACAGCCTTTGCAAGCTTAATTTTACAAAAAGATGGCAACAGGTAGAAAGATATGTATTAATGAAAACATCCACTGAAAATAGTTTCAACGGGCATTGGTTCTTTTAGATAGACAATACATTGTCCGTTACCAAAATATTTCATAACTGTTCGTTCGTCATTACTTTCCGGTATGGGAATATTTCGTTGAATAGTATCACTTTCTTTTTGAATCATTTCTATAATATCTTGACCGGTTTGTGCTGCACTTGAACCTGGTGCAACACCACATGTTAAATGAGCACGTGAAAGATAACCAAATGTTGGATGAAGAAATGACACTTGTTCCGTTGTATTCGATCTGGATACATTATCCACTAATAGTACATCTTCACCAGCGACTGATCTAACCATCGTTGAATTAGAATCATCATTTACAGTTAAATTATCTGTTGTTGTTGTTACTCTTGATCTATTATTATTATTCCGACGATACGGACGCGTTTTTTTATTATCCCTAGTATCAACTTGAGGTGGTGATTCTTTTTTGGGTATTTCATTATCATCTTGATCCCAAAGTGCCCATGTATGACGATCGGGAAAAAGAAGACGTGCGCCTAGAATTTTCATATTTGTTGAGATGTTTTTCGAAAAATATTAATTAGAATCATTTGATTATTTACCTAAAGTACGTGGTGTAATAACAAATCCAACAACGTAAGCTCGACACATCTTACCAAGTGTATGTGAGATTAAACGATTTGCAGCATAGTTTGTATAATCTTTTCGACTTTGATCTGTTATTTTGCCGATATATTTCATTGTACAATGAAGAATTTTCGTTTGCACATTCATATTAGCACGATTTAATAAATTATGAACTGATATGTCTACAGATAAAAACAAAAAGTTACAATAAACTTTTCATAGAAATTTATAAACTATCGGAATAGATTTCTAAAATAGTTTGTTTTTTTTCTATTTACTTTTATCACGACTAACATATTCGAGATCTTTTTTTAATTGATAAAATGTTTGTAATGCTTGTTGATAATAATCATAAGCTTCTTGAATAATATAATTTGATTGTTCTTGATTAAGAAATAGACCAAAATAAAATGGAATAAGTGGATTATATTGACGTAAACGTCCTTCGATGACTTCAATTGGAACTTGATGTACATTTCGATCTAGATATAAATTAAAATATTCGAATATGCTTTTCGATCATCATCTATAAGCGAACTCATTAATGTATTTGCATCTCGTTTCCAATCGGTTCGTGGTTCAACAATAATAACAACATAACCATAATTCGATGCTTTTTGAAAGTAATGCTTACACTCATCCGTTCGAATGTTTGTATTATCAACAATTACAGCAAGAACATTATTTCTTCAAAAAAGTTAATATGTATACTGATAAAAAAAACTGAATCTGTTTTACTTGCAAGCCTCTTCAGTTCGCTGTTGACATACACGATGTGCTTCACCAATTCTATTTATATTGAAATTATAATTTCCTTCACTATCAATAAAATAGTTATCAGCCGAACACACAACAACCGATTTCGAATAGAGTTTTGTAAGATGTTTAACTATGGTTGATTTACCTAAAGATTAAATACTAGATATAATGATAGGAATTCAATGGTTTTATTTCATATACCAGATCCAGGCAGTCCACGCATTAAAAACATGACCTAGAATAAGGATATACATCGTGTTAGATTTATTGAAATAACTTCATTTCAACAATGAATATATTTAACTGTACCTTTGTTTGGCGAAGATGAGCAATTGTTTCCGGACATGTTAAAAATGGATGTGATAATGCATAGAGATCATCCAATTTTAGAATATCAAGAATTCGAATTTGTTGTGGTTTTCTCTAAAACAGAAATCCACGATGATAGTGTTCATTTGACAAAATCCTAAATATCTCACTTCATTGGAAGAACCATTTTGCATAAAAACCGATGGTAAAAGCCAAGAAAACATCTAAAAATGTAACGATAACCAATTGTCAATCTATAATATATATATATATATGTATGTCTATAAATCAACACCGTGCAATCAACAGATGTAATACTAAGTAAAAACATAACAAAAGTGAAAACAAAAAAAAAACAATCAACGTGAAAATAAAAAAATTATTATTTATTTTTATTCATTTCTTGTGAAATAAGATGAACAGCATCGATAAACCATTGAACATTATCTACGGACATATCTGGATAAATTCCATGGCCTAAATTTGCTATATATTGTTGTGTTCCAAATACTTCAAGCATTTCCCGGACGAATTTTTCCAGATTTTCTTTCGACGAATAAAGTGCACATGGATCAAGATTTCCTTGCAGCGTTAATGTTGAATTTTCATCTCTTAACGAACGTATAGTTGACGGTGTAATTGTCCAATCAAGACTAATAACATCGAATAAACCACTTTTAGCTAAATCATGAAGACCAAAATGTGCATCTTTAGCAAACAGAATAAATGGTACGGATGGAATTTCCCGTTGTGCAAGCTTTTCACGAACACCCTTAGCAATTTGACATAGATATGGTAATGAAAACCGATTGAATAAATCCGGTGTTAAACAAGCACAATGTGATTCAAATAATTGAACAATTTGTGCACCAGCCGCTATTTGTTCAACAAGATGATCAATAGTAAAATTAGCAAGTACAGTAAGAAGATCGTGTGATTCATTTTCATAACTGTATAGCCAACGTTTTGCTTTTGACATTGTTGTACTAGCTTTACCTAAATAAATCAAAATATTCTATGAATTTGTCTCATTCTTTATTTTTTTGACATTGCCAATTTTTCTCTTTGTGCTTTTCGATAATTACATATTTAATAAAAAATATGTCAAAAATGAAAATAGTCATAATTCAAAATGACACTTGTTAAACATACTTAAAAAAAGGTATCAAAATAAGATTTATCGTTTCCTATCAGGAGGTTTATTATGAAGAGAAATTTTCTTTTCTCTTCAAAAATCTTACCTTCAATCATATAGGACATCAGTGTCCATGGGGCACCCGTAAAACCAATCAATGGACATTGACCATCCAGGGTATGTCTCGTTAATGTAATAGCTTCGTAAACATATTTTAATTCTTCACTAGCTTTACGTGTTCGATCTATTTTCGTATTTAAATCTTCCGGTGTTTTAAGTGGCTGCGGAAAACATGGTCCTTCATTAGCGATCATTTCCACTTGCATGCCTAATGCTTGTGGTATAACAAGAATATCACTAAAAATAATTGCAGCATCGAGATCGAATCGACGTACTGGTTGAAGTGTAACTTCACATGCAAGCGATGGTGTTCGGCATACTTCAAAAAATGAATGCTGAGAACTAATTACTTTATATTCAGGTAAATAACGACCAGCTTGACGCATGATCCATATTGGTACACGTTCGACTGATTCACCGCGACATACACGAAGAATGAGATCGTTTTTTAATGGTGGAAAATTTGTTGAAGACATTTATAGAAAGAAAACTATGAGTAAGTTTGTTCTAAAACGAAAAATTTCATTTCATTTATGCAATTAATCCTTCGAATTGCGTCAGCTGCATTTTGTTTTATTTGCTCACGTGAGCAAGGAAATTTCAAACCATCATTTTCTTTTTGTTATGATAGTTTAATCTTTTCATAGATAATCGGAAGACAAAAATAAATAAATTACAACGATAAAATATATATTTCGCAAAGTTTTATGTGAATTACATTTTTACTTGTTTGAAATTCAATTCTTTCGGGCCTGCAAATTTGTTTCTTCGTAAAATCTGTTCCTACTACAACGAAACGAAATTGAAACCTTGAACATGTACTCATCGAATAGTTTTTAACATCGCATTAGAAATCAAATTCAATATATACAATACATCCATATTGGTAGGATATATATTTGTATCTTAACGAACGCTACAATCAATAGAATGTTTGTTTTCAGAAAGTAGCGTCGACTATGTCAACTGACTTCTAACGATATCTATCTTGCGATATTAATATGTAAATAGAAATTCATTGGTTAAGAAAATTATTCTCGTTCTATTCTTTTCTTCCTATTTTCTTTCTCTTCTGTTTCTCGTCGTCATCATGGCTGTCTCCCATCCTCTCCCTTCGTTCGTCTTTTTTTCCTTTTCTTTATTCTTTCTGGCCTTTTTATTTTTTCTTCTCTTCTTGTACGACTAGTTGCCGTCGTCCGTCGTCGTCCGTGTTTTTCTACGTACACCACCATTTTCTCTTTTCTATTTCTTCTCGTTCGAACACATACACACGCACTCAAATCGACGTTGCCGACACCCTATGCGATCACTTCTTTCTGTCGTATTTTTTCTCTTCTGTCCTTTTCTATATGCTAAGCACGTAGAGAGGGAGACCGGGAGAGAGAGAGAGAGAGAGAGAGGACGAGCGAGAGAATGGGTAGGCAAAAGAGAAAAAAATCACTACTTCTTCCAAGCGAACGGCACATAGTGCGAAAATGTATGCTGATAGTTTGTTTCTGTCTTTTGACATTGTTGTTCTTTACCTTCTTTTTTTTTCTTCTCTGTATTTTAACCATTACAGTAGTAGAAAAGAGAACACAAGACATGTTTCGCCCATCCTCTTTTTTTTGTTCTTTTCTTTCTTTTCTGTTTTAGATAACTCATATTATATATATACAAAAGATATATATATCTATATTTTCTTTTCGTTTGATTATCAATCTCGTTATTTTATTCATAAATATATATTCTTGTTTGGATTTTATTTTTCTTTGAGACTCTCCGTGTTGGTGGTCTCGTTTTCAGAAAAGAAAACTAATGACAAAAAAGAACGAACAGAACCATATCCAACAGGGTGGCGGGAGTAATAGTACAACTCCCACATCGATAACTAATGTTACTAATACAAACACAACAAGTGGAGTTGTTATTGTTCAACAACAATCAATTACTGAACAACAACATTTTCTATTACCCACAGTGAATAATTCAGCTCCAATGATCATAACGACTCCATTAGGTAGGATATGATCCAAAGTGAAAATCAATCGTGATTTTTGTTTTACTTTTTTTTAGCTGTACCTTCTATGATTACTCAATTGCCAACCACGACTAATCCTCTACATCAATCGATAGCAACAGCAGCTACTACTACTACGTTTGTTCCACCTTCTTCGTCAGCTACTACAATAACAACGACTGTACCAAATACATCAATCCAAAATAAAACTACGAAATCACCTGGACAAGATCGACTTGTTTGTAGTCTATGTAATAAAGTTTATCGTTCATCAGCCGGTCTAAGATATCATAAAAGAAAACGACATCGTGGTAAGAAAATTCAAATTAACGAGAATCATATATTTGTTTATCTATCTAGATGAAGGTATGCTTAAACCTACTCAAATCCATCGAGTGCGATGTCTAGAAAATGGATGCGTATATCAAATGTTAGCCATATCTGATCTAAGAAATCATTTAGCTAATCATCACTTGAAGCCTGAATATAAAACAACTGAAGAGAAAAAATTTAATTCATTTGCAGGTAAGAAAAAAAAATGTTACCTAAAATGAGAGAAATTTTTAGTGAAAATATCATAGTATCCCGCAAAAAAGCGTTTGTCAGACTAATAAAAATCACCTGCACTTGTTTTGTTCCATTCTGTTATGATATTTGTTTTGATGGAAACAATTAACTAATTTGTTTTTGATTGAGTCATTCGCTGCAATATATCAAATGATCTACCTGGTTATTCTTTAAGCGTTATTTTTTTTTGTAGAGGATTTCCACAGAAGATAATGTGAGATATTAGATGCTCATTAGGAAAAGTACTTGAAAGTTAGTTTCCATTTTGAAATTCTAATTATGTAGGCATGAATAAATTTGCTTGATTCTAAACGGAAGATATCATTGAAGATCTCAATGTTCTTAATTTGTCAAAAGATTATCACAATTACTTCGAATATCTATTTTAAAGTTTCAATTGAACATCATTTCTTTTATTAGAATTTACTGAATGGAAAAGTTCATTTGAACAAAGTAGTGGTTCAAAATATGTGAAAAATTGTGGTTCAAAAGGCAAATCTGAGAATCAAACTACTGAATATTATTATTGCAATCGAACGGGACTTTGTAAGTATATCTTTTTTTTTAAATTCCAATTAAAGCACTATTAAAGAAATCTTTTATGTACGTTAGATAAGCAAACACGGCAAGGATGGCGCCGAAATTCAAAACCTATGGATTCACTGCGTTGTGGGATCCATTGTACATCATCAATGAAAGTTGACATCAGTCGGAATGATCAAATATCCGTACAGTATTATCCAGCACATTATGGCCACACAGCTGAACCACCACTGCAAGCCCCAGCAACCGCTGTTAATGGTAATAATACATCTCTATCCACGACCAATGGTGAACTAGTGGAACAACCATCTGTCCAACAGCAAACTATTCCACCTATTCAAACAGTTGTACAAGCAGCTGTACAACAAACACAAACAACAACCACTACTGATCATTGTGTTCGACTTCAGCATCAGCATCATGCGCAAACGTCGAGTATTATTATCAATATTGCGCCTGTAAGAATCTGATTTTTATTTCTTAATAGCTTATGAAGAGAGTTGAGAAGTTGGATTTTTAAGTATAACAAAAGTTGAACATAGGAAATGCTTTGTAGAGTTATTGTCTTGTTCTGAAAGTATCACTTATAGCAAAGTAAACTGTATTCATTTCAAGTGGCGAGACCGAAGTAATAGTCAGTAGGAAAACCCAGTAGTGGCTTCCGTTTTTCGTTCGAAATCGATTACATAGTACTAACATTATGAAATAAGAATATAATGATCTTTGAATATGCCAACTAGATAAAAGATCGACTTTGAAAAACTCGATATTATTGTTATTTTTATGATTGCACTTGTACGAATCACTTAAATTCTTGTTTTGTTTTTCCAGGTGAATACAACCATCATCAAATGCGTGTAATGAATACGTGTGTGTTTGTGTATTTTATAAATGCACAAAGAAAAGAATTCATTCCTTTCCTCTCTCTCTCGTGTTCATCTGTATTATTCTAGCAAAAACACCATCGTACAATTCAATGGCAACATTTCATTACATACATTTTTGTTCTTTTTTTAATTTTATATTTTCATCGATTTATAAAAAAAAAACAGAAACTTTTATCGATGAATAGTATTAAACAGTGACACAAAAACAAAAAAAAGAAGAATCATTGATATATATTGATGAAAATTAGATAGAGAGCGAAGGGGATAATAAAGATTTTTGCGCATGTTTGTTTTTTTTGTACAGTGGCTTCTCTTGTTTTCTGGTCCATATAGATGAACTTTCTGTCTGTCTGAATAAGGTGGTACACAAACACACACACACACACATGTCCACCAATGCACGTGTCTCCCCGTGCCTAGTTATGATGAAATCAGAGCTTCGTCATTTCTTTTTTCATTTTGTTTTCTTTTCTGTTTTTTTACTTGTTGATAAACTTTTTGGCCTGTAGCTCTCCGTCTCTTTTTGTGTATCTCATTATTCAACTTGTGACCTCGTGTTTCTTATTCTTCTACGAAAACAAGAAGCTAATCATGCAACACACTTGTTGTCAGCGTTTGGCTCCGTTTTGGTTTTGCCTGAGACTTTTTTCTTCTTTTTTGGTTCTTTCTTTTCGTAGAGATGCCTTCTGTTCTTTTGTTTTCTTTCTTCCAAAACATTTTGCTCGTTTGTTCGTTCTGTTCACTTGTTTTTTCGGTTCATTCAAACATTTTTCTTTTTATTTCGAATACAACCAAAAAAAGAAAGAAAAAAAAACTGGTAATGAATATTTATCAACACATTCTCTAAACAAGATTGTATTGATATAAATCAAACGCTAGATAGGTGAAAATATGAAAATGAACAGCATGTGTGTGAATGTTTTCTTTTATATTTCAGATTTTTCCCTTTTTGTTTCCTTTTTTGTTTCTTTTCTTTTACTTTCCTTTTCTTTCTGTCCGACGATATGACAAAGAAAGGTGCGTCAGCAGCCTCGTTGTCGTCGGACGCATTGGATAATGGTGTAGGCGTAGGCCGTTTTGTATGTTCGATGTGTGCGAAAGTCTACCGATCTGGTGCTGGATTACGTTATCATAAACGAAAAAGACATCGAGGTAAGTTAGTCTTATCTGAACTAGAAATTTTTCTCATTATCACGGCTTGAATTTATCTGGAATTTTATAAGCTAGATTCCTAGATAAAAGTAAAGTTGAGCTCATGGCTGAGAATAGTAAACAATACTCGATTTCAATTAGAATAACTTCATAGTTTAAAAAGAATAGGAGAATTGTTTTGAAGTACGTGAAAATTTTCTATGAATTTTTAATGAAAAATAAACATTTTAACGAACAAACGTAAATGATTTATTGTGTCTTATTTTTTTCTGTTGGCGAAGGCATGGTCGAACCAACGGCGCTCCATCGAGTCAAGTGCCAGGAGCCTGACTGTACATATCAGATGTTAGCTATCTCTGATCTTCGGTAAGAATTTCTTTTCATGGTAGAAAGATTGAGAAAGAAAAAAAAAATGCGAAAATTTTCATTTCTATAGAAATCATCTAGCGAATCATCATCAAAAACCAGAGTACAAATGTACCGAAGAAAAAAAATTCATAAGTGTTGCAGGTAAATTATGAAAATGATTCATAATGAAATAGTTTTATTGTATTCTAATAAAAAGATTTCACTGATTGGAAATCAACCTTTGAAAGTCGTACCGGATCAAAATATGTTAAAAATTGTGGTGCCAAAGGCAAATCAGATAATCAAACAACCGAATATTACTATTGTAATCGTACTGGACCGTGTGAGTAAAATACGATGCCTAGATGAATTATCGTTTTCTTGCTTTTGAAAAATTGCAACAATTCTAGATAAAACAGTTGGTCAAGGTTTACGTCGTAGCAAAGCTCAAGGTGCATTACGCTGTGGTATTCATTGTACATCGTCTATGAAAGTTGAAATACAAAATGATGAACACATTACTGTTCAATATTATCCAGCTCATTATGGACATTCACATTTGCCAGCTTCCGATGAACCATACATATCCGAAAATAGTATGACTATTGGTGGTATAAATGGAAGTTCATCGTCAACAACTATGATGAATGGTCATCATCAACAGCAACAGCAACAACAACAAGAAAATGGACATAATCTATTATCAAATTATCCATCACAGAGTGGTGATCGTTCTTCCTCATCATCACCTGGCTCGTCGTCGACCAGTCCATCAGGTGGTTCAAATTCAAATTCGAATCATCCAACGCCATCGTCATCGTCATCATTATTGATGTCTACAGAACGACAATCAATGACGACATCAAATTCATTGATAAAAAACGTTAACAATACGTATAATAATCATAATTCACTACAAAATCATATGTCACATTGTATTATAATATCACCATCGTTTATACTTGAAGAAAATGTTTCATCACATTCCAATCATCATTCAACGCCGGTGCTTGTTGTCCAACAACAACAACAACAACAACAACAACAACAACAAACGAATAATCATTTATCATCCACAACTGCTATTGTTACTCCGACAACAAATTTAGCAGTTAAAAAAGAAAAATGTGTATCAGATATAATGCGTGAAGCATTTCAACTTTTATCTTATTGGCCATTAGATCATCATCATGGTCTTGTTACTACAGAGAATGAACAACAGATTCATCATTCTCATATTAATATGGATGAACATCTTATGTTCTAATAAATGGTTTTCTTTTTTTTTCGCTTTGTTTTTCTATTTCGTTTTTCTCTCAAGTGTGATCAATTAACACGTCCTTTTTCTTGTTATTGGACACAAAGAAAAAAAACAGTGGTTGCCTCCGATCAACATTGAACAAAGTCTTCTTTTTGACACAAGCACACATAAACATATCTATACAATCATTTTTTTCCTTCTCTTTGTAAACCATTCCTTTCTTTCCTATTACTTGGTTTTTCTCTGATGTCACTATTCTTCTTTTCTTTGTTCTTTCTCTATACTTGTCATACAAACACACCGATAATTTCTTTGGTTATATACGGAGACCGAATGAGTTGATTTTGTTTTTGTTTTGTTTTGTTATCACTTTTATGCACTAAACGAAACGTTACTTTTTTTTTTGTTCTTGTTTTTTCTGCTGTACTGTTGTTAACAAAAAATTGCAACATGTATACAAACATGAATATGCATTAGAGAAACTTCGAAATGATGATAATAGTTTTTAAAGCGATGAATTGAATTTTTTTTTTATGCCAATGTATCTTAAGATAAGAATGGCATTAATAAAAGAAAATGATGAATAAGATGTTTTTTAAAATTTTGCTTTACCAATTTCTTAATCAATTTGAGACGCTTCTACTTAGAATACATATAAATGGTTTAAGAAAGCTCATGTAGTTCGAACTGTAAATCAACAAGTAGAGAGTTTTCTTGATGAACTGATACAAAAGTATTAAATTAAACCACACCCTAGATGCGAAGAATATAAACTTGATCCTCATTATAATTACACTTATCTATTATGAACAACATGCTAATACAACAATGCTTTATCTTTGCTGTTGTTATCTGTGATAGTTCATGTATAGAAAAACTTGCTACCACTGTTCAAGTATCTCATATCATTGTAAGTTAATGACTATTCTTATCATTGCGAGTTTATCATTGTGATAAAAAGCAAACAAAAATATTGAATAGAGTTACATAAATAACAATATGACAAAAGAATTTATTGAATTATATGATAAAATTGAAATATATGCTCCTAATTTTATCTAAAATTTACATGTCATTATCAATAGATATTATTTCACAAGGGTAAAAAAAGGAAATAATATTGATTGATATAGTGAAATATTAAATTCAATAAAAATCAAAAAAATGCAAATATGTTTTTTGATTTATAATACAATGATAAAAATTTTGTACAATATTACATGTAATAATAGTAATTTTCGAAATTTAGCGAAATTCTTAAATCGTATGAGCCATGCTGATAGGCAGAAAGAAATCGATAGAACATTAGTTTCTTTTTTATTTCTCTACGTTTGATGAATAAAGTAATAAATAATCTAAATATTTGTTTTTTATTTTTATTTATTTATTTATTTATTTCAACGTGTTAGTAATGATTGTCAAATATCAATTGACCAATCCATCATCAAATGGCAGTGTATATGTCCACATTACACTGTGTAGCGAATAAGGTTATGCACGATCGATATAAAAGATAATTAGACATCTGGAAACTATTCCAGTTTGTTAAACCTGAAGAATATCTTTTGTTTTTTCTTTTGTATTGATATGAATAATTAAAATCTTTGCGTCGCTCAAGGTCTCATAGGAAATGAATTTAGCTTAATTAAAATAGTTGATCTCATTTAGGTTAATATCGATTTTTTCATGCTACAAAATAGACAACAGCAATTATTAAATTAAGTCGACGTCGCGCTTAAATGCGTGAAATTTATAAAGACGCAGTTTACTATGGCAATAAAGCATAACTAGATGATAGATAGTAATTGTATGGTAATCGGAAGCATTCATAGTAATGAAAACAAAAGTTTCATTTAAGTCTTGTGTTCGTGTAGATTGTTAATACATGGAAATTGAGAACTTGCTATCAGTAAGCATCATATCTACGTCAATGTTTTGACTTCGATAGATTGCAAGATTTTTGTTGATACTTATTAAATAGAATTCGATATTGGCTCATTTTTTTCTGCCTTGTAGGAAATTCATTTCAAGGTCGTGTCTTAAATGTGGACCTTCCTCTTAATGTGACTATTTTGTTTAAAGCTATTATTGCTGTATATAAGTTAGAAAATTAATATTATTTTGGACTTTTATGTAAAATAAATATGATCGAATCTATATCAATACTGTGGAATGTCTACGAAATTCAACACGAATTTTAATTAATAATAGGAATGTTACGCTTGAAACAGCAAGCAATACTTTTCGCTAAATATTTGTCAAGGTTCAATAACGTATGTGATATTATCTTATAGTTGAGAAATTCTATAAATTCTACTTTTTAAACAATATTATTTATAAATATTAATTAGTTGTTTTTTAATTTAAAATTTTTGATACCTCAGTGAACATATCAGATTACATCTTACTTCAAGGTTTTAATATAAACTTTTTATGTAAATATATATATATACATATATAACAGGATCCCTTTTGCTATTATACTCTTTTTTAGCTGTCACTCAATGAAGATTACTTTTTTTTATCTATGTTGAATGACACATAATTTAACCTGACAAAATTGCTTTACTCTTTGTAATAGTTAATAATCATAAATCAAACATTAGTTCTCGTCGAGCTTTTTCTTTAATACATGTATATATTTATTTTGAATGCGTTTTTCGTTCAATAGAATACATAACATTCTAGAATTTGAGATGTGTACATCGAGCGACGGATATTACAATAAAGAAGCAAAAGATCGTTTACTATCATTTCCATAAAAAAATTATTCTAATCATTTTCACGAGAAGAAAACAAAAGTGAACGGCACTAAAGTGAAAACAGAAGAGACGATCATAACATCTCTTAATAGTAAAATTCAATTAAACGAACAGTTCGTAAGAAAATATATATCCTATTGAGGATTTTTATTACTTATGAGAATGTTATTAGATAGCTACATTTTGAATATTCCCGATCGAAGGATAGATTCTATCGATCTTTATGTTTTCATTAAATATATGCTTTTTTATTAGCAGTAACAGTTACATAGAACAAAAGCATAAATTCTAGCATGCATATGATCAAAAGAACGTAAGCCAAATCATTGTATATATATAATTGATTTATTATTTCTAGAATAAGATCTAAGAATAGAGTAAAATTATTATCGGATTGATTGGATGCAGTCATCTATTAATCATTTGTGTTTCGATATTCTTAAATATATTTATCGAGTTTATGCTAATGTTGATCGTCAAATGTTCTATAGCGTAGAAGAAGAAAGCAACGGTTTCGTTCTATGATGATTTACATTGCATGCCTAACATGCGACACCTGAAGAATCTCAAATGTTTTATTGAGAAACGTACGTGATGCTGACAGTTTAGAACATTACATACTCTATCTGTTCTATATACATATATTGATTCTAATTTTGTTGTCGTTGTTTCTACTCACATTTATTCTACTGCTATACATGCATTCAATGTACGAACGATCAAAATCGACGATGCGGATTATCGTATAGTTTATAAACAGCAATTACGGAACATGACATAGCTATTTTCCCTATTGATAATAATAAAATTAGACCAGGCAGTAATTGATGCATGTATTGTAAGTATCCTTAAGCCGAATGTTTGAATTAAATCTATTGTGTGTGCTAGTCACTCGACTTTTTTTTATCGTTGTCATTTACTATAACTACAAAACTTCATTATATAAGCAATGCTATTTTCTGTTGGTCCCACTGTTCTTTCGATTGGTTCATCTATTGTAGATCCGGGTCCTTATCGGGTATTGACTTTGAGCAAAATTATATTTTGTTTATTCTGCAGAAAATAAACAAAATATAATTATTAAAATCACTAAAAAAACTTCTTACGGATACTTTTGCACTAGAAAAGTACGTACTGAATCTTAACAAACTAAAAGAATTTTAAATCATCATCATCATCATCACGCTATATAAAGTCAAATGGTACACGAAAAGGCAATTAATATTCTTATTTTCTGTTATGCAAGAAGCCATTTAGCATTTTGGTGGAATTTTTTTGTCTTAACTTTTTAAGTGGTTTCGTCATGATTGAAATCAAATTGGTATGTCCATCCATAATTAGAGCGCTCTTTTAACGATATTTAAACGAAATAATAAACGATAAATAAATCAGCTCAAGTACTTATAGAAATTTAGTTACACAATGGTTTTTATTTATGTTGAATTGCAAGCAAAAAGTTTCGAAAAAACAATTTCGCTTGTTCTGTTAATCTGTATGAAATGAAAATTAACTTCATTGTTGGAAGAAATTGTACAATAAAAAGAAAAACAGTTTTGTTTTATTTTATTTAATGTTTCTTTGGTATAAACGAAAAATAAGCAACATGATTGTAAAATATTATTCCAGGTCAAAAAAAAGTAATCGTAAGCACTCGATATTTTAATTGACATCCGGTAGGTAAAAAACTAAATAGACAAACTGATGCCAACAATCATGAGAGTGCATTAAAAAATAAAACATACTGCTGCAGCTGTCGATGCCAATCAATCATCAATCGCCCTTCGAAATCAGAAGAAATCAACACGAGTAGTCAGCCATCACGCAAACAACAAAATTTTGGCTTTCTCGTTTTCGCCTTCGCTTATTTTTCTGCTTATTTTTTTAAAGTGTTATTACGGAACTCGATTGTAGGTTTGCGCAGCAACAACACATACAAACATTATAAACGTTCTTTGCCTTAAAAGTGCCATTCTGAAAAGAGGAAAAGAGAAATCATTATCATCGAATCGACGTTGTGTTTCTATATGCGGATACAATGCAACTACTAGACTCTAAAGTGCTAAACGCTATACGTCAATCACAATATAAACAACTTGCATTGTTTATTAGACATAATTATAATCTCAATGTTACAACGAAAGATGGTCGTAATGGTTTATTTTTTGCACTTGACATTATTGAACCACGGAAACGTCGTCGGATGATTCGGTTTTGTTTGGATCATAGTATTGATGCATTACAAAAAGAAAAAAAGAATAACTATACACCTTTACATGAAGCTATTGCACGGCAACAAATCGATTCTGTTCAACTTTTACTGGCTAATGTTGGCGGTGAAATCGATTGGCGATCATGGGATGCACACGGTCGTACAATACTGCATCAAGCTGTTGAAACCAACAATGTACCTATAGTCGAAGCTCTTATTATTGTTATGAATCATTATGGAGTTTCTGTTGATATTCCAGATAGGCACGGTTTAACACCGTATTTATTAGCTACAAAACTTCATTTACGTGATATGGCATTTATACTTGCAAATAAAGGACATGCAAGTCGACAACAACGTGACCCATCAACGTATCGAAGTGCTGACGAATGGGAAATAGCTGGTATTGAAGAACATCGACTATTTATACGTAATAAACTGCGTCAAGAAATCGATAATGCTAAGACTGAAGGAAAAATTACGAAAGTTAAAAAATTAAAACAAATTTATAATTCATCACTGTTATTATCATCCAATGAATCAATTCGTCGTGATTCTATTCTATCGATGACAACTGTATCTGGCGTAAATCCAAAATCATCAGTATCAATTAATGATATGATTGATCAATTTCCTGAGGGTGATATACCCGAGTCATTTGTTAATAGTGAACGAGACGAAGAAATATTTCATTTCGATTCTCTTCACTCACCAACACGAGCTGTACCATTTTCTCTTCCACCGATATCGACTGGACGGCAACATCGGCCAGCTGTAAAACTCAATACACTTATGGATTTATTTCAGGTAGTTCAATAATCGACAGGACTTGAAATATATTTTTTAAATTTCTTTATGATATTAAAACGAAAATTTTATTTGTTTTCTTTTATAAAAAAAAACACTCTCTGACGTTTTTATCCGTTCTATTTTTTATTTGCTTTTTAATTGAAAAGAGGAATAAAACACAAATACACGTAGATCGTTTTTTTTTAAAAATTTTTTCTGTTCTAAATTTTATTTGTCGCAGCTGGTTTCTGATCAATTCTCGCCATCCTATCGTTTATCGACTACAAACAATACGACAACACGATTCGATCAATATACACGAAGAAAAGCTTCAATGGTTCCACACCGAAACACATTAACTACAGTTAAAAATAATACAAATTTATCGTCTACAGCAAGACAGCGACGCTCTTAGAACGTTGTTGTCGCAACAAAACGAGTCGCTTGAGTTATGCATGTGAGAAAAAAAATAGTTAAGAAGAATCAGAAAAAGTAGATTAAACACATTAGCCAAAAAATTGATACCAGCCAAGATGAGTCTGTCGAGGTTGTTCAAGCACTTTTTGCCAAACAGTTTCATATCGTGTATGTTCACCAAGTAGTACTGAACCACAGGACATTATTGATTCCTCTTTTAAATTTGATATATGAATAATAAGTTCGAAATGTACATAGATCGATTGAATATCGTTTTGTGGAATATTTTGTGTAATAATATCATTTATTTCATATGCATTATTATTTGTTGTAAATGATTCATTAGAAATAAAAGATGGCAACTTCTTTTGAAAAAAACGACGACCATGATGAAAAAACGTCGCTATTAATCGAGCATCTATTGAAAATAAAAGGTTTACCTAATCGTATATCCTTGAAATCAGCGAGTAATTTTCATTTTATATTTATTCTATTACTTATGACGTTTTAGTTATCAAAAGAAAAAAAACAGAACAAAAAAAAACCCTTTCGTATGTGGTAGGTATCATTTTTTTTTTCTATCGATATGTTACTTATCCGTTTGGGTTAGAATGAAATTGCTATAGTTTTGTTAAGAATGAATATTTCAGTTTTTTTCTTATTTGTTTCGATGAATTATAATGTAAAAAATAATAAATCTCAATTAGATATTGTTAGTCTTTCGAATAGCTCTATGCATTTCGTAGTCATCAGATTAACCAAAGATTTTCACTTGAACTTTATACTTCGCTTTGCACACTCTCCGACTCAACTAATCTCTTTATCTGCGATAATCTAAATGAAAACATACCAATTATTTGATCTTTCTCTTTTTTACAAAGGTAACGTAATTTCTCAATTTTAATTGTAAATCTTCCAGCAGTTGGAAGATAACTTAGGCCAAGAAATATTTCACCAAATGCAATCTATTAGACAGAAAAGTAAACATATTTCTTTTCAAAATACCAAAAAGATCTTTTCTTTTCTTTTTTCATACTTCAGGTAAATTTTTAAATTCAATTATTTTCCTATAGTGAGGTATCATCGATGCGTCTAAACGAATTGTAGCTTCAAACATGACATCTTGAGTACCAGCTCGTTCAATACAAAACAGTGAAAAGCGAAGTGATACTGATTTCACACTATTACTATTCAATGCGAATTGTAAATATTCATCACATATCAATGTATCAGATGTTGTTCGTGATAATTTCCTAAAGAAGATTGAAAGTAAAAATCTACTATAAAGATCAATTAAGAATCTCAAACGAACTTGGTAGTTTTTTCCTGCTGATTTTTCCAGGTACTGAGCTGTAAACTTGATCGACGATTTCGTCTTGCATCTTGAAATTTTTTTAATATTTTATTATTTAACAATTGTACATGAATAAAAAATTCTGCTTGTTCGTCGAATGCAGGATGAAGTGAAAAATGTTTACCGTTTGTTAAATTAATTTCTAGCAAATTTTTTTTTATGTCAAAATTCAGTTCAACATTGACTTGAGCATATGAAGGTGCTGGAAATGTATCAGTTATTGTTACAACTGAGCTATCAGTCGAAATTGATGAATTGAGTGATAGAGAACGACTAACATTTCTATTCATTGATGATGGATAATTAATACCCTAAATAGAATTATATTAGATAAATATTTAGGCAAACGATGTTGATTATCGCTGTAACTATTTGCATGCGTATTACAACAATACAAAAAAAAAGATTTTCTTCAATAGCAAAATAAATAATTATGAAAACTTTCAAAACATATTTACTGCTTACATTACTCAATTTACCACCATCAATATCTGATATTGTTCCATAAGAAGATTCTCTTCCCAAATATAAATATGGATACTGTGATAATATATTAAAATTAGACTTGTCATCTGTCTGAATACTAGATTCATTACTTGGCACTGATGGAAGCACAAGTGTATCGTTTCTTGATACTGAAGAAATACAAATGATTTTATGAATTATTCCACATTCTATCTTATTATTTACCTATTTTCTTTTTTGAATTCGGTCGTCGTCGTAAAGGAGATAGCGAGCAAATAAAACAGAGCAATGTACAACCAACGAGTGAGACAACTGTAGTAGCAATTAGTACAATTATGATTCGTTCATGTGATGTAAATGATCGTTGCCACGGAAGTACGTTACTCAATTGATCAAAATAATCTTTCTGGTCGAAATTGTTATTACTATTAGTATCATCCATATTATGCCGGCATTTTCGTTGTTGATTCTTGATACTTAATCATCGAAATGAAAGTGAGACAGCTGCCATATAACCGAATACAAAAAAAATATTTTCGGGCAAAAGCAGAAAGAACAACCTTTTCACTTTCGTCAGTGATATACAGCCCGTTTCTCCTTTTCTTTATTTCGCGAATGAATATTAAGACCAATCACAGAATATATTTCGTGCCTCAAATGTATATTGATTTCACTATGATTAATAGAAGCCTCCGGTCTATCTTGATCCATAAATAGAAGTGCATAGAATAATATTTTTCTATTTCTCAAATAAAATTTACTTCCAAGGATAAACAATTTTCGTTGAGCTAATGTTTGGCATTGATTCATTATTGAATAAACATTTTCATTACTTTTCAAAATACAAATAAAATATCAACGAGGCGAATAAAATAGGCATATACACATAGTATTTGTCTTTATATACATAGGTGAAGCTTATTATAATAAATGATTAAAAAAAGTAAACACAATCAAACAATCCAACTATGAAGATATTGTTGTTATTTTTGCAATGTCACCAAGTATCGTGTACATGTATGCATATGTATATTTGTTCTCTTTTAAGATTCTCGTAATTTTGCTAAACGTTGACTTAATTCGTCCTGCAAAAGAAATATATGATTGTATGCACGGTTAAATAGAAGGAAAATAAAAATCTTACTTGTTCTTTAAGAGCAACAGAAGTGCCAATAGCTGGTGCAGTTGGCATATTAAGATTAAGTTCAATGCCTGCTTCATCGGCCATTTCTTGCATAAGATGAGCAACTTGATCGACTGGTTGTTGTACAGTAGTAGCATTCTGCATAGCATCGTCCATAACTTTTGTTTTGACTTCAAGATCTTCAAAATTTTTCTCTAAACTATCCATTAATTTTGATGTTTCAGTTAATGGCATATTTGCAGTCACTTTAGACATCAATGATACGGTTTGTTTAAGATTTGCTGCCATCTAAAGAAAAGATTACAAACACGTATATATTATTCTATAGAGAAATTGTTTATTTATTACTTGTCGTTGTGCTGCTGAATTTGCTACACGTGCTTGAACACCATCAACACGAGCAGCCATTCGTTTACAATTCAATGATTCGCTATGATGTCGAATAGCATTTTCAGCATGAATTTTAGCTGCTTCAAGATTGCCTTTCATTAAGGCCTTTTTAACTTTGTCACGCTCGACTTTTTCCTGTTTATCATGTGTAGCCGATTGCCGTTCAAGCATTTTTGTTTGCATTTTAAATTGAAATGCCAGTTTATCTAATAAAGAAAAAGAAAATGATTACGATACTTTTTAATAATGACTAATTTAATGAAAATTGTGAATAATTTCCATTTCAAAAATTTAAAATAGATCACATACCCGACATGATTTTGTATTCTATTAATTGTTTGCTAATGAGAAAAGCAAGATTGAAAATAAAAATAAATAAGTTTATCTAAAATTAACAAAATAATTAATTTACTATGAAAAAATAATTTTATTATTTGGCAATCGTATTACTAAACGATAGAAAAAAAAGACTAGAGAGAACAGTTAATACAATAATAACCGACACAAAATAATAGATCATTCAATTGGACTATATTCTCCTGTATTTCCATGCGGAGTTTTCATAGTATCATAAAAATGTGCATAATAATAATACTACCTTAGGTCTATTCAATATCAACTAGAATAATCAATTGTTGTAAATTTTTTTGCATTTTCTGTAGAATTCTAGCTAAAAAATTATTACGACAATGCTTCGGTAATATTTCTTTCAAAATAAAGGTAGTATATAGAATACAAAATATTTCGAATGCAATATCAACATGTTTGTGGTGATACTGAACTGACGAAAGATAAACAAATTTAGTGTTTTTCTAAGATAAATATTTTCTTACATATTGATCACATCCCATGAGAATGAATATTCAATGCTTTCTATTCACCAACAAAGTCTATAAAATACACTTCGTTTTACTAAACTAGTCGAAGAAAAGAACTTTTCCCTTAAAACTAATAAACGATTTCTATATTGCTGTTCTCATCGGTACACCTATAGCTAGCAACACACTTAGTCAAAATAAAAATGACCGATACCGTGTCAGAGTCACTTGTTATTATGAGTCATAATTTTGAGAAGTACGGTAACGAACGAATATGAATCATTTAGATAAGGTTGTTTCTCTTGCCTTAATTAATTATACAATACAATAGAAAAAAGTCAAATCCAAAAAAAGCACACCATTATCAAACAAAGACATTTCAATGATTCATCATTCTTATAGATGTCATTAGTTGGAGGTCGCAATTAAGCTTTATTGTTATAGATGGACATGTATAGGAAGGTATTCTTACAAGAACTGCATATGGGTATTTTTTCATTCATTTCTTTCACTATATAATTTATTAATGTCAATTTAATATAATATTCGATACAACAAAGTCTGTGCAGTGTCTAGATTTTAAGATTGTATATACTATGAATCGCATAACATCTCCCACAATAAATCAAGAAGTCAAATCAAATGATATACCTGGTGACTTAAATTGGTTCAATTCTGAGAAGTGATTGATCAGAAAATTTAGAATTGATCGGAATCTAAACGTAAAATCCTTCAGTCTACTGGGATGTGTACCCAGGTCGAACATTACGGTGACCTGATACGATCGTAAACGGCCGTATACGGCAACGTATCAGAAACCCTTTTTTTTTTTTACAGTGTATACAGTATTGTATTGTGTTCCGAGTACACTGAAAAATAAAACAACTTATGGCATTAAACTTATGTACCCCGCATAATATTTTGGATGCAAGCAACTTTGAAATGTGGTCAATGGCATTAATATAAATATTCTGCTCATTGCTCACTATATTGCAGTCATTTTTATAGCACCTAGCTGAAAAAGAACATTTGAACGTATATATTTTTGATTGCCATGCCTTCCAGAACAGAAAACTATAATGAATGACAGAGCAACTATTATTGTACACATCAGAAAATTGGCAGCGCATTTTAACTAACGAAGTCAAGTACAGAGTACTGCTTTTTATGAATCGGTCAGTACGTCTATTAAAAAAATGGAAATCAATCGTTCATCTGAATGTCTATTCAGTACATGTATTAAACTTTTAGGACACAGCAAATGACGATGGAAGTATTATCTTATCAGACATTTGTGTTATCAATCACATATAAATCACCACATTCTATTATTGGCTTATATAGCAAAACGATATGTTGTAAGACTAAAATATTAGACAAAGGAATCAGTTCGAATTATAAATATTTTATTTTCAAGAATAGTGGGAAAAACATTTTAGGTAAGTAAAATTTTTGACTTTGCGCTCCTATATTTCATTTTTTAAGAATCGAACCGGAGCTTTCCTGTCATACAAGCAGAGAAGTATTTCAATGAAAGCGATGTGATCATAAAACATTTCGAAAGACAAATTAGGAAACTAGATTGTTTTCAAATTAGACACCCAGGTCGAACAGTCCGGCCTGGAAACGGCCGGTTCCGGGTAGTTCCGTTGATTTTGTGGAAGCAGTATTCCGATTGGAAATTTTTCGGACTTTTTCCGGTGATTTCCGATCAATTCCTGCCGGAAAGCACCGGAACTTGACAGGAATTCGCCGGAAAAGTTCGGCCGTATTTTTGACCGGAATACTGCTTCCATGTTCCAGCGATTTCCCGTGTTTTCCTGCAGGATATGGTGACTTTCCCGCATATTCCCTGGAGTATCCTACGGGATCCGGTGGCCAGAATGTTCGACCTGGGCAAAAGAGCTTCTGTAGTTTCGTTGATTCTTATTGGTAATAATACAACAATAATAATCGGAAAGAGAAAACAAATCAGAAATACTGTATTTTAGTGTATAAAGACGCGGATATGGATATCTAATTCTTTTCGCCAAAGGATTTTGTTCATATCTGAATAATTGTCACAACAAGATCATAGTACAATATTATAATATCTTACATCAAACACATGTTATTTTTATGATTCCTTTATTTGAGTGAATTTATCATTCATGCAAGACTGAAGAAAAAATCATATAATTCAGCATAAAAACTAATAAGAAAGTTAAATTAACAGAATCGAAAACAGTATAGTATCGTAATTCGAAAACCGGAATTGAAAAATGTTCACTCCCCGACGTTGAGTAAATATGTTAATTGGATTGGAATCAACAAAACGTCAAAAAATGAGGTCCTTATTCTTGTACATACCAATTGCACTTCTTCAATCTTTTTTTGGTTGAACATCAAACTCTTCATGAAGTGAATCGAAATTTCTATGTGTAATACTGTTGCTTTCGGATTGGAAATTTTATTTCCTTCATGATATTGTAGTTTAGCATTACAATTTATTATGTTAGAATGCTATATACTATGATGTTACTTATCATAGTTATGATGCAAATAATCACTACCACCCCGGTCGAAGAAAACGATCAGTAAACGGTTGTATACGATACAAATACGGCCGTATGCTCTATAGAATACAATAATATTATGCCGGCTTTACGGCTGATATACGGTGTCCGTGTATGGCCGTAATACTGCCCCTGTTAAAACGCCTTAATACGGCTTAAAACGGCTGTTTTACGACGAAATATGATGCAAAAACGACCGTTCACAGTAATGTTACGCCGGTTTACGGTGGTCCGTTTTGATCGACCTGAGCAGAACCATATGTGTATACCCCATGTTAAACTCACACCATCTGTTTCATTAGGAACATTCTTGTAATAAGTGTCTCTTTTTGTGCTTAATTTTTATTTTAACGTTAATTTTCTGCCAAATACAATAAAAATGGGTTGTTATCAATGGGACGACTGAAAACTTCCATATATATAGTACTCTCATTCTGCATAGATAAATGAAGTAGTAGTAGGAAAAGAGTTTCATACAATTTAGTTCAGTTACCCAGGTCGAACAGACACAGTCGTAAACGACCGTATATGGTCGTATTTCTCCGTTTACGATCGTATATGGACTCCGTAAACCTCGACCTTGGTAACTCCATAACTAGAGAGAGAGAGAGCAATATATGTTGATAATATAACTGAATAATATTTTTGAGATCCATAAGTTACTTTATCTTAGGAATGCATTAACCCCTAACTTACGGCATACCATTCATCGGCATATTCTTTCATAAAAATTTCATTTTCATGATCTTAGATATGGAGTTTCAGAATTTGCAATCAATTTTCAAAGAAGGTTTCTTCGACAGTAATACATTTGATAAGTTCATTTCAGTCCGAAAGACAACTATAACTACTCACATTCCTATTGTTTATCTATAGTGAGAAATAGCAGAATGCTTGATTGATTCTGAGCTTCAGTATTCGTTTTTCACATCATAATGGAACTCGAAATAAATCCTTTTTTACTGGACTGTGTTTTATTGTTTAAAAGCAAAAATGACATTTCATATATTAAATACTTCTCGAATGAGTCACTTAATGCTTACCAACGTAATTACAGAGAAGAAAAGCAAAAGATTTAGATTGCAAGTGAGAAAAAATGAAAAGCACTGGAAGGATTCGAACCTTCTTCACGTTCTTATGAGGAATGAGAATAGTTTGTCGGCGGACCACTCGTGGTCGTAAATTGGCAAACATATTATACGTGTTTTACCATTAAACTACAGTGCTGCACAATTTCATGAGAATTATTTTATTTCTATTGTAAAACTACCTCGTTAGTTTCAGAAAGAAGAGTAGTGCCTATTCCACTCTCTCCCAATGGCTCCCAGGGAAATTTTTTGGGGAGAATTGATGGAATATCTAAATTAAAAAAAGACTCTTTAATTGTTTTAAATTTAAAACAAAATTAAGAAGAATTTATTAGTAATTAAATATTTCATCCATTTTCCCCAGAGAACTCCTAGGGGAGTCTCGCAAAACAAAGAAACCCCTAGGAACTCCCTATGGATTCTTCTAGGGAGAGTTAACTATGGAGCATCGGTAAGAGGACTATCTACGAAAAACTAGTTCATCAGCAGCGATTAGAATTTTTTGCATCATCTTACTATTATGATGTACACGTCAATTCTAATAGTTCATTCGTTTACTCTGCAATTGAATCATTGTTTTCTTATTCCATTAGTCAGGGTGTTCTCTTTACCCCCTAATATGCTGTCGATTCATAGCTACATTCACAGCTTTCTTATCATATTTTTATTTTCTCTTTTGTTTTGATCAATTTTCTAAAACTAAGCTGCCATTTAAATACTATCACTAGGAAAACACTATCGAAAGATTTTTTTAGTGCAGTATCTTAACATTTTAAATTGCTCAATGAACACATATATCTATCAGACTTTGATAAACAAAAAGTCTTCAATATAGATTAGCTAGATGTGTTGTTACCTCTTTTTTCAACAAGTGAAGATTACACCAATTGTCAATATCAATATCTTTTTCTCTAAATAGTTAACAGAAAAATATGTAATTATAGTTACTTTTCCGATTTTACATAGATATTAGTAAAACTCATGTTGATAACATTCTAAAAACTGAATACATAACTTCGCATCGTAAGATGAAATGTGCTTGTACTCTACATATATGTCTAGCAATACTCAAGAAAGACTATATTTAAATTATTTTTCATGCAAACGAAATCACGTTCACAATCCTTGATGCATCCTTCAGCAATACTTCCTGTAAGTCATGCTGAAAACGGTTTGGCATCTTTGATGTCTCCTAACTATACACATACTTGAAAACAGATTACTAGAAATGTAACCAACTTAAAAGAAAGAAAAATCAGTAACCGAAATATAAGATAGATGGCGTCAATTTAATATTTTGGCTTGCTTAATTGGAAATCATAATGAACCAGTCAAAATCCATTGATATCGCTACGCTGCTGTGTTCATAGTTTCACAGTCTTTGTGTTCTTATAAGTGAATCAAAATGTCAGCAGCCGCTCGTGCATCAAAAAAATGGGTTTTGTTAGGTACTAGCTTAGCGGTTGGTGCTTCTGGTTATTTGCTCTGTTATGGACCTGGCAGAAAACTTTCATTTGAAACTATAAAACCAGCTAGTGCATTACCAGCACCAGATGCACTCGATCCTAATGCGTTTCGTTCATTTAAATTAGCGGATAGTAAACAATACAATCATAATACAAATATATTTAAATTTGCTTTTGATGATGCAAGAGCAAAATATAATGGAAAAACTGCTTCATGTGTCGTTTTTAAAGCAGATATTGACGGAAAAGAAATTATTCGACCATATACACCTACATCACGCCCCAATACAATTGGTGAATTAGAATTTGTTATTAAGAAATATCCAAAAGGCCTGATGAGTAAACATATTCATGAGATGAAAATGGGTGACAGCATTCAAATTAAAGGACCCAGTAACAGATTCAACTTCAATAATTCTTTCATCAATAACATTGTTTATTTTTAGTTCCAAAATATCCATATGAGGCAAATAAATTTCAAAACCTTGTTCTTATTGCTGGTGGAACTGGTATTACTCCAATGGTAAAGTCTACTCTTTGCCGTTTTGTTTGGTTTGTTTTCAAAGTGATTGAATGTTTTAATTAATTTTTTAAGATTCAAATGATCGAAGAAGTTATTTTAAATCCAAATGATAAAACAAAAATAACACTTCTATTCGCTAATATATCTATCGATGACATTTTATTAAAAGAAGAACTTGATAAATTTACTGAAAAATATCCAGATCGATTGAAAGTTCATTATGCAGTTGATAAAGTAGCTAAAGCTCAAGCAAAAACATGGCAAGGCGAAGTTGGGTGAGGGAATGTTGAATATCATTATTTCAATAATATTTGTCTAATATTTAGATATATTTCGGGTAAAATGTTGAAAAAATTATTGCCACTACCGGCTAGTAAAGATGATGAAAGTCTTTTGGCTATGGTTTGTGGTCCACCTGGATTTATGAAATTAATTAGTGGAGAGAAAACAAAAGATTATAAACAGGTAACTATGTTTGACTGTTAAAAAAATCATATCTATTCCTGTGCAGAAAAATTCATCAAAGTATTTTACTTCGATTTTTCATTCAACGATATTGAGAGTCATCGAACGCTATGCTTTTTATATATGATGCTTAAATAATTTCCTCTCGTAGAAAAATACAAAATTTGAAGCAATACAGCAATATATATCTATCTTTCTATTTTAGGGTGACTTGACTGGTCTTCTCAAAGATCTTGGCTTTACAGAGAAGAATGTCTTCAAATTCTAGTTGACTCTTTGTATTTCATTTGATATCATGACGCTCGAAAATTTAACTATGCGTACATGTTTTCGATGGAATAATTTAATCAAGCGTATCTATAGTTTTCATTTGTATAAATTTGTTTTCCCCCTTAACAACAAATAAAGAGAGAGCACAAAAGGCAACAGCTGTAGATGAATACAAACTCCTTTTAAAATAAAGATCATTTTTTATTACTATGGGTGACTATTACTACTACTAGTGGATATCATTTTAAATAACAACAAGAAAATAGCTCATGTCGAATAGTAACACGTATCGATTACGTTCTTTTCGAAAACCAATTAAACCGGTTATTGATATTGATGAAGTTGAAGATGACAAACGACGAGATCCATTTGGTCGAAAACGTGTTGAAGTTATCAAATGTTTATTAGATTCATCTTCGGATGAAAATGATGATGAAGATATTCGTAAGCAAAATTCGAATAAAATTCTTTGGTTAACATTTGCTGAAATATGTCATATTCGTTCTGTTCTGGCTGAAACCACTCATAGCACTCGTATGTTCAATACAGAGAAACAATATTCGAAAATCTTTCAGAAAGAGTTATGTTTTCGATGTCAAAAGCCAATAAATGCCTTATTTTTTATTTCATCGTTTTTCTATGCAAATAATTCTTCTATTTGTTATATATGCCAGCAGAAAATTTGTAAAAATTGTTCAATATTAAATTTTTTACCTCCTTCACCAAAGCATTGTTTTCCTGTTCGAGTACAAACTTTAATAAAATCATCGTCAACACCAATTGAAAATCATAGCAGTGACACGAATGCATCGAATGCAAAAAAACAAACAATCTGTTATGATTGTTCAAAAGTAAAACATTTTCAAGCATTATTTATATACTTCTATTGAACTTTAGATATTTGAACAATACAGAAAACCTTCTCAATATTCTGTCAAACCGTCAGTTGATGATCGATCTCGATCTTTCATGTCATTAAGTTTCCCTTTCAATATATCACGATACAGACATGATAGTCATGCATCTACTTCTGTTGTCAACGCTAATGCTGAAGAAACGATTGCAAGCAATAATATATTGGTGACTCGGTTTTAATGCATTTTTATTTTACACAATAAAGACAAACTCTATATAATAGAACAACAACAATGCGACAAAAAACAAGAAATTTTCTATAAATGAACTTTGTTGAATCATTTTTGACTTGTGTATTTTCTAAGAGGAAATAAAAACGTGAGAAATTATTATTTCAAATAATAGGGAAACAATCTACTTACGTTACAGCTTTTGTGCCTTCTGAAACAGCATGTTTAGCAAGTTCACCAGGTAATAAAAGTCGAACAGCTGTTTGAATTTCACGTGATGATATTGTTTGACGTTTATTGTAGTGAGCCAATCGAGAAGCTTCCGCTGCAATACGTTCTGTGAAAAAAAATTCATTTGAATTTTCTTTACGATCAAAATCAATCTCTTTCGACTTACCAAAAATATCATTAACAAAACTATTCATAATTGACATTGCTTTGCTTGAAACGCCTGTATCAGGGTGAACCTAATCAAATCGATAGTTTGCAAATTTATTCATTTGTTTCTAAACCCTATTTACCTGTTTCAAAACTTTGTAGATATAAATTGAATATGTTTCTTTACCTGTAATAAAAATTTTAATTGTAAATTTTTTTACTTTGCAATAGCGAATAACTTACGTTTGCGTCGGTTGGCTTTTTTAACACCACTAGGAGCTGATTTACTAGCACCTACACTTGCTTTCGATTGCTTGCTAATGATCTTCTTTGAACCTTTGCTTGGTGTTTTAACTGTTGTTGGAGGAGCCATTTCTCTTGTTAGTTAACTTGAAGTGAATGTGAATGCAAATGTCAGCGAACAATCTCGTTTATATAGACACATCAGCGGTAATGCCATTGGTTGCAGAACGCAAAAGAAAAAGGACGTCGATAGGGTTATTATATGGGTAAAAGTAAATTTCATTGATTGTTCGTCAGTTGATGCAAGAACAAGAATATGATTGGATGAAAACGACGAATCATATTACGAAAAAGTTGTACATTAGTGGGACACTATATATAGAGGAGAAATATGAAACTTCCAAGTTAATCTTCATTTTACATACATACAACAAAGTCGAAAATGTCTGGCCGTGGTAAAGTAACAGGAAGTGGAAAAGCTCGTGCTAAAGCGAAAACACGTTCATCGAAAGCTGGTCTTCAATTTCCAGTGGTATGTATACATTTTATTTAGTTGAAAATTCCTATGAAATTCTCATTTTCAATATTCTTTCTCGTAACGACATGAGAATGACAGCTGATTATCTTGTTTTAAGAAATATTCTCAATTTGGTTTTCCATGTAGGGCCGTATTCATCGTTTACTTCGTCGTGGAAACTATGCTGAACGTGTTGGTGCAGGTGCTCCAGTATATTTAGCTGCAGTAAGTAAAATGATAACATTTGCAATAGATAAGATAAAATAAAAATATTTCTCGCAATAGGTTCTCGAATATCTTTCAGCTGAAATTTTGGAATTGGCTGGTAATGCAGCACGAGATAATAAAAAATCTCGTATTATTCCACGACATCTTCAACTAGCCATACGAAATGATGAAGAGCTTAATAAATTATTATCAGGAGTAACTATTGCTCAAGGTGGTGTTTTACCCAACATTCAACAGGTATAAAATCATTGAAGAAACGATTTAAATGTGAATTTTAATGAAATTTTTTTCCTTTCAGATACTATTACCGAAGAAAACCGAAGGTGGTAGTTTACCAACATCACAAGGTGAAGCAAGTTCATCATCGAAAAAGACATCGAAGTCATCGAGTGAAAAGAAAGCAACAAGTGCCGATAATACGAAAAATTGATCGGTGATGGAATTGCTTTGACTCGAAGCAGATTTTTTCTTGTTCTACGTTCACATTTGTTTTGACTATTATGTCATATGTGTTCATTTTCTTGTATATAAAATAAAAGATATATTTAAACATGAGAAATTTTGGTGATTTAATTTAATGGTTAATAAAAATAAGTTTAGAGATAGATGTAGTATAGTACTCAGCATCAACTTAAAAATCATTCTAGTCTTTTAGAAATAGAATAAGTTGAAAAGCGAATCAAACGATCCAATGAGAAATTAATGATATTTATTCGATGTTAAATAAATATATTTCATGAATGATAAAGAATTCATCAAGATATGTTAAATCTCATTATATTTCTCAATTGTTTATCAATATTTTGTGTTTGGAACTGTCAGTATTCGAATCCTACGGTATATTTTCATTAAGTACTACATCTCATGGTTGATTTTCTCATCATTCAAAAATTTCATTTTATCGCTCTGCTAGATTTTTATTTCAATTGTTCAATTGAGATTGAGATATAGCCATTTACGTTGTTTAGCGATTAGAGTAGCACTGCGATAAGCGAAATGTCTATGGACAGATCGTAGAGCAAGAATTGAAAGCTAGCCAAGCTAATATCAAATCATTTCCAGTATAGAATTCGTTCTCTACAAAGTATTAAAAGCGCAAGTAGTTACTAGTGATTGATATAGCTGTAGGATCACCTTAAGATATTTTCATCGTTAATCATTAATCATAAATATATATTTTTTTTAGAAAGTGAAGGATTTTGTATAGAACTAAATAAATTAATCCTTGAAGATGTTTTCAAAGATAAATCGATTTGGTTCTGAGTAGAACAGGTGCATTACAAATATTTACTGGATCAGTCCGAAACCTAATTTGTTTCTGTGTACTATTAGTTTATTTTATTAGTAAATATTTAGTACAAGTAAAAGAAAATAAGAAAGCGAATAATAATAATAATAAGAAGAAGAAGTAGAAAAATGTGTTCCTGTGCTTGTTCGACATGTTTCTAAATCTCGATCGCATCCATCAACAGCGCACATACATACTGTTTCACTTTCTAGACATCGTGTAAAATAAATACTTTTCGATGTCGACGTAAATGATTTGCATAACATCGTTTTATATTTTATTAGATAAGCCGAGTAGACTGATGGTGGTAAAGTCTGTCGTGTGATGTGATTTGTTCGATCAACAATAACTGCACATAGTACGCCATTATCAAATATGAAATTTTTACATTCTTCATCGTTCGATGCACAGAGCGCTACTAAATTAGAATATGTTGGTTGAGTATAATCTTCATACGGCCGATAGCACCTCACACGATCTTTTAGTTGAACAATAGTATTACTAAAGCTTGGCGGTTTTGGATCCCAATAAGGATTACCATGTTGAATACATTCTGAATAATTAAAATTACATGCATTTGAAGCACACATGCAAGCACGATAGGAACCGCGTAATTTTGAAAATGATGAAGCAGTACAGAAATCATCGTAACCATTTAGTGCATTTCGTGGAAAATTTTGACATTCACGAACAAGATTTTCATGATAGGCTTCTATTTGATCAACACGTAAGCATTGGTAAGTTATGCCTAACTGTCCAGAACCAGTCAACGAAAGTGGTGTTCTAATTTCATAATTACGTGAAATAATAAGACAAGCTTCACAATTGAATAGTAATGCTGTTGATGACCCATTGAGACAAGTAATATTTCGAGTCGAAACACGATCTTCCGTTGAGATAAGAAGACCTGATGATGTTCCTAGACACATTGAGATGAAGAAGAGAAACATTGTATTGAAGAACAAATGACAATATAATCAGTAAAACAACTAGTTTATTAAATAAGTATTGCCTCTCAGTACCTATAGAAAGCGAAGAAGAAAGCAAAATAATTCATCAGTCAATATGTACTCAGATCATTTCGCCTGCATAATTGAAATTTTGTTGACTTCTTTTAATCGTTGCCCAAACCATATAACTTGAATGAGAGAAATTTCTATAACAGTAATATGACCGGTCCATATGTTTGTTCATGACCGGTTCTATTTCTCATTGGAAACTCAAATAATTAAAATTTCTGTTTTTAAGATTTTAATCTTTCAATATTTTGACAGTATGGGTGACCACTCACTGAACAATGCTGTAGTTGCGTAAACTAGTTTAGCATTGCTGTAATTTATTCCTATGGATAAGGACGAAAATTTTTTCATATGTAAACTAAATGCTGAAAGACAAGTAATGAGACTCATAATAATGATTCTCAGTGTCTTATGCATGTATGTATGCATGCATGTAGAAGTGATCTTGGTTAACGCGAAGGAACGATTTACACTCATTCACTTTCAAAGGCGGAGATTTGTAAAACGATTAAAAACACAAAAAAGAACTTATGATGATACCATGAAATCTTTCTTGTAGGAAGTGTGGATGCTCTCATCACACTCTTACATAGTCTAGTCACTGGAAGCGATGGATGAAACAGAATCATAAGCTAGATATTTCTATTATGTCGATATCATAATGCCTAGATATTTTCACAAAATAAAACAACAGCAACCGAGTTATTTATTATTTTTCACTTGTCCGTACATTCGAGTACATCAGATGCCTAACGCAAACCAATTTAGTGGCAAATCGTGCTTTATGGACCCTAGCGATGAGCCTGTAGATCACCTTTTAGCACTTCTCAGAGACTATCAAGAGTATACGAATTTGGCAATCGTCGATCTGCACTAGCAATACAGCAAATACATATATTCTTTGTTAGATCGGTCGAAACACTTCTGAATGTCTACACATTTGAAAAGTTCAGTCTTCGATGGGCGTTGAGATGGTGTAATAGATTTTTTTCAAGAAAATCTTGTAGAAAAAAGCATAAAGTGTAGAAAAATTTGATACTTTTATGGGGAAAAACTGAAAATTAATGGTTATTGGGAGGATTTGCACTCCCACTTTTTGTGACTTCTTGTATTCGATGCATCACTATGCATAGCTGTATCAATATGGATGGTTTAATAGGTTGTTGTGTTTTTGAAATTATTAGATTTCTGTAATGATCAATTTTTATTTATTATTTTTATCCAATAAAGTTAAAACTTAATTATGAATATGTACATCTGTTTCGTCATAGCGCTGTCGAAACATTGTTCAAGGAGGAATTGCCTTGGATTTTGTTTGGATACATGTCGGTCTTTTTTACATGCGCACATGCGACAGAAAAAAGTGACTTTTTTTTCTTTTTTCTTCTCTTCGCACGAACGATCAAAACTTCAGCCAACATCTTGCCAAACTAAGAAACAGAAAGAGTAGTTATGGCTGAAAAGAAAAAGAAGAAGGGAGGTGGTAAAAAGAAGAAGACTGGCGAAAATGTCTATGAAGCTTTACTAGAATACAAGTTTGTCTTATTCATTAGTAAAATATTTTTTCAATTATAATTTATTTATTTTTTTTACTTTACCAAGAGTTTCCATAGTTGACAAAGAACTTGAAGATTGGCGATTTCGCGTATTTAAACTTGAAGAAGAAAATGAAACTTTGAAGGGACGAGATGCACATCTACGTGAAGAATGTGAAACAACCATGAAAACTCTTGTCAGTGAAGCTTTACAATTTGATAAAGAAAACATTAATTATCCTAAAGTTGGTAAAGAAGATGTAAGTTTCATGACTAGTTTTACGACTCGATGGATAATATCGTTTTCATTATCTTCAGGTAAACGCAGCTCTACATGACAAAATGGATGCAGCTGCACATGAAGAAGCTGAATTAAGAGGTAAAAAAAATGCGATACTCCATCATCTGCCCATTTATCTGCTTCTTTTTTTCTTAACTAGAAATTCATGATCAAATGTTTAATGTTGAAGTTGAAATATTCAAAGCACGATGTAAAATCAAGCAATGGACAAAATATCGTGATGTAACATGTATTGAAGAAGAACGTGCGATTCAATCTCTTGAACGTGAAGTCGCTTATATGATAGATAATTATGTTGTTCTCTCAAGTATTTATTTAGTGTTACCTTCATTTATATGCAAATATCATTAAAAAAACCGTATCAATTTTTTTTATTCATTAAGAATATTTGGAAAAAAATACGAAAGAAGAACGATTAGCGTTGACACAGATGGCTCAGGATAAAATCGAACAAAAAACTCGAGCAGCTACTGAACGTGTTGCTATGGGTCTTGATCGATTTACGAAAAAAATGCTCAGCGAAAATCAATATATGACTCGAGAAGTATGTATACTTCAATATTTGTTATAAATTATAATCAAGTGAGGTTTCTTTGTTGAAACAAAAAAGCTCAGTCTACGAGAACAAGAATTAATTGATCTTGAAGAACATGTTCGTACATTGGAACAAACCAATCTTGCTATCAATGAAAGATTGAATACTGCTAATATAACTGATGCAACCAATTTTACGTATGATAAACATATTTGAAAACAAAAACACAATTCTCAATAAGATTTGTTCTCCATTGAAATAGAAATACATTCATGACGGAAATTTATAATAATGATATGGCAACAAATGTTGGAAATAATTCTCTACTAGCCGTCGATTTAGGTCAATTGACGATACGCAGTGATATCAGTGACAAAACATTCGAACAATTGCTCAGTCAGTTCATCAAATTTCAGTTTATTATAGGTGATTTTCATTGATAAAACCTTCTAGATGAATTAGACCTAAATACGTCACGATTACCGGCAATCGAAGATGAAGATGTAAGTAAATTATTACGCATAATCTCTACTAATTTGCTTTTCCGTACGGTTGCGACTTCACGCGATCGACATTTTTTTTCGTACCCGAGCCGGAACCAATACTAATTGACATCCGATAGATATTTTCATGGACATTCGCATAGTTGTCAAACTTCGATTCAATATGGAAAATGATACTATTCCTTAGTTCTTGTCATCAAGGCAAACCAGAAAAAAAAGAATGAGAAAGATTATCCCGAAATTCTACTTTCTATTATATAAAATCCGATTAATTTCGGTACAAATATACATGTGCTTGTTATTAACGAGGTTGGCCTAGAATGCAATGTTAATCATCAATGTCATAATTAAGAAATTTTCCTCTTCATATAGTTCATCATTATCGGTAGACAAATTTTAATTGCAAAAAAAAAGCTTTTAGTAAAATGATAAAACTTGTTATTTCTATGACCTGTTCTTAAATTAAAAAGAAATTGCTTAATTTCACATACAGTATCTAAATTCATGCATTCAATCGTGTTGATTGCCCGACCTTATATGAAGAACACTACTATTGAGTATTATTATTAAATATCTAAACATGTTTTTTAATAGTTCTCTGTATAGAGTAGTATAATTTTCGTTGATTTTGTTTTTCTTCTTTCAGACTATTGTTTCGCCAATGGCTAGTCTACACATTGAAGGTACTCATATGCATGTTCAATTACCTCCAGTTCTTAATGAAGAAGAAGAAAAATGCCTTGATTTCAAAGGGCCTACATGGATTGGTACTGCTCGATTGAAACAAGCCCTTCGTAAAGCATAAATAAAATTGACAAATATGTTTCTATTTTTTGTATTAAAAGAAAAGAAAAAAAATCTTGTATACACTCAAAGAAAAAAAACATAAAAGAGGGGAGAAAAAAAATGTTATAAAACAGATGAAGCTATGGGTGGTGTTGTATGTCTAGAATTTGTACCATACGATGTTGCAAATGAACTACTATTTGTTAATGCACATAATTGATAGAAATCTGGATTGTGCGATGGCACAACTAAATCAGGTGTAGGTGATAATAATGGGTGTCCGCTATTTGGCGATAAAAATATAGTTGCTCGATCAAGATCATCATCTTGTAGTAACCATGGATATTCATAGATCTGCTGAAGCAATGTTTGACGTTCGAGAGCTAATTGTTGATCATATTCTTCACCATCGGACTCAAATAAATTATTTTCTTCGTCGTCATTATCATCAAGAGCCATTCGTATCTGAAAATAAAATCCGAGAAGAGTTTTATTTGAGAAAATGTAGATTTTGTCTTGTTTGTTTTTTAATTTTTACTGCTGGCTTACCATTCGTTCAATGTGAGATAGTTTTGATTGAGGTTGATTTGATGCTATTAATGATTGTTGTCGTCTTTCATCAGCAAATCGTCGTTGTTCAGAACAATCGTGTGACCAAACGTGTAATTCAGTTTCTGAACCATATGTATTCATTAGATTAAGTTCAATTGAATGTTCATTGATTGTATTTGAATGATACACATGAAATTGTATTTCGTTTTCATCAATGCAACATACTTTTTGTCTTAAATCTGAATCTGATAAAACTCGACGAAGAAAAATTAAACGATTTAATAGACCAGGAAACATCAGACGTTTTTCTGGATGTTTTTTTGTTCCAGTGGAATTTTTTATTGGCATATGAAGTGACGATATATGTTCATCAGAATGATCATCTTGACCAATAAAATTGTCTTCAATATATTCAGATATATGAAATAATTGATTTAGATCTGAACATGTTGAATCTGTTGAATCAGCAAGATCATCGGCTATAATTGGTAATGATTCTTTTGTGATCAATTTTTCAAATGTTTCCGAACGAGAAAATGTTGTTGACGATGCTGAAGATGATGATGATGTTATCGTTTGATCTTTTGGTTGAGGACTATCAGTACCATCAAGACTATCAAGTGAAATATCTTTTTCAAGTAGTGTTTGTGTTGTTGACGATATTAATGCTGTTGATGCAAGAGGAATGATTATACCATTTGAACAACGATTTCGAACAAATGGACAAATAATTGATGAAGCATCAGATAATTCTCGAGTAAATTGTTCGAGTTTATCCATATCAACTAGAGTAAAGAAAATAATTCAATGACAAAATTTTTACAATTTAAACGATATGAGTATTGGAGTTTTTCAAAGATAATCTAACAACTGTACCTTCTTTCACCGGTTTTCTTGAAACACATTTAGTTGAAGTATCAAGCCAACTTTTAACAAGTCCACTATTTCGTCGTCGTTCGTCAGATCCATTTTTCTTGACATTATTTGATTTTATATCATCTTTGACATCCGATGATGACCATGTAGAATATCCTTCATCTTGTACAGTAGTTAATAATTTATTAACATGATGATTTTCTTCAATACTTGATTCGCTTGATGTTGAATTCATTTGTTCGATTGAAGAAACCGATTTTTCTTCGATTGGTTTATTAACTAGTTTTTTCGATGATGAAACTGTTTCTATCGTCGTCTTTTTTACAACTGGTGGTATTGTTCGTGTATGTTTATTCAATGGCAATTGAATAGAAGTATTTGTATTATTCTTATGATTATTATTGCCTGTTGTGATAGAACGAGAACGAGATTTAGATGATGAATTTTGTACAGCTGTCGGTTTTGATGTCGTTGCTGGATGAATTGTCTTTTTTGTCGTAGCATTGTTAACTGATGTAACAGCTCGCATTGATGTTAGAGTTGAATCTTTCTTTGTCGTTGTTGTAACAGGTGTTGAAATATTCGATTTTTTTACTGATGTGACTTGTTTAGTTAATGAAGTCGCTGTTCGAACAGGTAATTTAGAAGCTTTTTTTACAGATAAGGAACGACTGTTATTGTTATTATTATTATTATTATTATTCGCAGTGGTAGTAGTAGTAGTAGTAGTAGTAGTAGTAGTATTGGATGTTGGCGTTTTTGTATTTGAAGAATTGTTCGAATTTGTATTACGATTATTTGAACAACGAGAAGGTAGTCGTGAAGGACGAACAGCAGTTGATGTTGCAGCTGACATTGCTCGTGTTGTAGGGCAACGTTGCACATTTGAATTTTGATTGCATTCACTTGTTGTCATTGTTTTTATATCGGATTTTGTCGAAGATACTTCTTCTTGTGGTAGTTTCGCTACTACAAATGTTTCTGAACGTTGAAGAACTGCTTCTTCTTGTTCTACTTCTTTTTGTTCCGATTCGAATTCTAACAAAAATCAAGATAAAATAATTGCAATGCTATTTTTCGTTCAAAAATCTTACTGTTCGATCCGTTTGAGATTGGAAGAATAGGAGATTGTATTTTTATATTTTTATTGTAGATTGACTATAAAAATAAATTATATGTATATTCACATTCTTTTTTGATATTTCTTTTTAAAAAGATTGCGCACAATTCTTCCTGTTTCCGTTCGAGATGAATTTGACCCCGAGCTATAAAGAGTATCTATTAAAACAGTATTTATTCTTAATGATAAGATTACATCATAGATGATGTCAAAAAGAAAAACGGACGGATGTCATTTATGTTAATAAAACAAGTATTGAATGATTTTTTTTTCTAAAAAAATTTGTTTGAAATCATATCCATGATTAACTTACTAAATCAAGTGTCCAACTACCCGATGTTGAAAATGAACAATGAGTAGTTTCTGATGAACACGATGATGATGATGATGATGATGATGATAATGTTGATCGATTTCGATATAAATGTCGAATAAATTCAGCAGTCGTTTCAGGTGATGTAGATAGTAATTGATAATTAGTGATGATTTCACATGATTTATTTAAATTTTCCCAAGATAAACTTCTCAAGCGTTTTGCACGATGCCTAATCTAAAAGGAAAATCACAAAAAAAAGAAAAAACTTCAAATTTTTCTCTTTCGTTTTGACAATTACTTGATCTGAATGTTTATCTTCTATTGCATTAGTTGTTAATGTTGATAGTCGTTCGATAACATGATATATTGATGAACATTCTTTACGAATATTCTAAATAAATAAAATAAAAGTTCTTTGTAATCAATCAATAAGATCACCTAATAATAATAGTAGCTCTTTTTTTTCCCCATTTTTCAACTTTTATGTACGTAGATATTTTTATGTATATATATATATATATACATATATGTGCATAATTTTTTTTTGGTGAGATGAAGAAAGAGTTGCGTCATTAATGTATATGCTCGTTCGTCCCTCCTCACTTTAATATAATATTAGATGCGTATGTCACTCCCGTATGTGTGCTTTGAGCTGTAGCTACTACACTGAGTCCATCATCATCATCATCATCATCAAGAACGAAGGTCAGTAGAAGAGGTGAATTGACGATAAAAAAAGAGTATAACGAGAAAAAGTAAAACCCTATAGAGGCAAAGTAACACTAAATTTGACCATCAGCTGTAATGTGCCAGGCCTGATTATTTATTCAGAGAAAATGCAATGACCTGTCTATATACAGACGGTAATCTGAGACGTATGTTGACCCTTTAACATTGTGTAGTTTATGGGAAGGAAATCGACTGACAAGAAAAGATAGATAGCCAGACAGACAGATATTTCAAGTGGAATGATCATTGAACCGTCGCGTACAAGAACATCTGGAAGTACGCTGTCTTCAATTGTCTTTCAAGTTGTGCTAATGAAATTTGGCATCACCTGAATTTTTCTCTTTTCAATTCAATTAATTCTATCATCACTTATACATCTATGTTAACTGTCAATACGAGACTACCTTCAATCGATTTCAGAGATGCATGGAAGCGTTAAGAAAGTTTACTTACAATAAAAGTTGTTGATGGTGTCGTCGGTCGACTGATCATTGTCATATATATATATATGTGAGAGATGAGAGATGAAAACGCTCAAATGAAGAAGGAGCAATGTCCGGTGATTTCTTCTTTTACTCTGTCACATCTGCTTTCACTGTTCATCCATTCTCCTAACAGCAATAGTAACTGCTATCCATGATTGCTGACCTCACACACTACTAACCATCAACAACATAAAGAAGAAAGAACAGAGAAGAAAATGAAAGGAATATAATTGTTTCAGGACATATACTGTTATAGTCTACTTTTACGGGCACTGTCAAGATAGAAAATGACCAAAAGGCGGATTATGAAATCAAAGTTTTTTTTTTGCTGTAATTAGCCGCAGATTTTCTCTTCTACTTTCTGCAAACAAAGAACGCTTTGATACGACTGATATTGACCTTTTCGAAGGATAAATAAAAAGGAAGAAGAAGAATTACGCAAAGCTCATCCATTATCATTCTTCATTTGTTTATTTTCTGTCTTACCTCTTGCAACATTGCTGTTCTTAAAACCATTGTTGTCAATTGATCTAGAAATCGTTCATATTCTTGACGTTGACATTGATTTTCAGTAAATAATCGTCCATTTTCATGTTCTAGTTGACGTATGTGGTCTTCAAGGAAGCGTGTTTGTTGAGTGTCTACATTTGTGGTACACTGTTATTAATTGATCAATAGAAGAAGAAGAAGAAGAAATAAAAGTGATATGAGACAGTCTGCATATATATAAAAATATTTATTATATCGTATTTACCAAAGCCTCAAGGTGATCGATACGTTTGTGTAATTCGACATTTTCATGCTTGAGAACTGACACACGTTCGTCAAACTCACGAATCTTCGTCTAGTAAATATTAACAAACATAGATGAATGGATAAAAAATAAAATAAAAATAGTTAAAGTTCAAATTTACTTCATGTAACGAAGGATCATGAAGTTTGTTCTTCCATTTGAGTAAAATACTCATATTCGTAGATTGTTATACATGGGTCATGACTAAAATGAAATGTTCTATTCTAGGACATATAAATTGGCACAGATGTTTGTGTAGAAAATAGAGAAAAGAGAAAAAGAAAAAAAAATGAGAGGACAAGTATACGTGAAATTCTCTCTCTCTCTCTCGTTCTTTCTCACTTATGCTTGAATGTCAATCGGCTCGACTATATATGTGTGTGTATGTACAAGTGCATATAAGTTCAATGAACAAAAGAGAGAACGAAAGATTTCGATTACAGCTAGTAATATGTATTCAGCTCGAACCGTACAACTGAATATAATTGCGTGCACACGTTGAAGGTACCGCATGTATGCAGTCTAGACTATGATGATATACACTCATCATTGGAGTATGATCAGGAACAACAGTAAAAACACGACTAATAATATTTCAAACCTGTTGAGACTGACTAACTCTAATCATATATTCTCTTCAAAGTTAAAGAAGCGTACGACAATGACAATAGTTTGCTCTTCTGGACGATTTATGCCATTGTGTAGATTTTAGTTACTGTGATTGCAACTACTTTATATACGTTTTACTTTCTTTTCATGAATTACTTTTGCCTACCTTGTCGTCTTGCAATCGGAATGACGCAATAAAGTTAAAATAAACCAGGAAAAAAACAGAAAGAGCAGAATGTCAACTAAAAAGAAGTAGGACCGATTATATTAAATGAGATGACTTGAGGCTATCTGTCAGAGGCAGCTCAAAGAAAAAAAAGGCTTTGCATGTCACTAGATGACAATGGAAGCACCAACACAACTGACCGCAAACATACAAACACACACACACACTCAGCAAAATAGCGATTTTCTTTGTTCTAATCCTCTTTTTTCTTTCGTGTCCACATTGTTGACATATCATCGATAGATGAACAGCATATAAAGACAATAGAAGAGAAAGATGATGATGATGAAGATGAAGAAGAAAGTTGGTCCGGCTTTATATATCTCTCCATTATGTAATTGATGTTTGCTATATACAATATCCCACGTTTATCGCGCAATTCATCATACCGACGAGAGAAAAAAAGAGTTTATTTCATAGATAAACAAAAACGGATTTAGATACAATGTTGCAGTCTTCTAGCAAGCGATTAATACTCCCATATTACTCACCTACACCCTCATTTGTACAATAGTTACGGTGGCAATTTCTTTTCTATTCTTCTTTTTTTTATATCGAGATAATGATGGAGACGACTAAATTGTGTGCGTGTTTGTCTGTCGGTTCTAATAGTAAAGAATGCAGTTCCTGATCGCGCTCTATCTTCCTATCTATCTGCCCATCTATCTATCTATCTCCCTCTTGTATACCGTTTAAAGAGAAGAGACAAATGTCTATATGTCGTTTGGTTAACAAACATTATCATTCCTGTGCGCTTGCTCTCTCGCTCGCATTTCCCTATCACATTCGCCTTTCTTCCGATATAACAAGGACTGAGAAATAAAAACGTGTGCGCAATAGTATACTATCCAGCAGTGCATGCTTTTTTGTCAAAAACATAGCTGCAATTAGTACGTTTTTGTCGCATACATTGTCCTGTCGCCTTTCAAGCAACCAAATCAATAGACAATCGACATATTATTCTTTTTAGTTGATAATAAAAATGATAATCTCACTCGATGATGATGATGCCGAGAATGATTGAGACTTACCGTCTTCTCGCTAAGATGTGCTCTTATATAAAGCTTAATGTGCTCGTTCAACTTTTCTCGCACACTCTGTCTGTTATTAAAATGAGTATCAATTACTATGGTGCAATTTTTTTTCTCGCGATTGTGTAATGTGTAAGTCATCCAAAAACGGGAAGAATAAAATTGCGATTCCTCTGGAAAATAACGGTACGATATTCTTCGTCTTCTGATTGGAAAAGAAAGTTACTCACTTACTAATTGATTGAAGGTTATGCACAGCGACAACGATACTGGAAAGAGAAAAGAAGAAGAACAAAGTTAGCCTTTACCATCTATCAGTCCATTTATCTTTATCTATCTTTCGCTGCGCGAGTTCCCATAACTTGACCTCGCTCTAGTAGAAACACATTGGCAAGGTCATTCGAACAGTAACCGTTGCCCATAGCCATATGTCAAACAAGCTCGATAGCACAGAACTGCCAACTAACATTGTGTGTTCTACTAATCATTCTGTTGAACTGAGCAGTATGGAAAAAGAATGAGAACAGAATCTATAGAGTGGACACGCAGGGGTGCACTCAATGCTTCGCTACAAAAGAGAATGAAACTGGATGGAAAAAAGAGGAGGAAAAGGGAAAAAAGAAACTGACACTTATGCCGATGAACAGATTAGATTGGGGAATTACGCGATTAATGTTTATTGTTTTGATGAGATAAATATGTCTCGATAGAAGAAGTATCGTTGTATGCAATATCTTGTTGAAAAATAATAAAATAGAAACAAGGAAAGGAAAATGTGTTTATTCAATAAACAAAATGATGTTTTACTATATAATGAACGCAAGATGTATAATACGATAAAGAACTTTGTCACATATTCTTTCATTTTAATTATAGGCATTTGCCTTGGTTGTAAATATTTTTCTACGTATGCATGATCGAATCATGAAATAAAAATTAAAAATTACACGTATTCTACTATTCATCGTGTCATTCATATCTATGACAATGACAGTGTGTAAATAGAATGATAGTGAACACAATGAAAAGCGAAAGGGAATATATGCATGTGAAGGACGAACAAAGGTCAATTAAATATATAGCTATATGAATAGATGTGAGTTTATGTTCAAGAACTGTATGATTATAATATGTAGGAGTGCATTTGATTGGAGAGAGAAAAAGATTAGTTGAGCTAATCAGGTGCCAATCAATATATGTGCGGGTGGATAGAGTATACTTGAATTTGTTGAACTAATAATGCATCGTTTGTTACTCGTTAGTAAAGCTTCAATAGCAGTATTCAAGGAACAATTCCTTGTATTCTTTCATCACATAGTTATACACAAAGGATCTTTTATTGAGAAAGAATTATTTGTAGGTTAGTGCCTGTTTTGGTAATTTATTGACGATGGATTATTTGCATTCATGTATGGAACAAAGACAGTTGTTGATACTAGAAAGAAAGAAAGATACTGATAATCTATATTTTGCTATGTTAAGATTTCATTGTTAACAGAAAGTATATTGACATTCAAGATAACAGAAACAATCGATTTCCTCATTGGTAAATCATATGAAATAAGCATATGACGAATTTTGATTTCAACTAACAATTAAATTGATAAGCATTTTATTAATATTATATACGCAGTGTTTTTTTTTATCTGTCAAGTATTAGATTTGTACTTTATATGAAACATTTCTCTCGTCAATAAAGTTGGCTTTCAATATAATTATGACAAATAGTTTAATTGTATCGAGTGCATGCTTAAAAGTGTTTGGTAAACAAAGAACATGTGTCCATGTCAATAGTTCGATTAGATGAATAAAATGACTGATGCAAAAATATTACAAAAAAAGAAGAAGAAGAAACGGAAACCGGGTTAGCGGTTAGAAGAGAATGTCTGATCCTAAAGTGCGCATCAATATTAGATCGTCGTTTTTAAATGTCGTCTTAAGTTCTCATTACTAGTACAGAACAGTACGATTTACTCGTCAAATGTCAATGTGCATATGAGATTTATTTTATATGACATTTTTTCTTTGGTGATACATGATTAGAAATCATGGTAAGTCTTTCAGTCTGGTTTAACTACTTATTAAGTCCAAATGTTCTTTGTAACGTCATTTGACAGTTGAATTCAAAAACGTTTACACATTATCGAATTAGTTATTTGTAGTACGGCTGTAAATATGCATTTCGTTGATGATGAAATTCAAGATTGTAGAATGTAGAAAAATCGAACTAATTACAAACTTAAATTATTTATTTTAGTTACGAACGGAAGTAGTGTCTGAGAGGCAGATTCCTGTGGTTGTCGCATGATGATAAAAAAAGGAACAAACTGAAAATTAAATATATTAGATTCAAGTAGTACTTGAGCATTACTTTTTATTAATTATCGAGAATGTAGACACCAGCTTGGCAATTAATAGATTCTTTTCAAAAGGCAATGATGAGGAAAAAAATCCGTTTGCAACATGATTACTCTATGTGTGAAAGAATGTTATGCAAGAAAAATGAAGGACAAAGAACTATTTCTTTTTTCTTTTATGTTAATACGATGAAATGTTCACAGGAATTATGTGCTAAAAGACAATTTAATAGTCGATTAGGTGATTTTTTCTTCAGATTATCGAACTTAACATATTGATATTTCATTTTTCGAGTAACAAGAAATTGAATAGGTTGAATACTCAATTATGTAAGATGAACTGTAAAGGTTTTTTCGTAATTCATTCGACCTGTATTGATAACAAGATTAGTCGAATCACTATAAAAATGAAGACCAATCTGAACATGAAAAGACTATTGAAGGAAGTCGGTTGGTTTCCTTCTTTGTCATAACAAATGAATCGTGTTCACGTAAGTCAATCACCGGCATGACAACAATCAATATACAGAAACTGATAAACTATGGTTACATGTCAGATTGAATCTAGTGTTTTATCTACGTTCAAGTGCACAATATATTTTTTATAGCTAATATTGTTCTGTATTTGATCGAAACTAATCTCGATATCAGTGCCAATAGTTGCAAAGATAGTTGAATTAATATTACATTGTCAGAAGTTTTGTTCTGGTCATTACGTATTTGATTGTATCTAAATAAATTAAGCAAGATACATTTTTGGAACAGTGCTACAAAGAATGAAAGTAGAATAAATATATCAGATAGTTAATCTAGACTAAATGGCGGCAAGCGTCGCATTACTTGTGTCTGGTTTACACAAAGTTAAGAAAAAACACCAGAAACGATAGCAATGATTACTTCAAGAATAAACATCACGCATCGAGGTACCCAATCGCAAAGATGCTGCTATCGAAATGTTGATGTTTCGCAGTAAAAGGTCTATTAAAAACAACAGCTTAATAAGAGGGCATGGCCACGGCGTCCTATGTCGATGAAATTTCTCTTGTAGAGTCATCCATTATCTAAATAAAATAAACAATGTTTGATGCTTTTTTTCAAGATTTTGCTTTCGTTTAAACTGTTGAATTAAAGCTCACTTGTTCAATAGTGACTAATAGGGCAGCCATAAAATGATCGAATAAAGAAGACCACGAATTCTGAAACCTTGAGGATTTCACACGCAATAAGTAGCTCAGGAAATTCCAGCCAATTGAGGAAATACCGTGTGTTGCGACTGAAGAAGACAAATAACAACTTTCTTGGACAGGTTCAAATTTGCAATTCTTCGCTAAACCCGGCACTCACAGCCATCGCGATACATCGGCTTACACGCCTCAACTCAACTGTGCTTCATATCAATGAGTAAAGACATGTAAAAAAACGTGGCATCAATATGTATAGACACTCTCACTGTCACGCAATCATTCCACCAAGCAACACCAAGTCAAACTCTCATTCACACCCTCAAGATATTGCTCTGTTTGAAATTTTTTATTTTATTTATTAAATTCGAATAATTTATTATAATTTGAAAAATACAAGAAAACAAATCATTCGAGATTAAATAATAGTTTTTAAGCCATGGTTTTAATGAAAAATGCCTTCAATTGATTTACGCAATGCTGAAAATCCATGTGATGCTTTTTGTTCAGCTTGCTTACTTTTAGCAGCAGCACCTTGAGCAAACTCACGACTTTTCCCAGTCACAGCGTCAGTTGCATGCTTCATGGCATCTGTAGCTAAAATAAAATTAGGTCAAAAACAAAAATGAACTGCATGATATCAAGACTCAAAGTACTTCAGCGATTAGAAGAGAAACGATTCAATTTTTTTGTGTTCATTCTATTAGCTAATTATAAGAAAGTTGAAATTTTACCCGCCTTTTCAACCAAATTTCATTAGCTTATTTCAACTAATTTTTGCATGACTACAAATGATAGTTCTCCTGCTAGAATTAAGAAACTTGCGATTACAAACCTATGCATGTGTCGTAATTTCCCCCGTTAAATGAATTCTATTTACCTTTTCCAGCATTATTCTTGACATTTTGAGCACCTTCATGGAGTTTATCCTTGGCTGCATTGGCTTTATTGGCAACAACATCTTTGGCTTGATTTGCTCTGTCTTTGATGTCTTCACCAACTAAAAAGTCATTATCCTAAATTTCTAACCGGAATTCAAATTGAAATCAACTAGCTCACGTTTATCAGCAGTTTCCTTTGCTCCTTTCACCACGTTTTTTCCAGTATTATTAATTTCATTCATGTCTATTATCAATCTACATAATTTTAACAAGAAAATCAATAATAGCTGTACCTGATTGTATAGTTTTGCTGCATTCCTTTTTAGTTCCTTTGATCGAATCAATCGCTATAGTCAAAGAAAGAGAAAATTTATACGTATTCATTTGTATATTGATATTCGTACTGCATTCCACTCCATTTTGACTTTGTTGCATTTGTTGTTTTACGTTATGGTCGCATTGTTTTATTTTCTTGTCGCATTGTTTTATTTTCTTGTCACATTGTTTTATAGCTTGTTTAACTAGAATATAGAAAGCATACATAAACTTAGCCACTTTTCGTTTACATACTTTGACTTGTTCCTGATGCTGCTATCTTAAAGTTACATGATATAAGATAAAAGTAATATCTATGCTTTAAGTTAACTTACTTCGTTAATATCATGATGAATATGATTTTCCTTGAAAGAAGAAAATTGAATTTAATAAAGAATAGAGACAACAAAGATTGATTTTACTAAATCAGTAGTATGTTGTTGTTTTGGTGGTGTATTGTGTTGTCGTTTTGGTGGCATACTATTGTTTTTCTAGTATCGTATGAAAATTCGAACAAACACAAAAAATAAAGACTCGCTAAGAAATGAAATCTCAATGTTGTTAAGTAATTGCTAGCGCTCGTTCTTGATATTAGCGCCTTCGATCTTTCTTTTGTTTATCTTCTATTATTCAAAGTAGAAATGTTCAATAGTTCATTTATTGGTTATCAAATAGTACTAGAGACATAATGTAAAATATTGTTTTTTACGCATAGACGAAATTATTTATACATAGAATAAACTATTTTCTTTCACTACGATGTATTAGAAAGCCAGTTAAATATTTGAATGAACAGCTATTAAACAATAGGTTTGCAAATAAATATAAGAATCAGTAACAATAATTATTTCCCAGTAAATAAAATAAAACGATGGGTTTGTAAGTTCAAATGTATTTTAATATGATTCATTTTTTACCTTTTTGCTTTTCGCTGTTCTACTATGTACTACCGATACTAACTACGCAATAGAAGTACGCTCTTTTTTTGTATCATCTTCCTCATCATTAGTTAGGTGTAAACAAGTAACATAGAAGGGAAAGATACAGTAGGACACCTATTTATTAGACGAATTTACGTATGAAAATATCGAGTTAAATCAAAATAAAACGGCCCAAAGCGAAGAGATGAATATTGGATTAAAACAGCTACATTGGATGATATTAAGGAAGCAGAAGCATCGAATGAAAATAAACAGAAAGTGCAATAAAAATTTTCTTCATACATCTGAATTTAGATTGAAAAAGTATTCACACTAGCATTTAAACTCAAACACTTATATATTTCTACTATGCATAATAATCATTCGTAATAGAAGAAACTTGTTGGTATAAACGACTGTTTAGTTGTAACTGCCGGTAGTGGCGTTTTTAGAAATATATATTTTTTAGTTCGTTTCGGTTTAAATTTTGAAAAGCTTGCAACAACATACGTATATCCACTGCGAATCAACACCATCATCAAAACATAATTCCTAAACTCATTTTTTTGGTATCATCATCTTATTATTATTGTTTTTCTTCGAATTTCTATGAAATTTTCTTTCTCTAATTCGATTGTAAAACTCCTGTTTCCTACTGATCATTTAATTTATTTTACTCATCAGACATTTTGCTCCTATTTCCTTGCTCTAAGAATGTAAAAAGAGGAAATCTAGATTTCTGCACAGCAATGAAACTAAAATAGTATTCAGCTGGAAGCCATGGAAACTTGTTTAATCGAAGAATTATTTTAGTTTTGTTTTGCTCTTAATAATTATGCCAGGTCTTGGGTAAGTCGTGAATATTTTACTGGTTTTTCTTCTTTATTGCTCTTTGTTTAGATGCGATACTCGCATAGAAAAATCATCAATAGATATTACGGATCGAGTATACGACCTACGAAATCGTGTTGCATGGCTTAGTGAATAATTATCTTGAATTTTATTTATAAACAATTGATAATCATTTTTATTTAAAGAAAACGTCGAATTTTGTCTATTTGGCGATCAAACAGATCGATTGGCTGATATAAAAACTGAACGTTATGATGCAGAACTATTCAATAATGATTTGAGAAAAAAATTAATTAATCGTACGAATAAGGTTTTTATTTTATTCTATTAAAATTTTATTTTTAATATTTATCCTAAGACAATCGTCAGTCAATCAGGAAAAAATCTCACAAATGTTGTAAGATACACAATGTTTATATAATGTCATCTAACTATAAAATAGTAGGAAGCTATTGAATACCTCAACGATAAACGAAACCAGGCGATGAACCAACATAATGAACTTTTATTTATTCAACGTCGTTTACTCGATCGTCTCGAATCTCTACGTTCTCAATCATGTTCGGTTCCAAATATTAATAATCAATCAGTCGCATTATCTATTAAACAGATGCGAGTAAATTTAGAAATAACTAAACGGAAAAAATTCACTAGAAATTTTCGAATAATAGTAGAGCAATCAATTTTGTTTTTAGGACACTCATATTGTTACTCGTCGTATTCGAGAAAAGCAAGATCGATTAAAAAACGTGAAATTAATCAATAAAACCTTGAATCTTTGTAAACAACATTTACAATGTGTAATTTTCTTTCATTCGAAGAAAAGATCTGTTTAAATCGTCCGATATTAGGATTTAGATTTACTTCGCAAGGAGTTACCAAATGTACATAAAGATACTGGACATAAATTTCATCAAAGAATGCTTCTCAAGAAAGAATTTACGGATATTGTTGCTGAAAATAAACGACGATTAGTACGATTGATTTCATATGTGTATCAGTCTTACATCTATTGTTTTCTACATTAGAGAGTTTATCAACAGTTATTGGATGAGACTGAAGTTCAGGTGAGTTTTGAAACAAAATTCATTCAATACAAATCATTGTAGTTTACAGGGTCGACAACGGCGCGCCATACATGAACAGGCAATGGCTTCTGTCAGTGAACAATTGGAAGATCAATATCAAGTACAAATGATGGGTACAAGAAGGAATAGCAACATTCGATACTTTAGCATTACTATCACTGAATTCTATTCGATTTAGCTGTGAATGAGATGACAAATTCATTTGAATCACGAAAATTTAATGGTGATAATGGTCCAATAAAAAATTTACAACAAAACAAAGTAACCATGATGAATAATGAGGAAATTATTCAAGTGCGTTGTATGTATGATCAATATTATAATATCATTATGGCTGGATATCCAATTGACATTGCTGTAAGATGTAAAATTCTGATGAAATAAATTTTTATATTTGTTTTTGTGGATAGAATTCAGAACAATTAAAAATCATGAACAATAATGGATCTGCTAAAATTATTGCTAGTAGGAATTTATTGATAATGATCCAATTAGCAGTAATTTGAATTCGAATTTTAGTGTTAACCATGACCAATCGAATGATGGAAGAAAAAGAACAACTTAATCAACAAATAAATCGAATGGATAAACTATTAAAATTAATAGAAATGTCTACGAATCTTAAAAATGATACGTAAGTCAATTGTAACGATATACCAACAATGTTTTTTTTCATTTTCAATAGTCGTAATAAAATTTTACATACGATGCTTGAACAACGTCAAAACTTAGAATCAATATATATGAATGATACTGTTGAAGAACAAAATCGTATTCTACGTCAAATGAATGATTTTATTTTAGTACTATCCAAAGCTCTTTGTGAACATATTGATGTACAGGTAAGCAGCTTACGTTTTTAACAGAAAGAATAAATATAACATTTCAAATTTTATTTTAGTTCCTTATCGAACCATCGATTGATTTTATTACACGTCTTCAATATGTATTCGATGTAATTTCAAAAAATGTGAAACCTATACTAACGGAACCAGTTGAAGAAAATGTAAGTTTTCTTAAGTGAAAAATTTTTGATCCACAACTATGTGTACTCTGTAGATCCAAATGAACTGAAGCAAACTCGCGATTTTCTCAGAAAACAGCATACTTTCGAAATTGAATTTAAAACAGAGAGAGGGAATAGCTTGTTGCGAAAAATTCTAATCTTTTCACTTGCTTCTATGTTGAAATATAAATTTCAAAACTCAGTTTCTATTCAATTTTTCGAGATAAAATTCCGAAACTACTTTTTCCGATGTTGATAAAGGATATTGCCACTGGAATTTAGTATCTTCACACTATTCAACTAAGAAAAGATATTCTAACAAGAATCATGAGAAATGTCCTATTAACTTATGATTTATTATATTTTCAAAAAGAATTGTAATCAAGAAAAAACAATATAATAAATCCAAATTTCATGATATCCTTTAAAATTACTTGTAATGAAAATATTCTATTATTAGACATTATAATCACGAAGAAAATGTTCGACAAAATTCAGTTGGCAATTGATAGCATCACGCTTTCTCAATCATTCATTGTTTTTTTTTTGGCACAAAAATGTTCAAAGAATCACTTTCATTTTGATCAATCAAAAGTTTCAACTATATTATCATTAGCATCACGTATAAAACGAAATTCAATGAAAAAAACAACTATTTATTGAAAAAGACCTTTCGCCTTTCCGGCAACAACTTGATTTTCATTCATTAACATTTGTTGTTCTTGAAAACGTTGAGATATACGTTGTGTTACTTTAAGAAATTTTTCCAAGCAATTATTAACACATGTATTCTAAATAAAAATCAATAAATTCTGATACGATGTAAACTCTCATTGCCTACTTCGAGCGTTGTTGTTGTTCGACCTGTGAAATCATTGACACAATCATTGAAACATACTTCAGCAATACGATTATATTCACGAAGAAATTCTCGTACCTAGATTTACAAAAAAGAAAGAAGAGAAACGAAAGGTTTCACAATAAATAGTTTAAATTTATTTTCGATTACTGTTGGTAATTGTTCTTCAAAACTTGGACCTGCCGGTGCAGCCTGTGCGGCTAATTTTTTATCCGAGGATCCTCCAAAAAACATTATCTGAAAGGATTTATATGTTTAATAAAGAACTGTTACCCAAAATAAATATATGTATGAGATGATTTATTTGGAAAAGTCTATGTTTTACCTCATCGAAAACATATACTTTTGCGAGTATAACAAATTCCAATAGATGACATTAGTTGATCGTTCAATGTGAGTCATTATATCATATTGAGGATGAAGTAGAGGTCGTTAGAACTCAGTTAATACAAGCATATAATAACACATTTCTGTCAAGTCAATCATATTCAGGCACTTTTCTTGAAGAGTAACTGTTTTTTCAACGATTTCTATCTGTTGGTATTATGATAATTACTTTAAATCATTTTATTCTTGAATTCCGTTTAAACCGATCTTGAGCAGAATAAAAACTAGCTAATTTTATAGTTCAATATTGTTTTCATGGGTTCTCATTCTGTAGATTTGACTCTTTGTTTTTGATAGTAAAGATTATTTTAGGTAACAGTTCACCAGAGAGCCATTTTTTTAATTCTAACTTTTTATACGAAGAAAACATAAGATTCTTGAGTATTTAAATATCATAGTAAATCTATCGCCGAGAAAAACTAATATTATGACTAGATTAACTACGAAAACAAGATCATGTATCGACGAAAATCCTTTTGACATATAAGAAAAACATCACCAATCGTTAGATCAACGATCAATATCGATTTAAAATATTATTCACCATACAATATTTTCATTTTCTTCATAAATATATATTTTATCCAATAAGATACATATAATATAAAAGAAAAACTGAACTGTCAATACATAACACATATAGAAAGCATATTGCAACTGTAGGTATCTACATGAAAAGTGTACAAGAAAAAAAGACAAGAATTACTGCTGCCGTGTTGCTTCACTATTATTTTCATCATTATTTATATTTTCATTATCGTCATTTTCGTCAGCAATAAAAAATAGTGTTGGACATGTTTGTAAACGTTTCAAATGTGATGTATACTGTTGGACATAAGATGCAATACCAAATACAGCTAAACAAACCGGTTCATTATACTTTGAATCATTGATTAATACCGTACACATTTGGTTTTCTTGATGTTCTGTTTCTAATTGTTGATTTAATTCTCGTAATTGATTTCCACTAGTACATTCAAATAGTTGTTTAAATTCGTCATGATTATTCCAAGTTTTAAATGATAATAATTGTGAACGACATGATATAATTTGATCGTAGAGATCAAATGATGCTTGTGCTATATGCAGTAAACAAGCTGAAAATGACAGATGCGAATGACCTGTATTGATTATAAACTGCATGCAACGAGGTTTAGCTCCGTAAGATGCTTCCTCATCGCTTGTATCAGCCTAGATATATTGTGAAAATAAGAATTGTATTTAAAATACATTTTTTATGAAAAAAATACTTGTGAAAGCCCAGGCGATGACGGTGGTGATGGTTGAATTTGATCATTCAGTAAAAGTCCAATAGCATCTTCTAAATTTTCTACTCGATTTAATGCCTAAAATAATTCTAGAATCGTTTCGATAGAATTCAATAAATTTTATTTTTACTTCTCTCGATTGTTGTTCTGTAAAGCCCATATCGATAAGAACAGCAAGATTGTCGACTGTTGTATTTGATGCAGTTGCATTCTGCATGATTAACGTATTTACTAGTACAGTAATAAATTAATACGAATAGATAAATGACAGATAATAACTAGATCGATTCAATGATTTCTATTTCTTTTCTCTACTCATAAGTGTCTTTTTCTTCTTATGATGACGGCGAACATAACAATAATACAATGTGATTCATGAGATCTTTTATTGGTCTTTAGAACATATAAATGATGGCTGCATTAACATGAGAAAGATGTCGTGGGCTTTCGGCACTTGGCATGGAATCAGATAATCTAGTTTTAAAACTCTTGACACATACAAAATGAATGTTAATCGAAAGTTTCGTTTTCTTTTCATTGTGCGTTAAAGGTTAGAAAAGTTTAGATTATTCAAACAAATTAGGATATTAAACAAATATGTTAGAAACCAGACGAAACAAAATTGCGGAACTATCATAACAACAAAATAATATGTATTTCATAATCTAGTACGTCATAGGACAATGAAAAACAATTTATTAATGTTCGCGTTATTTTAATTGTATGCAGAATTTTCTCGAAGTTTCATTTATTATTATTTACAAAACTGCATGATACTATATAATTACGCCGTACAAATAATATAACTGTTCAATAAGATTAAACAACAGTTTTTTAATTCTCAACAGATTGAATGTCATACAGGTGTTTCGAGATTTCTATAGACATTTGTTTTTCAATCGATCATTTCCATTTTTCATTATGCTGCTATAGAAATAGGCAGAAATACAGATCACTTGCAACAATATTGACTTTCATTGAAGCGTTGCGCGCAACCCTTTGTGACCTTCCGCCGAAAAGAAAATAGCATGATCATTTTTTTTTATTACGCGTGTATTTGTCCTTTCTTTCCTAGTCTATTCTAGAATCGATGATACTATTCAATATTTTATTTCCTTATCAAACAAAATAATTCTCTAGAATAGCGTAGTTATTATTTCAAAAATGTCCATTGACGATATTTCGCCTCTCTCTCTCTCTCTCTCTCTCTCTTTCTGTCTATGTATTGTAGAAGAGCTCGTTCTCAAAATATATACATATTTACAATAAGAAAGTAATATAAGCATGCAATCATTCGATTCCGTCGAAGAAGAAGGATATCATTGTGTAGCGACGATTCTTTTTTTCACATAGAAAAATAGGGCTGCTGATATTAGATCGACTTATGGGACAGAAAAAGAAGAAAAAGAAAAAGAAAACAACAGAAGTTGTTTCCTCTCCATCTGGTAACAAATAACCTAAGAAAAAGAACAAGAAGGACGTATAACCACTACTATCAGAACGGTACAATATTGGTATTCCTTGTGTCTGCCCTTTTTTTTTGTCGCATTTCTCTTTTCTCTCCATCTATTTACTTCACTATTCGTCCTACAACGATACAAACAACCGCTAGGAAACGCGTACAATGTGATGTTTTTCTCAATGATTAACTATTGATAGACTATTTAATATTCCATTCGGTGCGGAATACAAAACAAAATTCTTATATTCAATTACAAAACAATTTCAATTCTCTATTTTCTTAAAAAAAAACACACTTTTATTCATAAAAATTCGACAATGGTTCTACGTGTCTTTTATATTTCTACTACCGGTCGACGAGATATACGTAAACGACAAATTCATGTCCTAGCTGTACTTAGTTCTTGGAAACTTGAGCACGAAGCTATTGATGTAGCAGCACCCGAAAATGAAACAGATCGTGATTTCGTTATAGAAAATGGTAAAAAGACTGACGACGATAAAATATTGTTACCACAAATTTTCAAAGAAGAAGAATGTTGTGGAGATTATTTGGACTTCTTACAAGCGATTGAACATGAAAAATTGCTACTATTTCTGAAACAAATTACACAAGAAGAATTCGATGCACTTGAACGAAGTAAAAATGGTGAAACGAAAGAAACAAAAGTAGAAGATGAAGAAAAAGCTGAAGGTGAAGAAGATACTGAGAAGAAGGAAGGAGAAGATGAAGAAACTGAAAAGAAAGAAGGTGAAAACGAAGAAACTGAAGATGGTGAAAACGCAGAAAAAACAACTGATGAGGATGAAAATAAAGAAGAAGGAGATGAAACTACTAAAGGTAAACAATTAGGCTGATTGATTTTTACTCATTTATTGATAAATAAATTAAATTTTTTGTATGTATGTTGTAGAAGAAGCTGAAGGTGAAGAAAGCGAAAAGGTGAAAGATGAAAACGAAGAGGAAACTGGTTCGTATTAAAATTTGAAACAGTAAATTCAGCTTATTGAGTTTAACTTTTATTTTTAGAAGAAACCAAAGGTGATGAAGAAGAAGAAGAAGAAGAAGAAGAAAAGGAAAAAGTCGATGAAGATGAGGAAAAAGCTGAAGGTAAATCAATGAGTGATTTGATTTATTCGTAATTAATATTTCAGAAGGTGAAAAAGAAGAAGAAGAAGAAGAAGAAGAAGAAGAGAAGAAAGCAGATGAAACTGACGAAAAAGCTGAAGAAGAAGAAGAAGAAGAAGAAAAACCAGCTGAAGAACCTAAAGCAAAAGAAACTATAGCTAGTGAAGAATCTAAAGAAAAAAGTACCAAAAGTCGTCGTCGTGGTTGGGATACTGACGAATCAGATTCGACTAGTAAAAAATCCGACGAAAAACAGGAAGACACATCAACACGAAAAAAATCCGATGCAAAAGAAGATGATAAATCATCTACAAGTGCAGGTAAATTATTAATTACTAATTCAAAAATATATATATATATATATAGAGAGAGAGAGATAGAAAAAAAAGGATAAAGCTATATAGAAATATTCAAGGTGATGAATAATAGTATTATACTTTTACGATTTGACGTTTAGATAAATCATCGTCATCACGTCGTCGACGTGGTTGGAATGAAGACGATTCAAAAACTGAAGAAACTAAAGACAAAGAGGAAACCAAGAAAGTTGAAGAACCAAAAGAGGAAGAGAAAAAAACTGAAACATCATCATCTCGACGTCGCCGAGGCTGGAATGAAGACGATTCGAAAACTGAAGAAACCAAAGAGAAAGACGAAACTAAGAAAACTGAAAAACCTAAAGAAGAAGAAGAAGAAGAGAAAAAAACTGAGTCGGTATCATCTCGACGTCGACGTGGTTGGGATGAAACAGATAAAAAGGAAGAAGCTAGTAGTGAAAAGAAAACTGAAGAATCGAAGACTGATACTAAAGATGAAAGTGAAAAGAAGAAGGACGATGACGATAAAAAAGAATCTGCTAAATCGGGTGGACGCCGACGTGCTGGCTGGTGATTATTTTATTTATTTTATTTTATTTTATTGGAATCAATAACAGTATATGCGTGTTTGAGTGTGTTTTTATGCAGCTGTAAATAAGAAAGAGAATTAAATCTCTTCTTTTTTGTTTTCTTATTTCCTTTCTTTTTTTAACAAAGTCGTATTGATCAAATTTACACTATCTGTTATGACTATTTTAGCTACATCTTTAATTTGATACTTGTTCAAAATATTTTCTTGATTAACTGAATGCAAAAATATATTTATTATTTCAAAGATGCGATAAAAATTTGTATTTCGTTGATTTTATTGAAAATTTTCTGTATAAAATGGCTGCTAGTTTTTATTGTTTATTTCTCGTTTGATAATTCTTCAAAAACGGTAACCTCTACTTGAATCTAGGAGTGACACTTTAACTTTACTTTAATAATTAAAGTTAAAGTGCCACCCCTAGTTGAATCATATTACAGTCTCTACGTATGTACCTATTACATATATTTATCGATAACATTATTGGGAAAAATGTCGACATCAACGAATAAATAGGCTAAAAGTAACAACCCAATATGATATTGTAAAAGTATCTGGTTTTGTATCTGAGGTCATGGTCTCCGATGTTGATTGATTGAAACAATATCATCACATAGATGACTCGGTTGTAGTTTTAGCAAAACAATCAAATAAATGAATCATATTTCGCACACAAAACACTTAAATATTGCATTTTACTATTCACACAAGAACAAAATTCAGCAATTTTACAATCCCAAAGTGTACATCTAACTCTTGATATTTTTTTTTCAAAAATCTTAGATTAAATTTTGCTAATTATTGATTTACGACAAACAAGAATCCATACATCTAGCAGTAAATGATGTAAAATCATCGATTCGTACTGATAAATTAATGAGAAAAACTTCACCGAACATACCATATCCATCAGTATCAGAGCAAAGGAATACAGAGAAAAGTTTTTCATATAAAAACAACAAGTTTTACAAGCACGAATAATAACGAATTGCTATATCTAATTGGATTCTCATTGGCAAATACGAGAATTTATATTCATTATCCAATAAATCAAAATAATTAACGTGGCGATATACTATATTTTTTCATACTCATAATTTAATGTAATGTGAAATATTAAAAAATGAGGAAACATCGGATTCGTATCCGATTGTTATGTGTACTGCAAAAACTGAGTCGATTTATATATGTTTTGAATAATTCTGAGAAAAAAAAATTTTTTTTGAAAAAATCCCTGTACCCCCCCTCAGGGATGGTCTGGTTAATAATGACAACTTTTTCGATAACTCACCCATTTCTTCACAGATTGCTTTCATCTTCGAACTCGACTGAGATATTGATGAGATCATTCTGTGTACAAAATTTCATGACAATTGGATGAGGCTTTCAAAAGTTATCGTGTTAACGGCCG